ACAAAAGTAAAGACATATCAGGGTATACAGTTATGAGAGTGGCCCGTCGCGTGAATTTATATAATCTATGGCGCAATATTTAGGCGGGAAATTTAAAAAAAGAACACTTCGTGCACTACTTTCTCCAAGACAGGCAGACTCTTGTTCTGTGATCTTGTGTAAATGTGAAAATTTTACAAACAATACACTATTTAAGATACTAAAATCCGTTTGTTAATATTGTCTCTAACAAATCAATTCAAAGAACATTTATTACCGTAGATCTGTTTATTATACACATTTATGGTAAGTACCATTTAACGTTCATCGGTTCGAAATATAGTTTGAGCAGAAAATAATTGAATGTCTTTTCAATAATAATTCACTAATGCCTAAATATTTTCTATATAAGATGATATTTATTACATACAGCTTATATCAATAACAGACAACAGCTTCTTACAGCAATTGTTTGTTATAGTAATGTTACAATAAAAAGTTATTTTTATTGATACTTATAAATCCATGCAGTATTTTTGAGAAGTAAATAAATTATTATTATTAGTATTCACAAAAATACATATATTAAAAAGAAACAATTAAATCTGCAACTGTATTCCGAATAGATAAAGCACTACAAGCAGCACTCGTTCACGAGCATGACTACACTTTTGTTGTAGATATCACCATTTATACCCTATAAATATATATATATATATACTTCTCCTTTGTCAGTTCCACAAGACTGAGGGTCATGACCACCAGGAATGCTCCTTCCAACCAAAACTCTCCAGGCATTTCTATCTTGTGCTAAGTCGACCGCCGACTGTATATTTACCATATTCAAAATATGGAAATGTAGGAAAAAAACAGCCTCACAGACAGATATTATAACATCTCAGACGCGCTCAGGGTCACTCTGACCGGTTTTTTGATCACTTGGTTTTAAACACAAGTTTCGTACATACCTTTTGATTGTACCGACATGTTAAACAGCGACCACAGGTCTTGGCCTTGTATACTCGACACCGCGGTGTATAAAACGTAACATTTATTTAATAATAATAATCCAACTATTTTACTATTGGCGTCAATGGTCTAGGAGTTTAAGCACACCGCCTTACTTCCGACTTACTTTGGTCGTGGATTCAAGTCCTCGTACGGTACAAACATTTATTCATGAGTTAATGATGATTTGATGGGACTTTTATTGGCAGGTAGCTGATATAATAAGGAGTAACTTAGGCTACTTTTATTTTAGAAAATAAAGTTGAATTCCAAGCGGAGAAGTCGCGGGAACAGCTAGTTTTTAAAGTATAATACACCGGCTTTGTTGTCACCTTATTTAATTTAAAACAATATCCCAAGAAATTGTTTCGCGATTTCCTAGAAGGTATTTCAATTGTATGTATAAATAAAGTAAATGTCGCGTATTATTATAAATGTATAAATGTCGCATATGATGAAATAAACTGATTGAAAAGGCTTTTGAAAACATTCATAATAATATACTTTACAAATAAGGCCTTTGAACTTTTTATTGAAGCGGACAATAACACTGAAAGAATTTTTTTAAATAAAAACAAATGTTTACAGTAAACAATTAGAGCCGTTGAGTTGTAAAAGTAACAAACAGATAGCCAAATAAATAGTAAACTCGTCGTCCTCTCTTCTGCTTACTATGCCAAATATTGTACATAACCTATGGAACATGTAACATTATAGAGAGCAATGGATAAATAAATAAACAAAAAAACACATTCCGCTGTCATAATGAATGGAGTTATGATACGTTAAAGACTGATTAAAAAATTACCGCTTGTGTTTCTTACCGCTTCTTTTCAATTGAAACAGTACAGCATGTTAGAACATTTGAACATAACATGTCAGGGAATCTACCGCTGTCTCTCGGATTAATTTGGTTTGTTATCGGTGTTTTCATCACTGGAAATGTAAAAAGAGACATTTTTTTTGGTGCTCAGATTCGAACTAACGACCTTTTAGTGTATGTCGGAGCAGTAGGCACTAGGACACGACACTCTCATGACATTTCCCTTTATTTTCCGGTTTCCATACGTCTTCGTCAGTCTTGACGCTTTGACTATGATGTATCGAAAACGGCCGCATGTTAAATTTCTCCAATAAATACAGAGCGGGACTAAGAACAAGTATTATAGTCAATATTGTAATCAATATTTATATTCAATTTTATTAAAAGCTACAACAGAAGCAGTATTTCGAGATTGACTTTGTACAGTTCAGTTGCAAAGCAAGCTGCTGGTAATACGGTCGCAAGCTGTATTTCAGAAAGGTGAGATAGGGCAGTGAAATTATAGGGTACAAAAACATGACACCTTAATCATCCGGAATGACAACACATTAGAAGCACCACAGGTCTCAGTTGACGTCGTAAAAAACAAAGGGTACCACATGTGTGACAATGTGATGTCCATGGTATGAGGTGCGTGCGGAACCATAAGCTGATTTCCAATCTATTAATGTAAAAAAAAAATCAATAACACTGATATTACAAACGGTCTCTCCCTCAATGTTATATATTTGGAAGTATAATTTTGTAATTTGAGTAGCAAACATGCTGATGATCCACCAGATAGGAAGCATAAACGATTACCTATATGTGTGAACAGCATTATAGATATCACGACATACTGTGTGCTACAACTAAATGTGGCTTATATAGTATCTAAGCTGTTTCTCAGCTGAAACAGGCGAGGCAAAGACGCTCACGCGGACGACTTTTACAAAGTCTAAATACATTGGTACTCGTAGCTGCTGTTATTTTATTTTATTGTAGACAATCAGGCAATATATATTAGCTGATCTGCGTAACTTCGCATCACACTTACATCATATTTATCATTATATTTCGCCTAGTTTACATAATATCTTCTTAAATGATAGCCCATGTGTTATTTTGATGTAAAAACTACATTTCCTACTGTAAAGTTTCATAAAAATTCGTTCAGTAGTTTTGTGTGAAAAGAGTGACAGACATCCATCCACTAACTTTCATGTTTATAATATTAGTATGTAAGTTTATGATTATTAACTTTTTTTGTAGTTACTGTCTTTGTATATGACGTATTTGTGAACTTGACAATAAAATTAGCGAAGTACGAACAGTACTCACGCTTCTAAGGTTACAATTGGATTTTGTGTATATTTTTATCTTATTTTACTTTTTCCAAACGTCTTGCAAACGTAGGAGGTTTCCAATTTGACTAATGATTAACGTGTCACGTTATTTTTATGTGTACTTTTACTTCCGTAATTGTTTTATATTTTTTGTTAAAGTTAGAATAGGTTTTTTTACATTCTCTTAAATACTTTTGACGTTAAAAAATGTGAAAAGTAGATATATTTTGGTGTAGACAATAGTATATATTAAATGTAACAAAAAAACTGAATTTGACCTTTAAATAGTTACTAGACACAAATAGAATTGGGTCAATTGTGAACCGGGTCAACACTTCCGTGCAGCCAGCACATTAAAATAGCCTGAAGAAAACCAAACAGACCGTTTCCAACTTGCAGTTTGGATTACTTTGGAGGATTCTTTGTTTATTTATTGCACCAAGAGTCTAGATAATTAAGAGAGTGGTTGTAATTACAAATTTAAATCTGAAACAGACACTAGAGTTACTCACCAAGGTAAATGAATCTAAGCGCAGAATATCACTATCTAATCGCAAATTATAGTGCCTGTACTAGCTTATTTTCTTTTATTCATGAATATTTTTTAAAAGTTAAATGCCCTGAATTTTTAGGCTTACTGTTCTATGCCTAAAAATACACTATTCGATATGGAGTTATACAACTGCATGCGCTGACAGTGGCTATAGGCTGGCAGTGCATCAGTGGATGATGATAGGATGAGGGTGTAGTCAGGCCAGTTAATCATCATGAATTCGGACAGAAATTAAGAACAATGGATTTGGCGAAGCGATCACGTGGATGACGACCTGACATGGTACATTGCTAGCAATGGAAACACTAGATTCTAAATTCGAATGCGTATATGTTATAAGTTGATACTTTTAGTAATTCTGAATATCGTTTGCAACTTTCATGTACTGTCTAAGAAAAGATGTTTAAAAAATCTCTCCGATTCGCACGAGCAATGCCACAGGAAATGGCTAGTATTAATCACTTTGACCAATTGTTATGCTTAGTGACCCGTGCTATTATTGATGATCGACATAGTCGATTAAATATTCCGAATAGAAAATAAAATCATCTTTATTTCAATACACAGAGGTCATAAGCACTTAATTTACATAAGCACTTTTGGTAATTTGTAATTATGAAAGTTAACAAGCGGTTAAATCAACCCCTAAAGAGTTAAATGGAGTGAACAAATTCATAGGTAATGTCTATGTTACAATAAGATTTCAAAATGCAAATTTTCCCAGCAGTATAATCTGTAAAATGTATTTTTTTTTCTAATGTCATCCAACTTGCAGAGCATCAATATTTTTTTACTGTAAAGAAATCTATTGTGCAGATACTAGATTAAAGAATAATAGTATTCTTTAGGCATTCAAATATATACATTAGTCATATATAAGATTAAAATATTTTATTACAGCTTTGCTATTGATCTTAGCGTGATGTTATATAACAAAAACCCTTTATTGATAAATGGGCTGTCCAATACTAAAATAATTTTTAACATCGCATTAGTAGTACCGCAGATTACCCCAAATATCACAAACTTCATTCCTCTTCATAATATAATATGTAAAATCTCGTGTCACATTGTTTGTTGTCAAACTCCTCCACAACGGTTTAAAGGATTTTTATTAAATTTTTGGTTTGTATTTGAGAATAGGTCGTAGGCTATTTTTAATTCCCCTATGTAATAATGGTGACTTCATCCAGAAATAATACATATGATATAACAAGTTTGCCAAGTCAGGTAGTATTAATCTAGATTTCGTAAAGTAACAACAAGAGACATCCATATTTTGTAAAATTAAACTTAAGGTATTTATTTACAGTATCCACACAATTGCCGTTGGGGTTCAATCTGCCACCTATCATCCACGTCGACCGCAACTGGTATGTGGCGTCCACAGACCCCATCGGCTCGGTTGTGACCAGGGTGCACAGGGAGAAGACAGGAAACCACAATACTACCTTCGGGTTGGAGAGCTCAGGTGCACCGGCACCATTTGCTATCAACCCTCAAACTGGAGTTGTGACGATTAACGATACACTTATCGATAAGGTATTATAATATATTTACTGATTTGTTAGATATATTGGTTACTTATTGACATCAATGAATACACAGACAATATCTCATTAACAATATAGTATAATTTTATAGAAAAATCAAATTCAACACATACATTTTCTGTAGGGTTTTCTATTACTTTTTATTTTTACTTTCGATGATTATTTCGTATACACAAAGTTTAATAATCTAAGGTGTTAAATATGGGACTATTTAACTCTCTAGATTATTTCTCGAGATAAAAGCCAAAGATAGCCGTAGTAATGTTTATGTCAAATTCGTTAAAATTTATTAAGATCTAATTGTTTAGTTGTTAAAGGTAACACTAACAATAACTGACAGACGATTTTGCATTTATAAAAATATATTAGATATTCTTTTATCTGTCTCACTTTTTAGTTCTAATGTTTGTTGAGCTGTCTGTTTATCAATAGAATAGAAACACATCTTTTATGTTTATTTGATCACGTATTTATTTTCAGGAAAATCGTTCATACTCCCTTTGGGTGACAGCAGCAGATGATGGCTCCATACCACAGAAGACAGAAGTGTTAGCAACAGTGACCGATCCCTCCGGACGTAGACCCAATTCACCACACCCGCCACCATTCCCTGCATTATCACCCAACTATCCCGCACCACCGTTCCACCACACCACCATACCACTCCAACCAAAGTTTACAAGAATACCACAGAGCACCACCAAAGCAACTGAAAAGTTTATCGACGATGTCACAGTACCTGATACAACATTAGTCACAACTCTTAGTCCACTTAGAACCACATACGATACTCCTACCGAGAGTAATATAGATCTATCAAAGAATAACAGCATTGCTGATTCTTCAGCTGATGAACCATCTCCCAATAATGATATTACATTAACAGTTATACCGTTTATTGCGATAGTTTGCTTGGTGATAATTGTGGCTGTGGTCATATTCTTTATAAGAAAGAGAAATAGTTCAAACAAATCATCTGGAAAGAAGGACGACATGGTTAGTAGTCTATTGCCTACACACTGTTAGTGGGGCATTTAATCAAAACTTTAGAATGCTTTATTTCATGTTAGCAAGATTTTTTACCACAACGGACTAATTATGACTAGTATTCAGTACTACTATTAATTTTATTATACCTACTTACAATATATAAGTAATATTTTATTATGAACATAATAATAATAATCTAATCCTTTATGTTTATATGTTACATTATATACACGATTGTTCTAATAGAAATTAAAATTAATTACACCATTTCCTTCAAATATATTAAATAACGAGACCCCTGTCATCCACAGTGCAAGGACGCAAGTGGTATTGTCCTACAAGATTCGTCTGTAAACTTGTGGAATCGTCCTCGAACTTACTCCAACCGTTACGAGTCCTGGGACAACAATCATTTGCAGGTCAGTCGATGACCTTCCAACATTGATAATTTTCAAAACATCATCCACATTGTAATTATAATCTGCTTTGAATCACTCATGGCCTGGGATTTCATAAAGTTTTATACATGTGCTTGAAATTCTCGTTTCTAACATATTTTGTCGTTATCATTATCTTTAAACTAATTAAAGTGAACAATACAAATGCCTTGTCTAAATTCCGTGATAGAATATAACCTTGCTACTCGGCATGCAAACATTTCATCATAACAAGTAAATTGCTCAAAACGATGCAAACTTTTAATTGCTGGAATCTCCGAAATGTCAACCGAATGTTGATTAAATTAAATGTTACCTCAATATAACTTTCTGTAAACAGGAACACAATAGATAATGTTTTGTTCATTTGGATATTTACAGTGAATTTAATTTACGTTTTATGGTAGATATTGATAATGGATGTTAGTAGACGTAAACAGGGAGGGACACCGAATTTATTTCTATATATAAATATATTTACCGAAATTATTATGTAAGAAATGATAATAAGATAGAATGCTCAATATATTAGCATGATTCAGACCGAGATTGATTTTTTAAAAAGTCGTCTGTATGGGTACCTTAAAGTATTCAATGTATTATAGCTAATATTAAAGTTACCTTCGTAAGCTATGTTTCGTTTGAATGAACATGGAAAGGCAGTACTATTTTATGAAATTGGTAAATAAACAAACTGACGGTCTACATGATGGAAAACGATAATAGTCGTTTATAGTATATATATGGACAGCACTACGAACATACATATGACATCAGCGATATAGTATAGCGAACTCATGCTTTGCCATTCACAGGCGACCTCATGTCTCTCATTCATTATCTACTACATAAATATAGCTTACAAAGCAAGCTGCTGATGAATTAGGTGAGCCCGAGATACGCACGCTGTCAACTTTTTACAGTAGACTGTAAAAAGTTGACAGCGTGCGTATCTACTAAAGTTAGAATGCCACTCCAATTATTTAAACAAAAACGGTAATGGAATAAGAGAAGACATTCCACATTTCCACGAATACTGTCTGCGTGAGTCTAGGTACACAATTAAGACGTTTTAGTAACTCGAGGTCCCTTTTGATTATAATACAGTATAATTTAATAATTTCAGATACGTCAAATTAATTATAATTAGTCGAATGATACCCTTGTCACTATATTGAAATATCTCTACGTCATAGTCTATACATATAACAAAATAGTACCTGTTGTCGGTAGGTACTGGTTTTAATAGATATATTTTCTTTATAATTTGACATAAAACGAATACATACAAGATAAAATTCAGTCCTCGAGTTTCAGTTTCCCATAATAGTACCTAACTTCTGTGTGTAAATGGAAGATGGGAAAAAATATTATTGGAGGATATTTTTGAAGAAATTATTATCAACATTATTACGTCACCAAAAACAATTATTGTTATTTTTTTTATAATAATGATAATGTTTTGGACAAATCACACATATAGTCCCAAGCTAAGCAAAACTTGTGTTATAGGTACTAGACTACTGATAAATATATTTAGATTTTATTAAATACGTACATAATATGCATAGTACCCAGATGGATACAAATAATCATAGTTATAAATAGAAATGTTTGTACCATGCGAGGACTCGAACCCGCGTCCATGTGAAGTAAAACGTTGTTTTAAACCGTGTCAAATTTTATGTGGCATGTGTGTTTGTACGTTTTGAAACGGCTTAACTGATTTGTCTGTAATTTTTCACTAATCATAAAATCAAGTGTACGAAGTCGTGGGCTTAGGTTGATATATGAATATAATTGCAAATGTAAAATAATTTCATATTATACGAAAGCCTAACATTGAATCTAATCGCCCCACAATGACTTGCTTTCGAAACGTTCTCAAAACTCAATTATAATTGACAAATAAAAGAAATTGAACTAGAAATTATCGCAAATAAAATTGATATACATTCCATAAAATTTAACTAGGCTATTGACGAATTGTTTATATTATTGTCACCCATATACCAGAATACTTAGTCAATCAATTAAATAAACAGTTTCTACAAACAGTTGTATTGCGTTTTGAAATCAAAGTTTAACGATTACCCTTTAATAATGAGGTCATAATAAGATTAGTTGATTTCATTTAATGGTATATTATAAGAATGCATGTCATAAAGACAGAGGAAGGCTGAAAAAGAAATGGATGGGACTGTGTGAAAGATGACGAGATGACTGCAAACAGGGATGAATGGAAAAAAAACATATTACACCGAGCACAAATGAATGGGATAAGGAAGAAGAGATGATGATGATACCTTATAAGAACTATGCTTGCATGCTAATTATATACTAGGAAATAACCTTAACATTTTAGGATCCGCATTGAACTATAAATACTCACTACCGGGTACCATACACAAGTACATACAAGTATTGCTACATATATTTTCGAAAATTATGAGACAGTGATTGTCAGTAATAGGGTAAATTTTATTCTTACTAATATTATAAACGCGAAAATTTGTGAGTATGGATTGATAGATGGTTGGATGAATGTTTGTTACTCTTTCACGAAAAATCTACTGAACAGATTTTGATGAAACTTCACAGTAATATAGCTTATGAATCAGAATAACACGGGCTATAAATGTCATGCGGGTGAAACAGCAAGCACAGCTGTATCATATTAAAATAAATGACGAAGAATTATTATAAAGAGCAAATGTACTCCATTGTTATTATTGTCTTATTTAGCTTATTTTGAAATCAATTACTACGATTGGTTTCAATTATTTTTTAATTATCACCGATATGATGTCCAAATAAAATGTGACAGCTACTAGTAGTCAATTTAATTATAACAATTTACACTAACAATCTATCAATTAAACTATTTTGTCCACAAATTGAAATTACATGTGAATTTTGGGTAGAAAACATCCAGGTTTGAAGGTATGAACCTGGGTCACAAATTGTTGAGAGAAAGGATTTCTGTTTTTAAATATGTTATACAATTACACTACTTAAGCGCTATGTAATACCATATTTAAAGATTAAAATATACTAAATTTTATAAATTGAAAAAAGTGTACCGGTAGTAGAATTTATAGCTAATTCTCAACTGAAGTAGCTATCTGAACTGGACAGTAGGGATAGTGATAAAAAATTATAACGTGCATAAGATATGTATATAAAAGAAAAGAAAGAAAGTACTATATTTTATATACTTAAAATATACAACAAAAAGAAGTTATTAAATATAATTTGGATCATAAATTGTGGTACCAAATAGCATGTCTCCATCCGCCATTTGCCGTGACGAGGTGCCATGGCGCTGGTATTCTACGGATACCTATATATATATATAAACATAATTGTATATACATATAATAATAATATACATACATACATAAATCTAAACGCTATATGAATAAATATATAACCTGGGACACAATGCCATCCAGTCCGACGGTAATCCTTTGCTTACCGTGTTACCAGACAACTGATATAAATACCTAGTTTCTTTTTTGTGAATACATACATAATATACACATTTTGTATCGGTCTGGGTGTTTTCTACCCAGACCGATACAAAAAATCATACTCAAGAATACAAATGTTTACACCGTGCTAGGAATAGAACCCGAGACCATAGGAAATAAAGCGACGTGCTAAACCGCTAGACTACCGAGGCAATATGAATAAATGTTTTTAATTTTGAGTTAACTGGGTCTAACAAACCCAACAGCGGTTTAGCAATTGTTAATCTGATACTCCTGTTTCGCTAATGCTAATTAACAGATTCTAATTAGGTATATTCAAAGGTCTGTTATTATCAATATATAGCAATATCATATTCACCTACAATTAATTTAGCTCATTGTTCATTAGAATTAACTACCATTTACATCAGGTGTGTTTGTTCTAGAACCCACAACTGAATTTACGTAATATGATGTAGGTTACATCATCCACTAATCACTCATATTCAACTGTTATACATGTTCTTAATATTATACTATACAGGGTGGAAGGAACAGTTGGTCAAAACGAAAACTGCTGATTTAAATGAATTGTCTGAATCAGATAGCATATTATTTGTTCACAGGAACCACATCCATATAATTATGACTCTTAGAATTAGCCGCGCATAGTTTTTGAAATTTTACAACATACTATATCCATACGACGCGGTATATATACCTTTATATTACGTAGTTTTTACTCCCTATATAATTTAAATAACTATTGTAAACATCCCCAAGAATATTCAATAATCCCAAATCAATAACCATATACCAAAGAAATATTTAACTACTTTTAATGATTAGATATTTGACGTATAGAAATCTTAACATTTCATTAAAATAAAAGGAAATCCACAAAGTAATTGCAGAAAGCCGTAGCGGTTTGCTCACCCGGTAACCGTACGTTACGAGTACGAGTATATCTAACTTTTCAACTGTAGCGGGATTGTTTCTCCGAAAATACAAACATTCATATTCATTAAAACAATAGTGTAATATATATCATATGTAGTTAGTACTTAGATAATGAGATATTCTTTACATATTGTTGAAATCCGGTATGTAACCGCATTAGATGTATGCAATAGGTAAGTCAAAAGGCAATATTTTGTTCGGGTAAAGAAATCACTAGTATATAATTTAATATATTATGTATTAATAAAACAATTCGCACATCACTATCTAGTTCTAAGCTAAGCAGAGCTTGTGTCATGGGTATTATATTTTTAAGATTATATATATTAAATATAATACTTACATAATATATGTAGACCGATACAAACCATCGTACTCTGAAATACAAATGTTCGTACCGTGCGAAAGTAAACAAAGACACAGACAAATCTAGAATGATAAACTAACATAAATAATCTCTGTAAAACATTTTTTTTTATTAACATGGAAGACCACTTATTTATATAATTTTTATATCTCTTTTTAACTTTATTGTTCAATAATTTCAGTTCAGGTAATCTAAACTAATGGACTAATTTTACATTTTTATTTATTTATACAGGTATTCTATATTATATATCTCTGTACCTGAAAATGTAGGCTCTAGATTTCAAATATTTAAAATTGAAAAAAGAAACAATTAAGAAGTCCTTTTCTGGTAAAAAATCTGTGCATTATTTCTAACATGTCTTTGCGAATATTTCTATGAAATTTCACTGTATTTGATTGTTGAAGGTAAAAAGCGGTAGAGACCATAATTCTTCGTTAACTATATTCATATTTACATATTCTAGATATATAATATCATGCAATTGAGAACAGTCAAGATATTTTATTGTTATTATTTCAGCTTTCGGAAGAGACGACCATTACGAAAGAAGAACCTCCTGATGAATGGGAATTTCCTCGACACCGATTGAGGATTTTCAATATAGTTGGAGAGGGTGCGTTCGGGCAGGTCTGGCGAGCCCAAGCCATCGATATTGATGGTAAGATTTTATTTTATAAATTCTCCCATAACTTGTGGAGTCTGAGCCTTTTTTTCTTGTAACACTGCTATCTATATAGATCTATTGTGCTCGCCCTTATTCAAAGGCTGACTGCCAACGTTTACCAAACCTCAGGCTGACGGCGCCGGCGTCATCTATGATTAACAAATCAGATAACAACAATAAGATTTCCATATAGCGCCATCTAATATTTGATCAACGAACTAATTAATACAATGATAGCTGGCGTATAGAAACTATTTATAAAATTAATTCCCTTTATTTTCGTCCCTTTCCCTATAAATTTCGTCCTTTTCGGGGTATTTTTCTCAACTTTCATTAGCCTATATGTTGGCCATTTAATAACATTTTCTGTGATAATTTCATCCCAATTATCTGATAAAATGCTAGACAATAAATAAACACTATTAAAAAATTATTTATTTTTTTAGATTATTCTACTGCATCTACATAATCTATTGATAAGTATATTAAATTTCCAGGCAAGAAAGGGGAACAAACAGTAGCAGTGAAGACACTAAAAGAGAATGCATCGGAAAAAGAAAAGACTGACTTATTGCAGGAGTTACTTGTGATGAAGAACTTAGGCCCCCATCCTAATGTGGTACGGCTTATCGGTTGCTGTACTGAGAAGGTTCGTATTAGGCTATTTATGTTAGCAATAATAAAATAATTATAGTAATATGCCTGGACAATTCACACAGCGTCATCTAGTCCCAAGCTAAGCAGAGTTTGTGTTTGGGTACTAGACAACTGATATAAATACATAGATACCTTTTTTTTTTGTATATACATACATAGCATGTATACATAGAAAACACACCAAACAATCATACTCATGTATACAAAAGTTAGTATCGTGCGAAGAATCGAACCCGCGACCATCGGAATTGAAGCAGTGTGTTAAACCGCTAGACAACCGAGGCCGAAAATATAATGAGAAATAGGTCATCTATGAGTTTTTTATATATGTATATGTATGACCTATATTACCATGATACATAAGTAGTTCAGAAATAATGTAATAATATAGTTATATAGGTTCACATTTTATTCCCATCCAATATTAGATAATTTAATACCTCACTAAGGAGATTATTGAGATTATAGTCAAAGTGGAGGTGTATAATTTCGTGTCAGGGTCAGGTCAATTACAAGGATAATTGACCTCACGTTTATACGTTTTAAATGTGCTCTAAAACTTTATTGTTGTATCAATACTTCAACAACTTGATAATTTAGTGCGATGGTTATTACCTCAAAACTGTATTTAGCGATATATGTACTCGTATATGTTGTAATGAGGTGTCGCTATATAATTTATTTATTATTATTATCTTCGGAACCTTGCCTAAAGGGACTCCTTTTAATAATATCTTTTAGTTATTAAGTATATTATATTTTTTAAAGTTTTCAGGTTTATTGTCCCAGTATATATATTTTTTATTACTGTATAAATAAAGCTTTCAAATAAATTGTGTGCTACATGGCTTATTAGTAACGCGTATATTCGGCGCGGAGTCGTAACGTGGACTGACTACTATATCTATGTTATCTGGAGAGGTACTAATAATGGAAGGGTCTCGAGTGTTGACAGAAATATTACAAGTGTGGGCACAATAATATATATTTGACCAGACAATTGATAAATACGTAAACACATTTTTTTTAAATACATACACCCACACCAATACAAACAATCATACTCATAAATACAAATATTGCACGTACAAGGAATCTAATCCGGGAACATCGGAAGTAATGTAAGTAGTTTGTGTAGTAAATGATAACCTCGGTATTCTAGTGGTTATTTCCGATGTAGCACATTGCTTTACTTCCAATCGGCGCGGGTTCAATTCCCCGCACGGTACAAATGATTGTGTTCATGAGCATAACTATTTGTATTGTTCTGTGTATGTTAGGTAAGTTTTTACAAAAATAATAGGTGTGTGTTTATGTATTTATTAGTTTTCTGGTATAAATCAAGCTGAATTAGTTTGAGACCAGATGGCGCTGTGTGATGGTCCAAAATATTATTATTGTTATTGTCTATTGTCCTTTTCCAGGAACCAACATTTGTGATCATGGAGTTTGTTAGTCTTGGCAAATTGCAACAGTTCCTTCGCGATTCAAGAGCCGAAAGACATTATGGAAATACCCATGGTGGAAGTCAATTCCTTACGTCAAGAGATCTGACTCACTTCGCATTCCAAGTGGCAAGAGGGATGGATTTCCTTAGTTCTAAAGGGGTAAGACTATACATACTTTTATTTATGGTAAATTCAACCATAACTCTTAAACGAGTTAGGGTCGTATTTACACTTGCTATCTATTTAATTTAAAGCATTCATAAGCATTGTTTAAAAAAAATTAAAACTTCTGCGCTCACTTAAATTTTTAACCCTCCCAAATTTCATACTTCTTTCTCCGTCCGCATATTTTTCGTAAAAAGTAGTAGAAAGTTTTCACTTTTTATATATATTAATAAATCTATACAAATCAGTAAAAGTGATTTGTCTGTTCGTAATTTCAAATTTTTGATTAAATGCAATTCAAATTTTAAAATTTTTGTCTCTCTGTTTGCTCTTGATAATCTCTGAAACGACTTAAGCGATTATGACGCGGCTTACTTATTTACTCGCAAATAGCTAATGTTATAAGGAGTAACTTAATCTACTTTTATTTTAGAAATATTATTTATTTTAATAATATAAAGTTCAACAACAAACACCTACTATTCAAATATTTAGATAGCGCTGTGATTCAGTGTTGTAATATAAAAGAATTAGATGGTGGGTTCATATTCTGTCGAAATATAAAACTTCCCAATACGATCGAATATACGACCATAAATAATCGACGTATGTATATATATATCATATCAATCGTAGATACAACTACTAAAACTAATAGGAAACTAATTAAAGGTTAATTGGTTTCTCGATTAACTTCTGATTTAGTTCTGTGAACCTCGTTATTTATATTGTTAGTTTACATGTCTTACGTGTATTCCTTACAAAAATGTTTAGTACTTCCTATACATTGATAGTCAGCCAGACAACTTTATACTTTATAGTCCACAATTAGAATTTAAAATACTGATTTCTAAATTAAAAATACTACAGTACTATGAGCACCCTATATTTTAAGTTCTTCTCGAGAAATACTATTTGTTTGGTTATATTTGTAAATATTCGTCAGAAAAAAGTCAACATTTTCATTAGTCTAATATTTATTCTTGGAATTATTTGCATTAAAAGAGATTAATAATAATTCCCTCAGATTAAATCCGAGAACACTTTATAAAATTAAGCCACTGTAACAATAAAGTATAATGGACACTTAAATGAAGTGCGAATGTCTTAAGTAGCCCTCTTTGTTGTGGTAAACCCTATTTATTTTAACTGCTATGGTAGTGGCTTATCTGTTTCGAGGCAATGGATTACAATGTCCTTGTCATGATCTTTTAAACAATTAAAAAAATAACAAATGCAAACAGAATAAAATGTATACAGATATTAAAATTGTAAGATTAGAGATATTCCCGCTTCACTCAGGTTGTGAAATGAACTACATGCCGAAGTATTCTCTCGAGACTAGAGCATGGGCGTTTTCAAGAAGTGTATATTACGGTTTCTTAAGAGACGGCAATACCCACGTAACACCCTGGTGTCTTAGACGTACATAGGCTACGGTAACTATTGACCATCAGATGGGCCGTATGCTTGTTTGCCACCATAGCAGTATATTTTTTTATATATTAATTCCGATTAATTATAACATAAACATTTGATATTTTGAACAACAATTAAAATTTTGTAATACAGATTTTTTACATTGTATAAATTATTTGTTATTTTCAGATAATCCACAGAGATTTAGCAGCAAGAAATGTGCTTATCACAGAAGAGAGGACGTGCAAAGTAGCTGACTTTGGCTTCGCGAGAGACATAGCGGGAACGCACGTGTATGAAAGGAAAAGCGATGGCCGGTTGCCTATCAGGTAATCTGAGATTTTATCAAATACTAGGAGATACACGAGACACTGCGTGGAATAATCTAGGTTACTCACAAATGCACCTTTCTTTACGTGAAAGAGATTTTTGATATTACAAAATGGTATTTGTAATTTGGACATTATAGTTTTATGTTTAGTTTTAATAATGACATTTATATTATTTGCACAATTTGACCCACTCAAGACTTCCTATGTCACGCTGTATTGGGTTGATTGCAAGAGATCTCTTTTAGAGATAAGTCCTTCTTCTTTGTTAACATTAGTTCTAATTAATATATCTACAAATGAATTTAACTGCAATAAAGAATATGTGTAAATATTTTTTGTTTTGCAATAGATTCAAATAATGAATGAAGAGAAATACAAAATAATAATAATAATACTCTCAGGACAATTCAAGTTAAGCTAGTCAAATCTTGTGTTATGGGTTATACTAGACTTTTTTCCGTAAATACATACATATTATACATATAAAATACGCTAACCAATACAAACAGTCCTACTCACGAATATAATAATATGTTTGTACCGTGGGAAACATCGAACCCTCGATCATCGGAAGTGAGGCGGTAGGGGATGAAATTTTGTAGCTAGAACGCAAAAACTTTTTTCTTTCATTTTTTAGGTAAAATTATAAAATATTTTATGCTCGGTCACTATCGGTCCATGCGGACGAAGTCGCGGACACAGCTAGTTATATATATAATTTATATCAAGGTACACTTTCGTGTGTGTGGCTATCTTAGCATTTTCAACGCCAAAAACTGGGATGAGTCACTAGTAGGCAAATCATCATCTGATTCTTCCTTATCGTATTTATTTGTAATCGGCCTATTCACTAGTAGGCTAATAACTTAAATAAAGTTTTCTGTTCAATAAATATTTCTTGATCTCATTGTAACTATAAACTTCTAATCGTATTCTTCTAGAAAGATTCGGTAAACTCAATATTCATTTTGTAATCAATTTAAAGGACTACTCTTCGACATTACTCTTCATCGCTCTTGTTACAAAAGTTTTAACAAGAAAGAAAAACTATTCTGAGTTTCTTGAGTTTTTTTCGTTTTTTTGCCTCTTTTTCAACGCCTAACGTCTCGCTTCGGAGATCGCCAAATGCCTACGCCGATTTTATCGAGCCAGTAGTATTACTTGTTAGGGATTGCTTTAATTAGTTTTACCTACTTATATATTTACAAGGTACCGTTCTCTCTGAAGCAAAATCAGCATTTTTGCCTTTGGAAATCGTTGCGATAAATTCCTGATCAATTTGTCTGGATAGGGTAACATAACTGTCATCAAACTCATTATATGACCCACTACTGGTGCCCCGCCAGCTTATTCCGTTAGCGCAGGCGGGTGCATCATTTCATAATCATCCATTAAAAGAATAGATAAAAGGTAGCAAAGATACTCAGGCGACTTTATACAAAGTCTACCTTGGATTTATTAGTAATAATACAGCCAGAATAAATATATTTTTATTAAAATCTTACGGTACATAACGGACGTAGAATTATGAATAAGGTACGCTATCAATAACTCGATCTACATGGAAATTACATGTGTTATATCCGAAAGGTGACGTCAGTTGAAAATTCATCCGAATTTTTTAATAGACAGGGTTCTGAATTCTGGGAAGTTTTTTATTTACTCATATTCATATATTAAATATTTTCGTTAAAACTAAAAACATCAAGTTGAAGTGTTTGATTTCTAGTTTAAATCTAGTAAATAGAAAAAAATAAAACGTAACCTATTCCACGAAATCTTAGTAATCTTTCGCTGAAATTTGTCTCCGTGTGTGCGTGCGTGTGTATGTGTGAACTAACAGTTGGATTTTATTGTTTTTTTATGTATATCCAATACCTAAGGACTAAGTTGCCATGCACCATAGATATCCCTAGATACATTACGCTATAACCTTTAGAAGGCTAATTTAAAATACATTCCAAACTAAAATAAAGATGTAGCGCGTCTCCGAACTTCCAGCAATATGATGAGCGGAAGTTCGGAGACCTAGGATATACTATTACTTATAGGCTTTCCAATATGAATGTTTGTTAATAAATAATAATATTTTTTTCTAAGATGGATGGCGCCTGAATCGCTCTACGATGACATCTTCAGCGTGAAGTCAGATATATGGAGTTTTGGTGTGCTGCTGTGGGAGATTGTGACTCTCGGGTCCACTCCGTATCCAGGATTATCAGCTGGAGATGTGATGCGGAAGGTAAATATTTTTTGGCTTTTCAGAGCACACTATGGTGTAGTAGGTAGGGTAGGATTATATTTAGAAAAGTTAATCTTGTAATTCTTCCGATAATATGATGATATGTATCCGGCTTCGGATGGTAACATCATATATGTATGGGAGATGAATTTTCTGATTTATATAATGAATATCGCAGAATAAATAGCAAGAATAAAACCGGTTGCTACATTAGAAAATGTTAAAATTAGTTGCGAAACCTATTTCTATGGCGGCCGAAAGGGTCTTGAACAAACAAACTAATTAATTGTATTCAGTAAAGTTTTTAATTATTATATCCGCACTACAACTACTCACGTATGTTAGTAACAGACATTTCAAGAATAAATTAATGAATTTGGTTTGGTATCCAATTTGTGTCAACTTCATTTGTGTCGATTTGTCAGATAGCCTACCTATCTGACAAATCGACACGAATGAAATTAGCCAATCGATAGAGCACGGGCTATCGCGATACAATAAACGATAGTTTTTTTTATGGATAATTATGGAATGATACAACCGCCTGCACTAACGGTTTACGGTTTACCACCAGTGGAGGATGATGAGATGAGCATGAGGTCGGTTCAGTTGGCCTATCGTGACAAATTGACCAGAAATTTATCACGATAGTTTCCAGGGTGACTGCGTGGAGGTCAACCTGACTTGGTACGTTGTTGGCAATCCTGCTCCCAATTATATATAATTAAATAATAAACTTAAATAAATATCTAAATTAATTCAGTATAAACACACACACATGCATATTTATAAAGTATTTGTAGGGATTAGAAAAATAAATTACAACAAGCCAGTTAATTAAACGAAAAGTCAAATAGAGAGAATTAATCTCGCCGCTTGACAGTATGAATTGTAACAAAATATCTTGACTGGCTTCATTGTACACAAAGTATATAGTGGATTACTCGACAACGACTTTACATTTTCTCTGTGCTGCACAACGAAGCTACTTATAATTATTTTCTCTGTATTCTCTTTACTGTAGAGAATTTGTAGCTAGAACATGAAACATTTCATCATCAAACACAAGTTTGCCATTATAATCACACTAGCTGACCTGCGCAACTTCGTCTGCATCACATTAACTTTGACATTTATCATTGTATTACGGCCAATTTACATATCTTTTTATATTATAACCTATGTGTTCTAATGTATATTACTGTAAAGTTACATCAAAATCCTTTCCGTAGTTTTTACTTGAAAGTGTAACAAATGTCCATCCATTCATACTCACAAACTATCGCGTTATTTAAAATTAGTAAAATATAGTAAGATAATTACAAAATACAACTGAATAAACTTGTTAACCGTCATCCATATATTACACATACCACAAGAGCACCAAGGACATAACGTTATTACTTCTCGCTCGTGGTAGATCATGCATTGCCTTTCCTGAGGATTAAGGTATCATACTTCTACCCAGTAATTTCACTGCAATACTTTACCCTTCAAATCAGAACATAGCTGAGCTTATCGGTAGAAAGACTCGAGACAGAGACCTTGATGCGATATTCCACTAAGTCTACGACGGTAACATTACCTCAATCCTTGTTTCATTCACTTTATGAACATCTTAACATAAGTTTTCAGTAGGTACTTCTCGAGTGTGGAGACTCTTGACTTCTTCGTCCAATAATTTATGATCTTTTTAACTCTGTCTGACTGTGCCTTTTGTATTAAAACTTCAATAAAAAGAGACATGTCACGGCGTCGGTAAATTTACCCTCAATCCGTGCATCATTCATTTTATTAATTTGCAATAGACAATTGTTAACTCTGATCTAAACCTACATTTCTTCGTCAGATAATTACATCTATTTGTCATTACAGAACACCTAGGCCTTTTTGTACTAAAACTTTAAAAACAATTTCACAGGTCCGTGATGGGTATCGTCTAGAAAAGCCAGAACACTGTCGGAGGGAGCTTTACAACATCATGTACTACTGTTGGGAGGCGGAACCACCAGCTAGGCCAGATTTCAAGGAAGTGGTCACTATGCTAGAACGACTATTGTGTACTGAAATGGATTATATTGAACTTGAAAGATTCCCAGATCATTCCTATTATAACGTCCAAGAATTGGACGGTGAGAAATTATAACGTAAATAAATTATATGTATATTTCTTAAAAATTAATGTAAATAACAAACAGAATATATTGAAAATATTAAAATACATTGGACTGATCATGCATAGAATTAATAAGAATTTATGTAAATTTTTTGTTGTGATCATTTCGGTATGAAATATAGACAATTCCAATAGATTAGTAATATATACAAAATGCAATTACATACTTAATATAATAGTAATAAAAACAACACTGCTAAATTAGGCAGATATAAGTTTGACAAATGTCTACAATGTTTGAAATAATTACAAATAAATTGGTGTAAAATTGCTAAATAATATAATAATTATAAGATTAATACAAATGGATACAATGAGATTTTTTGCACTATTAACATGGAATAAAATTTTTTTCAATAAAATACACATTCGATGTAATAATTGGTTTAATTTTTTATTATTGAGATTCAGATATGCGAGATTCCAAATTAGTTATATTAATAGTTACTAGTCTTTAATATTAAGATAATGTATACTTATAGATGTAAATATAAACAATATTGTCATTGTATTAATTAAGACTATAGTATTACTTATTCTTGGTAATAAATGTTTTGTTTAAAAGTACTAGTTTAATTTCTAAAATATATAAATATCTAATGAAGTATCCTTAGTTTACAATGAATTAAATATTATTATAGTTATTTTAATAGATTTAATCATTTTTCAAGTATTTTTTATACCTTAGCCTGATGATTCTCACAACATCATTTTTATATGCAATTTCAATCAATAGTACTAGAAAACCAGTGATAAATCCTGAAATTAGTACTACAAACCCACCCTGGAGATGTTCAGTCGATAATGGACTAATTTCTGTTGTCTCAACACCTAACATACGCAATAAACTAGCTCGTCTTCTTTTGTTAACAGATGCAAATTCACGTCTAACTGCAGAATTTATACCGTTTTGTTTATAAGCACTTAAAATAGTGGAGAATTTATCAGTCAAAGCAAATCCTTTTAAGGCTAACATTTCCAAAGGAACAGAAAACATATCTAAATCAAAAGTGTAATATTTGAAATTCCCAAAACTGTCACTGAGTTCAGGCATTATAGCAGATACATGAGCCAACTGCAGACGACTGCATAGAAGCGAGAAATTTCTATGGATTACTACATCAATTAATGCTTGAGTTATATTGTTGATACTGATCCATTGCTCTCCAATGTAATAATCGAAAGGGTCACTCGAGTTAATAAACAAATCTCTCAATTCTTCAAGACCACCCATTTTCAAATCACTCTCAGCAAGCTCTTCAACTGTCTGAATTTGATATTCGGATGTCGGATTTCTTAAGACATCTATTAATTGAGTATTGTAGGCAGTTACTGTTAATACACAATACAGGTTGAATGAAACGTAAAAAATTCGTAACGCCTGTTTAGTTGGACGCTTGTATGAAGTAAATCCTAATGTGCAAAGCCATGTATTAAGAAAACAATGCCGAAAAAGTCTATTATAAGGAGTATCACCGCTCAAATGTCCCAACACCTTCCAAATAAAGACACATGTAATAAAGACTATTATGAAACAACACCAAACAAATCTCTGAAAAATTATTACAAGAGCTACTGAATTTGGTGATGGGTAAGCTCGAGGTACAACCCATGTATAAGTATCCGCTAAGTACCACGTACTATACTCAAAATCCTCATGAACATCAAAGTCTGGAAATATTCCTCCTAAAAGTATTTGCGCCTTTTTTGCCACCAATAATTTCAGTGCACCATCCCACAGACCATTACTGTCCCTTTCTCCTCTATACTCTTCAATAATTTCAGTTTCTGTAATTATATTCATTTGTCCAAGTACCTGGTCTATCAATTTTTTTTCTATACCAGGGTCATGTTCTGCTGCACTAATAAATGGTTGCCGTTGAATAGCTAGTATATGTATCCGACATCCTGACATATTATGGGGAACTTTTTCCTCGAATATTTGATTGTCATACTTCAAGGTTCCTTTCTCACAAAAATTTTGTACGATCAATCTACCTACAGCAGTTTCATTAAAATATCCGCAGTGTTTTGGTGGATCGTAAGGACGCCAACTTAATATCGCCGATTTTCGTATATTATTTTCTTCGGGAACAATAACTATAATATTGATTGCATTAAATTTGAATAAGCATGTTAAAATACTTTCCACTTGCTTTATATAGTTTTTACTGCCAGAAAAATTGTATAGTAGTGTTATAAATTTTGCTTTTGGATTCCAGTTTCTTGAACGAATTAGTTTACTGGCTAGATGATTGAAGGTTTCATAGGTATCGATTATAATAATGTAATAATCGGCAACAGGGATTGCTTCATAATGTTCCAAGTGAAAATGTTCCCCCATATATTCTTGGTCACAAATTGGTTTTGAATGAAATGGACTAGCAATTTCAACTGTATATTTAAGATCTCTGTGAACATATTTCAATAGTTCTGCTCTAATATTTACAACTGCAGTGCTCATAGTATTTGTGTTTGCAAAAATCAGAAAACCTGGTTTTGTAAAATGCAGTTCCATTATATTGATTATGCAGTTTTTAAAATCATTGATGACCGTTGGACCGTTAGGATTCAATGTTGTTTCAGCTTCATAATTGTAGAACAGTAATAGAATAATGACAATTTTGAACATGGCCTAATAAAATGTTGCTTAGTTCTAAACGTATTCGCATTTAAACAGTAACTAATCACATCGACAATAGTTATCGTGACTAAAGTTTCGCATTTCGTGATACTATTATCTACATAAATCAGTACTTTGAGTTACATTGTGAAAGGTAATGCCAAAGGAAAACCGTACCTACTATTCATAAATATTTTTTTCAGTTATATAATATATACGTTTATAAACGTTTCTGTTTGTTCCAAGGCTTTGTATATTTAATATTCATTACGTGAGTAACTTGTACCATCTACCGTCGGTTTGTTCATTTATTTTTTCGTGATGGATTTCGTTGGGTTTTTCATTATGATTTTACGTAATTATTCTTTCTTTTACTGTCTGTACCATACATTCAAAATAAACATAACGAAACCAGTACTGATTACTTAGTTTATGTATTAGATATTTTTTTCAATTGAAATTAAAATGAACGTTTGCATTGGTGTCTGTTTTGTATGTATACATATTACACAATATTATTTCCAATCATATATAGGTCTTTCACAATTTAAAATTGGCATAGTTCGGCTAAGGCACTTGATTTTGATCACTTTTTTGCAATTTGAATAGGTATGTAATATTATCTTATCTGTGGTATTAGTTTTAGGGTACATTGAAACTGCCATGTATTTTTAGTTTGCACAAAGGTCCCTAAAGAAAAAAAAAACAGTATGAAACAGTTTTCTCCTAATAGCTTTGAAAATTGGTAGAATTCACTTAGGTACATAAATTTCACTCGATGAGTCGGAAATAAATAGAGTAAGAGCTATTTATTTCCGACTCATCATTACGCAGGTCGAGAATCTAGTACCTAATTTTCTTGAAAGGACCCACCCTAGTTGTTATCTTCCAAAGCACCTCTACTAAGTGTATGACATCACCCGCTACTCATTATGTCTGTCAAAGCATGTTTATTCTAAATAAACCATCAACAAAATTAACAGATATTATATATTTTCTGTATGATATAAATAATACAGCGCGGGACAGATCGTCGCATCGCGGAGATTTTTAGGGAAGGCCTTAGTTCAACAGTGGACGTCTTCTGGGTTGAAATGACGAGGGTGATGATGATGATGGTAAATAATGCGTGATGATTGAGGAGAAAAGACTCATAAAGAGACTATTGGTTCTTCTGTGAAAAATGTTTGACCTGTTAGGTCGACGGTTCATATAGTCCCTTGGAAGTTACATTTATTTTTAATTTGAATAGGTAAGATTATTGTAAGCGGTGACTGTAGCATATGTATATAAACAGCACTATGAAGATGACATTATCGTGTGAAACCTGTCATGCATTAATAGTTGATTTAAAAATTATCGAACACTGAAATTTTGTATTAATTGTTACATATAAACAAATATGTATAATATTTGTATTCCATATAAATAGATACATTCTCTTAGGTATTGATATAGGTATATTGCAACGTAATAGCAATCAATATATACATTACATGCCATCGGAACCCCTGACCGTATCAGCTATTATCCCTTGAGAATAGTCCTGATCATCAAGTCGTTTATAGTGAATTGCTTCATTTAGTTTGAGGAAACCTTGAAATTGTGTCTAAAATTAGATCCATCGTTATCACTATTCCAGCCATTTAATGGCTATCTTGATTGTTGGCTGGTTAGTTCTATTATGTAATATTATGTTATCAGTGGTTCTATATAGGATATCCACTGATCAAATGATTATAAAACGCTGCCTATATATATATACCTGTGTTAATTCTTCTTTAGTTGTTCAATCTTGGTGAACACTCTGGTCGTGACTTTCATGATGGTATATCTTCGTTGTCCTCCTTGGTGTGTCACCATGTAGGTCTGTCAGCTACATGCTACAGCAACTATAATATAAAATATATAACAAACTTGCAGTTTGGATTACCATGTTAAAATTTACCCAATAATCCAATTTTTAATCTTTTAATCAGCTGCAGTCACAAGTACAAATATATCATCCTGTATTTTTTTTAACTTTGTATACAATTAGAAAAAGATCTTTTTTGCGTATATAAAAAATACAAATTGTTCAAAGATATACGATAAGGTCTTTTTTATCGTATATCGTTAAAATCTTCCAGACAGTCCCCCGCCGGACAAGCAACGAGGGGATATGGATTTTTACTAAAAAACACACGGTGTATTCTCATTATCGGCATCCTGCAATATATATAATAATAATACGATAGAATACAAACACGACCGGTTTACTTTTTATCGTGAGTCCGAAAGCATTGGCGAGCTCTGTTGATGATGTGAGGCAGGTCTCATCTTATTGTTAGGGCGACCTATTTCGCACTAATTAGCTGTGGAAAGTGATACCTAAATAGCATTCCTAGAAAAAAAGATGTATATTTTTCTTTTATAATATAATCAGCCGAGTAAATATCAAACAGCGCATCAAACATCCAGCCCCAAACTAAGCAGAAAATAAGCAGAAACATCCTTGTAAACCTCTGTTATTGTTACGTAAGCTACTTTTAGATTTCCTTACATTTATTCGTAGACCTTTCCTATTCTCTTTAGGTACATTGAATACTTATTTTATAAATGTTACTTTACTAGCAAAACAAAAGTTACATAAAACTACATTTTGTATATTTAGAGGTATCGTGCATTTGCATATTCCGTTGTTCTATTTGTTTTGTATCATAATATCCTCATGAAACATTAAACTTAAAACTAAAAAAGTATACTGTACCTATCTACCATTTTTCACATGTTCTTGTTGTCTTGCTCCCTTCTTCTAGTTATTTGTAATAGTTGTAAGCGCTTTTGATGAGGGTAAAGTCCATTGGGTATGTTAGTTTCAGAGTCAGACATGGGCCAGTATAACTTCTACAATCAACAAAATGGGCCATCATTAAATAAAATTATAACGCTAATTACCTATTTGTCAAATGCCCTGACAGTTATTACTCGAAATTGAATATTCACTTCACTATTAAATTTAATATTGATCAGAAAGAAATTCACTTCACGAAGAGCTACAACAACTTGTATGTTGCTTACATACCGCACCGCACCGTATGTTTATTTGCCACAAAAGGTTTATTTTTATGTATATGCATACAAATATGTTTTTATAATGGACGACAATAATTGCATGGCCTTCCAAAAAATACATACTATTTAATACACTTGCTAGCCCTAACAGTACACCCTGGCAGAATACCGCTGGAGAATATAAGGTCGAACATGAATACAGCTCGATTAAATCATTACGTAGCCACGATGGTTTCAAGGGAGGAGGAGTTGCGCGTAGAGGTAAACCAGTGGAGTAATATTAGCAAACCATCATTAATAACTCTAGTGTCTATCAGTCAGTTTGTTACCTTCTTACGGCTAAACTGGTGAAGGAATATTAATCATTTTTCAATTAAAATAAAAGCGTTCTGAAAATAAATTAAAGAGAAAAAACTATCACTGTCTCTTCCACGATCTTCTAGTACATTTTTTGGACATAATTTGTTTATATTTCAAGTTTCTATTGTATAAAATCCCATTTTAGTATCTTTTGTACAATACTAGGCAAAAACAGACCGTTGCACTAGGCAAACAGTCTGTCTTCATTTCATACTATGTAAAGATAGTTACTGTTTTTTATTTCTATAAATACTGGCATATACAAAAAAGAATTCAATATGAAAAAGAAAACATAATGTCATTTGGATTTTCCTAAGCGTTCCAGCTATACGAGTATGTCATACTATGTGACATAAGAACAGCAGTAAAATAAGTCCAATATTTTGGCTTGTTATCTTAAATTCTGTTATGTTATTAATTCTAGTAATCATAGTTCACGATATAGCATACGTACATTAACGTCTACAACATCTACGTTTAATATTTCTTATAACAGAATGTAAAAAGTGTTATAACATATAGAGAGTACAAAAATATATAGTTTTTTTATGTTATTGTAATTTAAGGAAGTTTAAAATTAAAGTTTTAGTATATATTTTGATTGGATGGTGTTGTTAATATCAAGAAGTGCTTTTATACATGTATTATGGTACCTACTATTAGTTAAATATGAAGCAGCATTATTAAAAGGTACGTAACATATGTAAGTAAAATATCTATCACTTCAGCTAATCATTTTTCTTGTAATGATGAATAATGATGATAAATATTTCTTCCGCCTGAGCGAATGGTTTGCGTTGGCGCGGTACCTGTTGAGGATAATATAATAAACATCATATCAGGTCAGTTAGCTCATCGTGACAAATTAACCAAAAATTTGGCAGGATGGTTTTCAGGGAGAACCAAATGGAGGTCAACCTGATACCTTGCTAGCAATGGGGTCATCAGTCCACATTACGGATATCCCCTCTCCTCAATAAGTGCTATGTAGAAGCCTCCTTACTGGTGCTACTATATAAGATGATAAGAGGAAAGTACACTTTTATCGTCAATAAATTTACGATCCAATTATAATATGTGGTGAAGTTTCCCAAAAGTCGCCAAACTAACTTTGACTCTGCTGACTTTCAATCGAATTTAGACATACTGAGATTGATCAGTTATTTCAGGTTATTGACATTATCACATAAGTCATTGAAAACTCGTAGTTCCCAACTTTGAGAATAATCTGTATGTGAATATTATTATAGTGATTACAGATAACACAGACTAAAACACTAATTAATATATATAATATATGTAATATAATATATTACTAAAAATCAGTGATGTTGAAACACTGCTCCGAAATATCAGGAACTCAATATAAATAAAACCTAAGATTCCGTAATTTTCACTAATTATACATATAAATAGTAACCACGACAAATTTAAAACACTAGAATACTATTTTTTATATTATTGAAATCTATAACGATAATAATACTTTCTGAGATGTATTTACTGTCTGGAAATGTCTCGTTAAAAGAAATTTTTCAGAGACTACTAAATAAAGTTGAAGGTTTAATACACTGCAAAATTTTTATCATAATATTTTAGACATAATAATTTTTGACTAACAGCAGTTTTCTTGCAAATGTCCCTGGAGTTTTTCAATACAAAGTTTGAAATAACAGCTGGGGAAATTTCATACTCGCCTGCAGACTTTTGTAGCTCCAAAAATCAAATAAAAGTCGTTTGACAAAAAACTTCGACTTTTTTATTACGTAGTGTTAGTGCCGCGGAGAAACCGAGAAATAATTTAATGCGACTTTTCTCAGTAACATTATTGAGCATTTCTTTTACAAATATTCATGTTTTGATCCAGATTATATTGAATATCAATTTAGTCTCGTGGATTATATAGCGAATAGAAGAGATAGATGATTTTGAATTTTCGATAAACAAGAAACGAAGACTCGTAAACATTCTAGGCTTATTGTTTTATAAATATAAAATATAGTAATGGTTGAAATTATATGCAACTTATCATACAAACAGGATATTTACCGTAATAAATTGACCTTGTGGTTTAGCACACCGCCTTACTTCCGATGGTCGGGGGTTAGATTCCTGTCATAGTACAAACATTTGTATTCATGAGTGTGATTGTTAATATTCGTCTGGGTGTTTTCTATATATATTATATATGAATTTAGTAAAAAATTAATCTATATATTTACGTAAATTGTCTAATATCGTGATTAGATTGCGCTGAGTAAGTTGTCCTTAGATATTATTCTTATTACTGTATTACTTACATAACGTTATCAATATATGTTATTTCTACGTTACCATAAAGTTAAAATAAGGTTTAAAATTTAAATGCATGAGTGAACTGTAATACGATTATTACCTTTTATGTCCACAATCAACAAAATAAATAGTACTGTGGAGACCACATTAAAATATCCCATGATAACAACATGGGACCGTTTTGATGTGGTATCCTTTGATTTTCATTTGCTACAACTTTTAGCCAAGCGTAACTAATGCATTTCTGTTGGATAATTAACTGTATGGGTGTTATTTTATTTCAATGATTGTGTTCTATTTAGAAGAGGTCCTTATGCATATATTATTTTTAAACTCCTATACATTCTATATTAATGTTTTGCATCGTATCTAAAACATAACTAAAAACTAAACCCGAACATGGAAAATATTTGAATCAAATGTACAGTTATTTGAAATTAACTTGGAAATCGGTTAAAGATACAGTTTTTTAAACTTCCCATATAATTCTAAACATTATAACTTCATGTATAATGATTTAAGGCTAAAATAAGATTCTTATTTATGAGTTTATTGACTCTCAACTTCCTTGTCAGTGTGTACTTAGTAGGTGGTGGTAATATGTTCTACCTTTGCACAGGAATAAATAATAAACTCCTAATATTAACGAAATATACTCACGAAGATTCCTCGAAAATATAATTCTTGAAATTCTAGTTGAGTTCAACACATAAATAAGTCTTTTAATAATAGAATATTTTCTTGTTATTTCGGTGATAATAAATTTACACCAAAAGTAGTTTATTCAAAACACGGCCAAAGAATAGAAATAATAAATCATTGAATTTATCATTTTATAATAGAAATAAATAAACTGATAGATACTTAGTTCTCTAAATGTATATATATTTACTTGGAAAGATTTTTTAAGAACACCATTTTAAATTCAAACGTTTTGTTGAAAATACAGAAATAGAAATAAAATATGCAATAATCGAAGATACCTTTATTTATTATTTTTAAGGAATGTGATAATGTATTAAAAAATAAATTTTCATAACTGTAGTAGATGGCATATTTTAAAAGAATTGAAAAAAAATATACTACTGTTATTATTCTAAGAATTCTTTAACCTATGATTTATATTCTATGACAATATCATCCCAATGCTTCCAATCCTTTTTACATGAAACGTCAACAAACAGACTATTTAACAGTTTTCGCCTTATGTAATGATAAAGATACTGAGAGTTATTTTAAATTATTTTAGGAAGGAAGTAATGTGAGTCCTGGTTATATTTATGAACGAGACTAAAATCACAATTGCTCTATATTTTACAGCTGAAACTCGAGACCAAACAACCCCCAGAGCAAATACTTTGTATGATGACGCGGACGACCTACAAAAACAACTGGACAGTGAAGACAGAGATAGGCTGCAATATGGACTGGTTAGTTTATTATATTTATATAACTATAATATGTAATATTATGTTATCTGTGCTATAAGTAACTAGATGTGTGAAAGAAAAAATATTTTCTACATACTAATAGTACAATAAATTCGTTTTTCTCGTTTGTACGTTTCTCCACTTCTTATAAACCACGCATTATATTTTGGTATGATTTTTGATATTATTCAGAAAACTTTTCCCGGAAGGTACACACATAAATGCTTATATTACATGATATACTCATGCGATGACCTGGCAAATATTGTTTTAATAAATAAAGATATATCCTACGACCTATCTCAGATCTACCGTGTATATTTGGTAGATCTGATAATAGGTCGTAGGATATTTGTATAGTAGAACAAAGTCAAGGATGTCGTATAATATACGCATTTGTGTATGCACCTCCCGGGAGCATTTATTACGGTCGATTCCGTGTGAAGGTCAACACGACATAGTATACTGCTAGCAATGGGATCATTAGTCCACAATACTAACAATCGTCTTCCCCCAAGTCAGAGGCAATGTCGACTGTCATCCAGATGAACATCCTCATTGCTAGATATGACATTTCTCTGGGAACATTTGAATCCAACTTAACAGGACTGAGCTCAGTTTCTGAATAATCTGATTTATTGTCTGTTAATATAATATGATAATGACATATCAATATATTTTTGTTTGCACAGCCAAAAACAAATAAACCTCCATAATATAATAATGATACTTAACGTTACTTTATTGTACTGCAATGTTTGTGGAAAACAGTATTGCCTGTTCCAAATTTTAACAATATGACCCAAAAAAAATAATTTACGCTAATAATAGTATTATTAGAGGATAGACTGCATAAGTCGGTAGTCCTCTGTCTCACCGATTTCTGCTTAACCGGTTTTATAATTGAAGTGTGAGTATATCAATGAAATTACAGGGAATAGAGGCATAACATCTTAGTCCTCCGAAGTAATATAAGTAATGGCGTCACATCGTAACATGATGATCGAGGGACTTATCATGTACATGGCGACGTTTGCCATAACAGATAGTTTTCTATGTCAGTTACATAAAAATCAGAATTTAATAAATTCACAAACGTATATAGTAAAATTAAGATTAAGCTTATTTTACCTAAATGCCGTCTGCACAAAATGAGTAATTCATTCTATGGTAATTGCATAAGATTTTATAATAAACTGCCAGAATCTGCATTAAATCTGACAGAGAAGCAATTCAAATCTTATATAAAACAATTTTTATGTAAGAAAGCCTATTACAGGATAGACGAATTCATAGATGACAATATATCAAGTAAATAATTAGTTTATTAGCATACAACGTTATAATTTAATTTTCTCATTGCTTTCTTGATTTAATTGATTGATTTTAGAAATATGAAAGCGTAGCGGTTTTTGTATTGATTGCCGCATACATTCTTAAGTAAAATATGAATACTATAACTATCAGATGGCAATTGTAAGTAGCTTTGACGTGGTCTAGTGTTTTGAGTAGTCATGCTCACTAAAATGTCCAGACTTGTGGCGGCGTGGTGGGCCGGGTCATTGGGCTCCCTAAAATATCGTCGAGCGCAGTGATGGCTGGCTCATCCGTCATACTCGTGAACGGGTGCTGCTTGTAGGGACTGGTCTGCTCTAATCACTATGACTGATTTCCTCTTATTAATTGTTTAACCAGTTATATATTCAATATTTTTTCTATTTGAGTATTTAATTGAATTGGTGCTAATTGGTAGTTTGTATTCACACACTTAAACTTAAAAAAGTAAAGTAATAATAAAATTATTTAAAAGAGCAACACGCATGTTTCTTGCTCGTTCTTCTTGTGATGAGACAGCTTTCCGAACGAGCGGTAGATTAAAAAAAATGTAATGACTATTCAAAAGTGCTTCAATGTAAGTTTATTTGAATAAATGATTTTCTATTCTATTCTATTAAATTAATAAGGAGCATAAATTGGAGAATGTAGGTTAAAAGCATGTGATTTTCCGCAAAGTCGGGAATTCGGGCAACACTGTTCTGCGACTGGAGTCTGTACTATAATTTTACTATCCGATCGTCCAACGGACTGTGAATATGAACCCACATAATCGTTTTTTGTACTACGAGTACGTGCTATTATTGACCAACAAGCTGGCGACCCCAGTAATATATATTGGTAACCGTCGCTTATATTAATAAATTGTATTGGATTATTCGGGTTTGTTTTCGGAATATTTGTTAACATTTGCTTGTTTATTTTTATTATAATAAGTTTGCAACGAATTTATACGTCCTAGATGAGATACTTTTTTACGGAGCGCATAATTCTCGGGCGTGTATTGCCCTCCCTGAAGCAGAGCAGTCTGCCAATGAGGACCCTGGCCTGGGTGATCCGTCGCTCAATCCTTCTTTTCCAGGCTGGTTTCGCATTATCCCTTTGGATATTACGTCCAGCCCGGGGCATTTTTGCGCTAGTATATCGGCATACTGCCAATGCAGCGGCAAAGAGGATTGAACTCGTCTCTCCCAGGTCACCGCTGCCCTCAAGGTATTGAGGCAGCAGTCCATTTGCGGCCTCAATGGCATCCCGCGTCGCCACATTTGGATGTAGCCGGGGAAGCTTCGGTCTATACTTAATTTCGCTTCCATAACTATCTCTTCGTATTCGAAGAGATAGTTATGGAACATAACTCTTCAAGGGGAGTTCTTCGGATCTCTAGAATCGCCCCTTCTAGTATGCTCCTCATATGCTCTATATCCTGGGAAGTTGTTCCGTCCGCATCCGCTTCTGAAGGCCTTTCGGCAACCATCTCTACGTTAGGTAGCACGTCTGAGATGGGTTGCTCCACGGTCGTGGGGTCTGCTTCTGGAACAACTTCACTTCGCAATCGTTCGAGTTCGGTCGCGCTAAACATACCAGAGCGCTGTATGTACCGAACTCTATCGGCTAGGTTCTGTTCCGAGACGATTAGCTCCGGTAAAAGACGCAGAAACTCGCGGTGCATCACTGCCCTGTATCCTGTTCTGCCTGTTTCCGTCCCTGTAGCCCTGTAGAACGCTCGCATGAGGTCTTCATTCATGGCTCTCGACCATCTCATGCGACGTGTACCACCAGTGGCGGGCGCCGATTGCTGGGCCTGTGACGGCCCTGCCGGTGCCAAGCCAGCTGATGTCGATGGCAAGGGGTCGGACCGGCCAGGTGGTGTGGCCGGTCGGCTGGCTTGCATTCTGTCACGCCTACCGCCAGTTGTAGACGTGCCCCGGCGGCCCCCGGGCAGCGACCCTATTCCGTTTTCTTTATTTATACTCGCCATCTTTATAATTGCCATGGCCCCTTTGGCCGCGTAGGTTTTATATATACGCGTGACCGCCTTTCACGTGAGCTAGATGATCAGCTCGGACGCGGGGTTGGACTTTGAAAGGCTTATTATTATTATTATTATTATTATTATTATATAACTATAAATAAAAGAGTACTAATACAGGTACAATAACTGATAGAAAATTATAACGGCTTATTTTATCATGTCCCATTCAAACGAGAATCGAAAGTACGAACGCCTTAGGAAATTCAAACACCAGTGCTGTCCTCAGACTAAAGACGCTTCTATTAGGCCATTCAACCGCTCATTTCAAATGCCCTCTGCACTCGTTCTCATTTCTATCTGGTGAACCTGTAAAATCCAGCTGCGGCCAGATTATATAAACTCCAGCTAATTCGAGAAATAAGTGCATGCAATATACCACATACATGTATAAAAATAATTAGATTGTTCGTTTGGTACGAAAATGGCTTGGTGTTGAGAAATGATCTCTCGTTTACATAGGACTTCAATGTCAGCTTTCTGACATTTCATAAAATGTTATAATTTCGTTATTCTCTTTTGAAACGACATTAGAAATTTAGATAAATTGTACCTATTTAGTAAATGGTAACGCAATCTCTGAACGCGGAGGATGTATTAGCAAATACATTAAATTGGGTATATGTCGACAAACTTTGGGGAGCGGAATATTAAATTTATTCTTACAGATCCAGTGTTCACAAAAGTTTGACGATTTTGTATGAAACTCCTTGTTTATCTGCTCTATAAAAGCGTTCAGGTTCATGTTATTATAAAGCTCTTTTTGTGAATTAATATTTAGAAAGAAAGACTTACCTACATATATTACAAATGCGAAAGTGTGTCTATTTGTTGGGTGCTAAACGGATATTAACAAATCCGCAGGAAATTCATCCCCACATGTTAGGACAATTCGGAGGAGATTCCTTACACGTACACTTAGATTGGGACGCTACATGCCGATATTTTCTCTCGAGACTACAGCATGGGGTTTATCAGGATTAAGAGTCGGCTACATGGGCGTGACACCCCTGGTGTTTCAAGCATCTATAGGCTACTGTAACCATTTACCATCCATCCATCCTTGTTTGCCATCATCGTAGTAAAATAACGTAAAAGAGGACGGATATATGCGATGTTTTATCTGAAAAGAACAGACAAAGTCGCGAGTAACAGCTAATATTATATGTGAAAATATGTCTCTCTGTGAAACCCAAAATCACGTAGAACCTTTCGGCCTTGTATGTACGTCTTATATTAAGTATTACTACCGACCTGGATTGCAAAGAATTTCATATTAAATAAAAGACATCTAGCTACACGTAGCCATGTGTCTAGTACACCTGTATGCAAAATTTCATACAATTCTTTGCTGAGCGTATAACTTAACATATGACGTTATTTTTCAGGTATATACTTAGTCACACGCTCGACAGAGTATTAGACTACCTCATATCCGCAACTTAGTCTGCTTCTTGTGAAGTAATAAACTGACAGACAAAGTCAAGTCAAGACAGAGAAAGTTTTAAATTATCATTTTTATATGGATTAGTCCTCGACATATTAGCATCCAGGCGTAGAAATAGTACACTCTCAAATTAAAGAGTTGATGGCCTGCTTGATTCAAGCAGTAACCGTCAGCTAACTAACATGTACAGTTTTTCGAACATTACCCTGTCGTTATCATGCGACATCCGTAATACTGATCATGCGTTACCATCCCAGTGCACTTGTATATCTTACCTGGTCTGGTCTGGTCCTAATCTGATCCTCCAATGGAAATATAGCTTACAAGGCAAGTTGCTTGGCAAGTGATATATGATAGTGAGACTGAGGTACCAACGCACCTGACTTTTTACTGTTTATTTCTACCTTTTCCTAATATACCCCTGATTCATATGTATGTAAGCATATTTTTTATATATGATAATGTAATGTCCCCCCGCCTGTGATAACGATATACGCTAGCGGCGCACCAGTAGGAGATGATAAGATGAGCATGAGGTCAGGTTCGTTTACCCTATCAAAGCAAACTCACCATCAATTTATGACGATAGTTTCCTTTATCTTAACATAATAATATGGTACATGCTAGCAATGGGATTATTAGTCCACATTACTAACTGTTCCCTTTGCTCTGGTAAATAAATATTATCATAGTAAGAGTAAACACTAAGTAGTGCCCGACTAAACTTTATATTTCGGCCACTTTCCGCACGAAATTACAGTTTAGCTTTAGTTTCAGTTTAGTAGTAAATTGGCCGAAACTAGTTCGATGTTCGATAGCTAATCAAGACTGATTACAGAATTTGTCAGTTTTCTGATTGAAATACATTCCTTTACATATTTATTTTATATTCCTTTTATAACTTTAATAGTATTACGTTACAATAAGCGGGTCTAATGTTATTAACGTTTACTTCCTTTGGTAGTGCAGAGGTGTCGGTACACTTAAATTTGTCAGTCAGTATGTTAATGTTATCAATTAACCATAACCAGACTTTATAGATTAGTATTGTTTTTTGTATATAGATTTCTACTTACCATCAGATAGATGGTAACTCACGTATTTTTTATATGACGTGCTCATCTGAGTGTTACGGTGATTGCTACTAGACAACTAATATGAATACTTTTTTTTGTAAATACATACATAACACCCAAACCAATATAAACAATCCTACTCATGAATACAAATGTTTGCACTATGCGAGGTATTGAACCCACGGCCATCGGAAGTAGAGCAGGGTGCTAAACCGTCAGGCATTTACTCATATAATAATAATATTAGCAAGATAGAGGTGAACGACATTTTACTACTTTAGAACTTGACTTTCTATGTCTGTCTGTAAGAGGTTACAGTTTATTTACATTACAATAAAGACCCAATTTTATTAAATTCCATATATTTATATATGTTACTTCTACATAATATTACTGAAATAGCACTCGCCGTCTATTATAATCACGAAATCTCCGGAACCATAAAACCAACACAATTGAATTTCTGAGTTCTCTTGTGTGATGTTTATACAGCCACTAAGAAAAGGTCTAAAGGAACGGAAAATAACGGATTCTGCGCCAGCGAAGCGTAACTCCCTGTTAGAATAATGTAAATTTGATGGCATTATTATGACACTGCAAATGATTATATTACACAACCAGAAACGCTTCGATATTGATAAAATTACGAAACAACTCTGGAGTAGGTATTATAACAGTGTCCCACGTTTATAATACGTACTCCACTGATGCTGGGCACATTATATATGTAGCTTACAATATCTTCATATTATACGCACTGCTGTTTCTAAACCATTGATGATTGATAATAATAATAATAGTAATCTTTACTGGACAATTTACGCAGTGCCATCTAGTCCCAAGCTAAGCAGAGCTTATGTTAAGGGTACTAGACAACTGATATAAATACATAGATATATTTTTTGTAAATACAAACACAATATATATAGAAAACTCCCAAACAAACATGGTACCCATGAATACAAGTATTTGTACTGTGCGAGGAATCGAACCCGCGACCATCGATAGTAAAGCAGTGTGGTTAACTACTTCATCTTCTTCGTTGTAAGATGTCCATAGTGCCGTTCATATGTATATAGGGGATAGTTGCTAATTGCCATCAGGTGGACATCTAGCATATTTTCAATTTAATCACATAAAAATTCACGAAATCGACCAATTTACTGACTTAACAGGTAGACTTTACAAAAATTCAACTTTTCGCAAAGTTTAATTTAATCTGTTAAGCAAAGATATGTTTCAGTTGAAAGGTCAGATAAGGTAGGGAAAAAAGGGACAGGAGGAATGAGTAGTATCACATGATATCATGATGACCGTAGATCTGCTTATCAGATGTACGATCAGCTGGTTTGCTATTCCTATTCCATAAAACATCTGCACTTGTCAAACATCTATCTCTAAAGAGTTACGGCTTACTGTATTTACCATATTCTTCTTCCATGAGAACGTAACTTTTGCATTTTTAACATTGTCTAAGATTTCCTTTTCTTAAATAAACCTCTCATCTCAAGCATACTATAATAAATCTGATGCAGTTGCCTGCTCTCCTTGACATTTCTTTTCAATGAATACGAATTTATGATCTATCTGCAAATGAATAAAGTTGAAATTCCATTCTGTTCCTTAGAGATTCATTTTATTAAATTATTATACGTATCCGCTATTGTTTGTCCACTAGTAAAGAAATCCTAAGAACGCCATTTGTCCACAATCCATTTGTCAAAGTTTTATTTTAACGCAAGTAATTATATTTCAGTTCCAGCTGCACCTCACAAGGAGTGGGATTATAAGGGTAAGGTCTCTATTTCAAGTTGAAATTAATTGATAAAGTTTCGAGCTACCTAGATTTTCTAAACAAACAATCTCGATTATATCTTCACCAGAGGCCAGTGATAAACGATCTGTAAACCCGCATTAATTATGTTTTTATTAAATTTCACTTACTTTTTAATAAAATAACGGACAAACCTAACCAAGGTTTTTACCGCAGATGACTTTTTACAAAGTTCCCTGACTTTGTAAAAGGAGTCTCATCTATTTAGACGTCAACCAGTTAGCTTTGTAGGTAGAGTAGCCAGTGAAATTAAATGTTAAGAGGTATAATGACATCTTAGATCTCCGAAAGGGCAAAGTATGAGTGTTATCATAAGTGGCACATCGTAAAATAGTATGCGTATATACATAATACGAATATTTATCGCAACATCAATGACTCAGTCGTACTTTTCTTCCATATACGTAAATAAATAAATGTTTATATTCATGAGTATGCCTCTTCCTATTACGTTGTGCATTTTATATGTATATTATGTATGTATTTCAAGTAAAAATATTTAAGTGACAAGCCTCTAACGACTATAAGCACGGCTTACTTTAGGACTCCACCATCACATCACCATCTGCTGTATAATATGTTTATATATTAGATTATATAAAATCTTAACCCATAAAGTTTAGTGATCTAAGTAGAGGTTCGAATTCTTGGACTAAAGTCGTATAGGTCATGCAGGAATTACTGCTCCTATTTTCGTCTCTTGAAGCTGTAAAGGACAGCTTTGGATAACGGTATTAGAATAGTTTGTAAAAATCTTTAATATTATTTTTAATTGTTTCTTCCATTTTTCCAGGTCAAGACAAATGGTCAGCTTCATACCCTGGATGCGGAGGGCGTTCTCAATCACCAGTAGATCTGCCAGTGGATACTCTGGTGAGAACAAAGGGAGCCAGGCCGCTACTGTTCTGCAACTATGATGTCATGCCGACCTCGCTTACATTAGAAAACTATGGGCAAAGTGGTAATACAACTGTGTACTTCTCTAAAAAATAAAGACAAATCGGTCTATAATTGTTAAACATTTTTTTTCTTTTGCACACAAAATTGACGTGGGAAACATGGCGAACTTAATGCGGTTTCAGAAGAGCTTCCTCCCGCATACACTTAGATTGTGGAATGAACTTCCTGTCGAGATTTTCCCACGAGACTACAACGTGGGGTTTTTCAAGAAGGGTATATTAAGGTTTCTTAAGGGTCGACAACGCGCACCTGATACCCTGGTCTTTCAGGCGTTCATAAGCTATGGTAACCATTTACCATCAGATTGGCCGTATGCTTGATTGCCACCATCGTAGTATAAAAAAAATGCCATATGAGATTCTCTACTAGTCAACTGTCGCGCTGATCAAAGATAATAAGGCGGTGTAATTTAATAATAGATATTAACATATAAAAACAAATAAATGAATTACAATAACATATATATATACAATATATAATATATAATAAACTTACATTAAAAATATATATATTGATCGAACATATACAACCTCGTTTTTTTTAAATCCGTAAAAAAATTATGAATTTAACTGGGATTTTGGTTGAGAATAATTATGAATATTTCTACGAATAACTAGCAACTTAAACCTTTAACGATTAAAGAGACGTACATATACGTACATATATGCCCCTAAGCTAAATACACTAAAATCGAAACGATTACAACGTTTGTTTATGTCTTTGTTATCTATTTTATATATATATATATTATAATATATAGTATTTAGTATATTGTCATTTTAAATGGATAGTATAAAAGGACATAACGTGGTGGAATTTTGAAAAAGTTTTTCTAGCTGTCATATTGGATTATAAACTTATGTTTAAATATTTGTATCAATTGTTTAGACAGTATATATGCGCATCTGAATTAGGCACTAGCAAAATTGGCTGCTTCTTTACACACTTTGCTACGAAAGTACTAGTACTATGCTTATATATAATATAGTACTAATAATTTACCATGACAAATCTTGTCCCAAAGAACTACATTTGGTCAATCTGACATGGTAAATTGCTTGTAATGAGGCCATTTGTCCCCATTACGAACAATCCCCTATCCCCTTCCCCATAGTGTTATTATTACAGCCATTGTGTTTATGTGCACACTAAATTAACAATGTTAATTAATTGTTCATCGTAAACCTCCGAAAAGGACTGGGGACGAAGACACTAAAAACCTTATTTCCATACTTACTCTAGCTATAAATTGTATGCGTAAAATGATACTTTCCAAAGATTATCTTTTACAGTTTCAATAATTGTGATATACATATATGAGGCATGAAAGTGAATCGAGTACGGCTTCTAATTATATTATTTCTTTTTGACACAAATGCAATCGCATTACTGGTCACTACGTTCTATCTTAGTTTATACAAATTGTAAAATTTCATAAAATATCTGAGTGGATACCGAACTCTTGCTTATTTTGTTCTTGTCGATCATCAGGTAGGTCATGCTTGTTTACCATTCCAAGTATTATATATAAAATGGTAGGAAAAAAATTAAAAAAATACATACGTAGCTATCGCAGTCATTACTTCCATGTCCACTGTAAGTATTACAGTAAAAGTTCTAGGTATTCACAAATTCAAAAGCTGTAATTTAAAAACATGGCTGTATTTTATTATATATATAGAATTTATGTTTCAACACACAATTATTCTTCCTGAACTAGTATCAACATTTTTTATATAAGTGGCTGTGTCCTTCCCTTCATTTTGTTCATTCGTATTCAAATGTTTTCTTTTAATTTTACCAACCAACAGAATCCTTATTATATTCTTTACATAAATAACGCGTGGGATATTGTAAGCAGAAAATATTATAATGAAGTAGTGGAACGAGGTCACTGTTACAGGATAAACAACAATTTAAAACTTAATCAAGTTACTTGCTAAATTGTGAACGCCTCATTAAAATGTCAATAACTGTGTTCGTAAAACGTACGACGCTCAATAAATAGTAATTCACTGTCCCTTGTACTACAAGTGTTAAATACGATTTTAAATACTTTTGTACTTTCTTTTTAAGTATTTCTTATTAGTTCCTATAATATCTATCATCTATAGGCACCTATTCATAAACCCGAAAAAAATGTAGCATATGTTTTTAATTCGAAGTGTTATCTTAATTATATACATATTTGTATACGAATTTTATAAGGACTGTCATGTACATCAGGAAGAAGCAGATGATATTTTTTGATAACTGTCAAGAAATATCATCGTCTCTATCATCTCATCCCATTTATTTGAGGTTAAGGATATCAAGAAATAATCAAATAAACAGAGGAATTTACTTCCATATTAGTATATATTATTATTAGGAATATTTTTAAGGATTCTATTAGGATACATGTTGTTTTATAATCAGTACGAAGTATATACTATACTATATAACTATACAAACAACTACTTAAAGGAGTTACTTCCACTAATAATTATTTGATATTACAATCACCTATCGAGTTTGATGATTTATATCATATTATATGTATGTATTTACAACATGTTCATTACCTAATTCAAAATCCAATACTTTCTATAGAGGAAGAAAAAATGGCTATATTCAATTGAACAGACTCTAGCCACCTACTCTTTAAAATACAAATATAATAAATATATAATACTAGCTGTTTTTCATATCCGGTTACTTTTGAGATAAAAGTTAGCCTAATAAGGACTTGATCATCCTCAAGTCCTTATTAGGCTAACTTTTATCTCAAAAGTAACATATTAAATTTAATTAAAATCCGTTCTTCCGTTAATCCTTGAAAAGTAACACTTACGAACTTATAAAGTTCGTATGGAATTTCAGTACGTCTACATAATATCAACGCATTTTTTCGCAATCTGGTAACAGCAAAAAGGAACGAATAATCTCTGCTATTATCAAATATTATACCATCCTTTTTGTAACTGTAATAAACTTGGGACATCGCGGACGTGACGTTAGCAGCTTTTTTTATAGTTACAAAACCTCTGACCCAAGTTCTTACCAAGTAGGTCGAAGCGATAAATAAGACAAGGAAAATTAATACGAACACCGCCCTAGCATTTGCGTTTGTTTTTTTTTATGTTCGAGTAGATTGAGCCGCCAAATTGCATGGGGAAATACACAATATCGTTCTATGCTATTTTATTGCGCTAACTTTCTTTGTTAAGAAAGTTTTTGTTAATAAATTATGCATTGTTTATTCTCTGTAAAATATCTTTATTGAAGAAATAAACCTTCTACAGTGAAATAAACTTAGTTTTTTAAATATTTTCTCTATGCATTTAATTAAAATTCTAATTATTCATCTTATCTCAGCAGTTTTAAACGACACAATGTCATAAAAATCATTGTTTTGTAGACTACCAACCTCTTTACGTTTGAGAAGTTTGTTTGAAATGCAATTGTATGTCCTTTACGAATGACGTAAGAATATGACGTGATACAATTTTATGATAATAAAAAATATATAATAACAAAACAAGCTCCTTAGTGCAAAATGAGATCATATTTTTATACCTGTAAAATGTCTTTTGATCTGAGGATACAAGCCCATTTTGGGCGGCTTAATCTACATTGCGAATAAGGTGTAGTGTCATAAAAGTATATAATATATTTGTTTGAATAAAAAATACACTTTTATTCTATTTTACACCTACATACATATATATATATATGTATATACCAATACCATTACTTTCTTTTTTTTCTGACATCTCTTTTAAGGAACAGAATTGAAAACGGTATAGAATACAATGCAAAATTAACTTATCGTCCCATTTTGAATAAGAATACAGTATTACAAGTATATAATGTAACATATTTAAGTCGACTTGTATTGGATTGCGTCAATAATGTTAATGTTCATGAGAATACAAATATATAGTATATTAGGTAAGAGCTATCATGAAATAAAATAATTAAGGTACTATATGGATTTCCGAATTTATTAATGGATTTTATGCTTTCGACGTAGCATAAGGTTATAAATTATTTACGTTAAATTAATTGTTAAGAACTGTTGTGATGACAGGAGCGGTGGTGAGAGTAGACAGAGTCGGGTTGGAAGTTGTGTATTAACTTGTTACATTTTGATGATCTTTTTTCTTCTTTTTTAGATTTTGACGATATAGTCTTAGTAATTAGTCTATCTTGGACTAATTACTAAGACTATATAGTCTAAGGTTATTAACTACTGCATGACTTACGTGTTGTTAGATAAAGTTACTTATCAAACGTACACTAGCACAATCTACTAAACTGCGTGCTGATATATCACACTATAGCAATTCGTCTTGTACAAGGAGACATTGGAAACAACCAATTTTCTATACCAAAATTAATCGAATCTAGTTTTGTTTGTTAATTTATATTTCTGACAGACTTTCCCATAGTAGGAAACATTGTCAGCAAACCAAATTCTTCAAAAGACTGGTAGATTTGCCCCTGCCACGGTGAATTCAAATATATCAAGTAAAATGTTCAAGAGTTGTTTGTTGGTAACCCTATGTGATAACAGCCGTGATATCCTGGTTTATGGGTGTGTGTGTGTGTTGTGTTCTATGTATGTGTGTGGCTATATCCCAAATTATTATTATTATTCCACAGGTAGTAGTATTTATTTTATAATCAGTTTTCTATAATAGCTAACGAGCCAGATAAAAAAAGTATCTATGACATTATTTCGAGTTGTTTACTTAGTGCTAAATGTTTATTGTTATCAGTCTAGCTTGTTATCCGGAATTATTTGGATAAGTTGTCACATACCTGGAATCTTATCGTTTTCGTTTCTACTGGTAATCTAACCACGTCGTGTTTTCTATATGTATAAATATCTAATTAGGAACAGTATTATATTACAAAACAGCCAATCTAATATACCTAGTGAAAACAATGGCAATAACACGTCGTACACACACCACTTATCCCTCGCGCATTTCATTATGGACGACTAAAATGTCAGCAAAATTATAGGGTACAGGATGTCCTGTAATTTATACTCTATATTTTCATACTAAAAACTGCTTTCATATTAAGCTGACTTTTGACGAAGATGACTTTTTACAAAGTCTATCTCGAAACAAGCAGCACGCGAAGAATAAGGCGGTTATTTTTAAAAACTCGAGCTTGATGGTAAACGTTGAAGACCCGAAAGTGGACCTTCAATGAAATTTTGGTCTCGATCGGTCAAGCCGTTTTGAAGGAGTAACATTACAAAGAGTGCTAATCTGAGATCAGATGGTTCCGCGCTTCATTCAAAAATAATAAAAAAAACTTTGTATTTCAGTAAAACTTTATGGAGAATGGAAGAATAAATTAAGGCCTTTAGTATATGGTGGAGCAGCACATAGTCGTCGGTACCTCTTCCACTCTCTCACGCTGCACTGGCCTTCGGAACATGCAGTAGGCGGTCTGCAGTATCCTCTCGAAATCCAAGTCTTGCATATATCCGCTGAATTTAGTACTATTGACGAGGCTCTGGAAGCTTCTCCGAGGGATCATCAAGCTATACTTGGAATTGCTAGTTTGTATAAGGTATGATATTTAATTTAATATTTATCTATCTAATGAAAAAAACAGTAATTATCTAGGAAGAGGTAGTCTGATGTCCGATTGTAAACTGTCGACGTACTTATAACAAAATAATTTGAGTGGCAAAGTTATAAGCGTTTTTAAATAGATCCAATTTTCCTGCTTTTAAATAAAGGTATATTAAAAACGAGAAACTTCTTTATATTTTTCTCAGTACAAATATCAGTACGTGTTAATAGTATGTGTTTCATGCAAGATTGTCGTACAAATTTTGTTGAAACTTATTTGGTACAATGCGTCAAACCGTAAGATAGATATAGTCTATCAATGTGAACAATCTCAGTTAGATTTACATAAAAAATACAATGCAGATATTTGATATCAGTTAAGATAAAACTTGACATTTTATAAGTAGGTACATACATATACATATGTATTTTATTATTATTATTATTCGGTATTAGATTTTATAATACAAACTTCGATATTTTAATTTATTTCTATATTTAAAAAATATATTTCTGCAGTTTACATTAAATATTGACATGATTATGTAAGAACAATTTTATTGGTTTATTTATTGGTATAATAAAATATTTATTTATCATATATGCAAGTATTCTAAAAATATTTGTACTTACTCAGATCGCCTAATTTATAGCATCGATAAGCATATGAAAAATGTGGCTTAATAATATATAAATAAGTAATAAACACCTAATATACCAATTTTACAATTGCCTATATATTTGATAATACTAGCTGATTGCAATTACTTATTGTTTAACATTGCTTATATTTTTGATTAATTAATACACGATAATGTCTAATATTTTGACATCCCTAGATATATATAAGCAATATAATTGCATTAAATGATATTGTATCGTCGCACATCGAAATATCTAGATTTTATCAGCGCATTTACGAACTGAATGTTCTAGACTTATATGTAATCGACATTAATCTTATTATCTCTACCTACAGTATAAAGTGTGTTACTGAAGAATATATAAAACTATTATCAATACTTCTGCAACATTGGAATTTGCCATTCCAATTTGCTTCCAGGCCCACCTGGTGGTAAGGGGCAGCCGACGGCCATATAGATTCTTATGTGACGTCCGCGATACCATTCATGCGTTGCCATGAGAAGAAAATCTGGAAGAATAAAATATCAAGCTATTCAACCGAAACATGAACCAAAATGTAAGCTGTTTGGCAGCTAATATTGAAGTACTAATGTAAACTACTTTTCACAGTCTATCTCGATAGTATTTAAGTAGCACTGAAAGTTTCCGTTATCACGAGATGAATGGCTTATTATGCCGACTTAGAAAGGTCAGGAGTTTAAATCTGGCCGATACCAAAATAGTACCCAGTTTGTTAAACGCAGGTTACTTTTTTGGTTCTTACTTACTTTTATTATTATTGGATAGTAATATAAATACGGAACCGGTTTACTTGTGGCCCAGACACCCCTGGCGGATTTTCTAACAATGTTTTCTCATTATCTCTGACAGAAGAAAATATTTGTATTTATCAGCACAATCTTGACAATTGAAATGAATTTTTCAGTTGAAATTATGTTGTCATCTAAATGGATTTTCTCCATCAATGTCAGATAACCTTAATATGATTTATCACAAATGTTTCTATTAATATTTGTTTAAACTTTTGATGCACATTACATATACAGACATATTACGCATGTATATATAGTATATATAACATGAGGATATTATTATCATGTATGCATATACATGATAATAATATCCTCATATTATGGATAATTCACAATGTGCCATCTAGTCCCAAATTAAGCAGAATTTGTAAACAACATAATATTGCTAAACAACTAATTCATTCATTAATATAATTTAAGAGCTACGCTCTTGTCAGTGGAGCTCTTGCCACTTTCCGCGATATTCCATCATGCTCTTTAAATGTTGATCCGACTTGACTCTCATTTTGTCTTTAATTTGCTTGATGTAGCTGTACCTTGGTCTTCCCTCCCTCTCTTTCCTTGTATTTTTCCCTCAATAATAATTTTCTTAAAATCATCGTTCCGTATCAAGCAATTAATACGCACAATTAATTACCTATTTATTGTGTTTATATTTTATAAACACATATATAATAAATATAGAAATTACACTGACCAATAGCATCAATCATTCTCATAAATACAAATGTTTGTACTTTGTATAGTGCATGTGCGAGATCTGAACCCGTGAAAGTATGACGATGTGCTAAACTGCTAGATTACATACTAGTTAGATTATAGATACCGTTGATCAATCCCCTGTGCTGTTACAAGGAGGATCGAAATTACAACGGACTATATTAGTACATATGTACATCACATGTAAAAGGATTTGTATCAATCAGGCTTTTAAAAGATGCATGTATATATACATATACTAAAAAATAGTAACAAATCTAATCAGTGGTTATAGTAGTATATATTTTTATATATATTGACATGCAAAGTTCATTGCTAAAAATAATACCTTAAAACATGTTTTTGTAACTTGATTTCTCGAGAGACAGAATTCAGTATTGGAAATCTTTGTTAAATATATTCATAAAAATATTTGTAGACCTTCTGTTGACATGAACTTGAAGATATTTAGTAATTTATTGTATTATTTTAGTATTAGGTTGTTAGATCTATTGACAGGTGTTCATATACGTGTGTAGACCTGCAACATTCGGGGATTTATTGTGCTGTGTTCGATGTTATTGTAACAAAAAATAAATTTAACTCAAATGAAGATAAAAGGTCAATATCTTTTTAATTTTTTTTGGTACAGTTACCCATCTAATAATCTAGAATATATAATCTACATATAAATGGTGCCAAATTTCACTCATATCAAATAAAATCTAATCAAAATATCTTTATATATGTAATTCTACATTCTCGTACTACAGATACTTATGATAAGTCATATCTGTGATCTTTTGGAAATACTGTTTTGGTTTAATACTAACGAGAATTTTACTCTAATCGGACAATCGATGGAGTGAGTGCAGAGGGATCTCTAAAACTGCGAAGTACTTATGGGGTGGCTACATTCCTGACTGACGGACATGATTTCAGTCTGAAGCAGTACGAAACTTGGCTCAGGCCGTTATAATTTCGATCGATCGAAAAATCGATCGATCGCCCATTTAAATGGGCCAGACCTTATGATATTTAGCAACCATAGCCAATATCTACAAGACGACATCAGTAGTCTAGTGGTTTAGCACACCGGTTTACTTCCGATGATTACTGGTTTGATTCCTCGCACGGTGTAAACGTTTGTAGTCTAGAGTATGATTGTTTGTAATAGTTTGAATGTTTACTATATAGCTATTATCTATGGACGCATTTACAAAAAAAATATTTGAGTATATCTACCAGTTGTCTCGTAGCCATAATATAACCTTTGGACTAAATGGCGCTGTGAAAATTGTCCTGAAATATTATTAACGTTATACATATTTTGCTCGAGCAGAGGTTTATTCATTGAAGCGCACAATGAATAGCTGCATATCACTTGCAATACATTTGTAATTAATATACCGATCTGTAGATATGGTTCATTAACTCGTTCGTGAGTTCTGATTGCGTTGCCTTTTGTTATTGCTTATTGGTTCGCATATTAATTTCCCGCATGTACTTAATCACGATCAATTTGTCATTGGTTTCGAATATGTTTGATAAATATAATAAACCTATTTTATAATAATATAAATATTACTTATACTACATAACTCAGTTACTAAAAAAGTAAAAAGAGACGCAGAATTAGTAGCTAAAAGTAACCAGCTGATAAAACATACTTAAATCATATCACAAAGGATAACTAAAAGTTACTAATCAAATCTTGATCGTTGAAATTATCTATATATATAAATAAAATTGGAGTGTCTGTTTGTAATATTGTAATAACCGTTTTTTAACAAGCAAATCAATATAAATACGGTACCTACACCAAAATAACATTTTTTACAATTTTTGCATATCTGTCTGTCTATCTGTTTATGCCGGCTGATCTCTGAAATGACTGGACCAATTTTGACGGGACTTTTTTTGGCAGGTACCTGATGTAATAAGGAGAACTTAGGCTACTTTTATTTTAGAAAAATAAAGTTAAATTCTTCGCGGACGATGTCGCGGGAGCAGCTAGACTGTAAGAATATAATAAGAAAAGAATCATTGGCTGTATCAATAAAAATAATATTGGTTGAAAATACCGATGAAGATTATGTTAATAAGTCGCGTAAAAAGTTTTATTGAATCTGCTAAATTCCAACAAAAAAGAAATGACTTTAATTTACTTGTTCTTTATAGTTTGATAATCACACGCAAAAAGGATTAAGTGAATTACTCAAAACAGCATCAGCGATGTACGACGTTAAGGCATCAGTTCCTCTGAACCCATTGAGCTACTTCAGTCCACCGTTAAAAGAATATGCATGCTACCAAGGCTCTATAACAACACCACCCTGCACGGAATCAGTTTTGTGGTTAATACGCGGCCGAACATTGAGTGTAACTAGGGTAAGTAGAATCTATTTTATAACATTTTAAATTACAAACTGACTTTTAAGTGTAATTGATTTGGTAGTTCTGCCGAGCCATAGCGGTGGTCATGCTAACACACCCACGACTTTCCGCGACTTCTGCAATGGCGCTCTTCTTCAAAAAAGTGTAACTGAAATGGCCAACTGACAGCTCGACTCAAACGAGTTTCAGAATATTCTGATTCTTTAAGAAATATTAATAAAACTACTTATCTGCAAAAATGTCTAAAATGTCCAACTCCATTTATTATCTATTGCTTTTTTTTTTCAGGAACACGTGGAGTTGTTTCAAAGTTTACTGGGCGATTATGAAGAAACTGGCAAAATGGTCAGTCGCCGTGTACAACCACTTAATGATAGAAAGACTTTTTACTTTAGTTAGCGCTATAATTTAGATACTTGATACTAATGAAAAGTAATTATTAATTATATTGATTTTAATTAATAATTGTTGTTATTATTACTATTGTTGTTACTATTGTTATCTTAGTACACCGCATTACTTCCTGTAGTTGCGGATTCAATTCCACGCAAGGCATCAACGATTGTATTCATGATCAATATACTTGAGACAGTAATAGATATAATATAAAAATGTTTATTTATTTGAATGTTACCAAATTATGTTCTAGTATCATTATATTGTTATTGTTACCTATGTTTCAATTTGCATAATTTCATTTCGGATTATTTATCCCAGACATATTAATCATAGTGAGTGAACAAAATAAAAACATTTCAATAGATATAAACTGAATTCAAATCTTATAATTGATTATAAAATATTGAAATGATCTCTCTATAATGAAATTGGAAATTAATACTTAATAAAATATTTTACTTTACATAAAATTATTTTTCGACATTCTTTAAATGTCAAATTTTTATGATTTCACTCAGAAAGTAAGAAATGAAAAACTGTAATTACATAGTCTCTTTTTAGTGTAACATCAAAAATGTAAATATAAAGCACAGCTTTTTATAGATTTAATCTATAAATAGTTTCTTCTTTAAATAGGGACATAGCTAATGAAACCTTTCATGTTATTAAACAGGTCCTAATAGTCGCAAGTGCCACAAGAATTTTCATTTAAAATTATACTTTACACGAATCGACAAAGAACTTAAATTGGATAAGACATGAATCGACAGCTGTTGGAAAGTAATAGTAATAGTAATATGTCGATAACAAATAAATAATTAAACAGTTGCATCGAAGGAAAATGGCGACCTGTTTCTTGCCTTTTAAACAGCAGTTCCACCGTAACGTGGTTTTATAAATAACTGCATGCACGTGTATTTGCAGACATCATCTATTATGAAAAGTTAATTAGAAAATATAAATAAGCTATTTATATAACGCCATCTATTATTTAATTAATAAACTAATTAATTATGTAGATGGTGTATTTAAAGTTACCAAGAAAAATACTAATTTACCTATATGGATAGTTTTTAAGATTTCTTTAGTCTAATTGTTAATATTATGTATATATATATATATATATATATATATATATTAATATCATATTTAACAATATATTTTACAAATATTTCACTAAAATTCCAACAGTTTTTACGTCAACAGAGATACAGATATACATTTGTATGTTTATCAGTATTTTTGTTTAGATTTTTATTATAATATTATATTTATAAAACAGTTCGCAAAATTTTTTAGATATATATAACACATTTGATGGATTTTTATTATTTAAATACTGGTTAACTATTAAGTATTTAATGTTTATTATTAAAAAAATTAATGTGTAAAATTGCATAGATACGGGCAGGTGTTGACTGTTTTATTTGAAAGTGAATCATGAATCATGCATCAAATATCAAAATTACTTATAATAAATATCTAATCTGAAACTTTTATCCATTTCTACCGTTACCTGGTAACATAATTGCTAAAGTGTGAAAAATTGATGTTCACAGTTTTGGCAAATTGAAAATGATTCTCAAAACTTAAACACATTGTTTTATTATCAGTGCGTTAACTGCCATCCCACCTACACTAGTGGTATACACTGAACAGTGAAAGATCATATGTTGATTATGAAGCGAGTTCAAAACAATAGCCCATAATGTCGAATTTAATAGAAGTTCTTGAGATGGTTTCTAGGAGGACTGCGGAAGAATTATCCTGGTATGGTTCGGTACATTGTTAGCAATGGTTCCAAATTGTATAAATCCTTTTCTCACAGGTATGAGAAAACTAATTCCGTTACATATTATATATTAATGAGTTTTACTATATTAAATAATTCGTTACCTAAATTTTATGTAACGACAACATAAAAAACCTAATTTTAATTTTATATGCAAAATTAAAGTCCGATATTTTGATCATTACAACAGTTTCTTTCTAATTTTTTGTGTACTGCAATCGTAAATTACACATGTATCAATATGTACACAGTATAGTTATATAAATAAAATCGCATTTTTGAAGACAGTGCCTAAACACGTGCTCGAGTCGATACAAAAGCAGTAATGCCGGTATCTTATCGAGGTGACCGACGTTCTCGCGACACTCGACGCGACACGAAACAAATAATTTATATCATTTTAAGTAAATATATAAGTATATTATATAATATCGGCCGCTGCCCTAATCCATTACGATAAAAAATGATAGATCTCTTTACGGTAGTTAATATAAAATCGGTCAAGTGCGAGAAGTATCTATGCCGGGCGGCGGGAAGGTGGGGCCGCCCGACGGTGCATCGCTAATTAAGTTTTACTATATAAAAATTTAATTATTACAATATTTGTACACATTATAAATAATTATTAATATTTAATATAATATTTTGAATTTATATTTTTTAAATAGTAAAAAATAATTATTATTAATATTTAATATTTTTAAATTCTTGCTTCATGTAAAAAAAAAATATTCTACAATTCATTGAAAATAAAACATTTATTTTTATCTTGTCTATTTAAATACATACGACGAAGAATACGAGAAATAAGACTTCCTCGTCTCTTATATCTGTGATTTCTTTTCTTTCTTTCCAATTTTCTACAATTGCTACTTTTACGGAGGTGACATCTCTTTAAAATTCTGAAAATGTCAATTCCGTCATATGATTTAGTTTTGCCAAGAGAGCTAAGAAAGAGTCGTTACACGATAGAAAAAAATGCCGAAATAAAAGTAAAATGCTTTGCCGAATGCAAAGCATTTTACTTTTATTCCTTTTGCAAAGTTGTTTTACAATATAAATTAATAACGCTATAAAAAAATAGGGGTTGGTGATAGGAGAGTGAAAATTTAGGGTTATATATTACCTTATGCTATGTATTTTTTAATGACACATAATAAAAAACATTTGGCCAAAAATGAAAAATATAATGTTAGGGGTGGACAACCCTTATCACTTAGGGTATGAAAAATAGATAGTAGCTGATTATCAAACCTACTGAATATGTATATAAAATTTCATAAAAATCGGTCAAGCCGTTTCAGAGGAGTATGGTAACAAACATTGTGACAAGAATTTTATATATAAGAAGATTAAGAACAACAGGCTATAATTAACTAAGCTTTTGCTATGGGTAATTAAAAAATAACCAAACCTAAATCATGTGATATCATTTGCACAATAACACCGCTTTACAGAACCCAAATAATCAGTAGCAAAGTCAAGTCATACATCTTTATTGACACATCCGTCAGAAACCGAGATTTCTACTAAATTTTAGCGTATAGATATTTAGTTAGATACTAAGGCACGTGCAACTAAACTTTTTAACAAAAAAAAAACGATACGTGATACGTGTTTTTGAAGTCGATCCCCCAATTTTTTTGACACTAAACTGCATAACGAAAAAGAAACGAATATTTGTAATTTTTTAGTCGAATCAAAATTCAAATTCAAAATATCTTTATTTATTTTATTACAGTTATAATCGTTTATTATTTTCGAATGCACAAGCGAATACATATATACATTAATACAGATTCATTTAAATTCAAATTTGGGCTATCAGTTTAAAAAAAAAAACACATATAATCATCCCCACAAGGCGTTCATGCAAAATACAAAATATAGAGTAACATCTGTGTTTTCAAGAGTCGATATTAGCAAAGCAAATTTTTAGTTATTACCGTATTATTAAACAAATTATATATAGCTTTAAGTGAGATGTTAGATAAAATAGATTTGAGTTATAGTGCTTACTGCCCATCAAACTATTGTTTTTCAATGGTTAGCAGGTTAATGTGTAACAATTATCAAAACATTCAAATTTCACATTATTGTTAACGGATTCAAATTTAACAAATGATTCATAGATAACCTGAAATCCTATTTTAATTCCTTATAATAGACTATTGCTAATACTATAGCTACATAATTAGACCCCTGTTATAGAATGGCATGTAATATTTAGCTAAACATTATTATAAGTACAATAAAGACCTATATATATGGCAGGTGTCGTGTATGCCACCTATATTTGTATATACAATATGTATATATACGTATTTGTTCAGTAACTCAAGTGCGTCATAATATAAACGTATGTATATTATAAATCACTTCATTGTGTACGGCTCTTCTCTACTGTTATTAAATAAATAAATAACCCAGGAAAATTAACACAACGCCATCTAGTCCCAAGCTAAGTAGAGCTTGTGTTATGGGTACTAGACAACTGATATAAATACTTAGATTTTTTTAAATACATACATAATATACATAGAGGGCACCCAGGCCTATAACAAACATACTCGTAAATACAAATATTAGCACCGTGGGCGAAATCGAACCCGCGACCATCGTAAGTAAAGCAGTGTGGTAAAGCTAAACCACCAGGCCGTCTAAATACTGAAATATAATAAAAAATAGATCAAATCCTCGACGTCGTCTGCTTTTTTTGAGAAAAAAAGATTGTCCCTTCTTTTTATATAATCCAATCTATTGTTGTATAAGTTAATATATGGACAGATGGTTACATTTGTAATATAGTATATACCAGTAGTATAGATAATTTCAGTAGCTGATCCTGAATATTTTACTTTCATTCGCTTTAATTCTGTCCCTAGAAATACAGAGACGAACTCTTAATAAGAGTCAGAATTGCGTGCTCGGTTCAAGTCACTTAACTATCTATCGACGGGCCTCGAAACGTTTTTGCAATCAAAATAAAAGAGATTGTGGCTTGATTTGCCCCATAATGATTGGCTACCCAAATGTTCCGATAAGACATCTGTAAGTCTTTTCCACATTCATCAGAGAATGGCAAACAAGTTAGTCATTTAGTGAAAAGTAGTGAAAGAGGAGGAATTAGTAACGATTTTTCTTCACGTTAGAGTTACGTGTACTTTTAAAATCAACTTGTTTTAAGAAAATCTGACTATGAGACTTCAAATTATCTGTCTTAACCTATCTAATATCATCGAATAAAAAGAATGAGTTATTGTATAAAATTTTCTTAGTAGCAAGTTTTGTGTAAAGAGCTCGTCAGTGAATGCCGGCTTAATTAGAAAATTGACGGCCTCAGTGGTTGGTAATGTTTCGCAATCTTTATTTCCGATGGTCGCGGGTTCGATTCCTCGCACGGTAGAAACATTCGTATTTATTAGTATAAATAATTCTTTGTTTTGGTCTAGGTGTTTTCTCTCTATATCTTATTTATCAATGTAAAAAAAATCTCTGAAATCAAAATAAAATATCTTTATTCATGTAGGAATAATGACTCTTATGAGGTATCATTCATCTACCGTCAGTTCGGAGTACTTTAGAGCTAAAAAGAATGGACTAGAAACTCAGCTCTTATTCTTTTCAAATAAGCTTGTGCAGGATTAAAGAAATAGAGGCTTTTAAAATCAATTAGGGAGAATATCGTGACCACCAGGATATTTTATTACATTTCTATGTATTTATATTAGTTATCTAGTACTAATAATCATAATACAAGCCGTGCTTAGCTTAAGACTAAGTAGCGCTCTGTGAGTTGTCAAGGGATATAATAATTATTATTGTGAAAATTATTGACTTATTCCATTAATATTTTTCCGAATGATTCATTTGCCATAAATAATGATTATAAGAAGTATGGGGGTGTGCCTTTGTTATGTAACTAAACGTTGATTAATCAATCAAACAGAAGCCATCAAAATAATGACACCGATTCCATTGCAATCGTATTTTTATCAGTACCTCTTATAAAATTAGGTACGCCAGCCCAGTTTGGTCATTATGTAATTAAAAGATTACAACATTATTACTGAATTTAATACCTAAATAGCCAATTTACTTAATTCAATTACAAAACGCGCGTATAATTAAGGATCAGTCAGGGCTTACGTGACATACGAATTTCATTATTTTTTTACCCCTCTCCCGTTCTTGTCACAGTTGGTCTCATTTGTCAGACTCCCTACTCCTTAGTTTGACATCGGATATTTAAATAAATTTATATATTTTCCAATAAATGTATTATATTTCCTTTATTAGTTCAAATTCCGTATGTTAATACTTAGATGTATTAGATTTTGAAATGTGTTTTCGCGTAATTTAACATCCCTTACATCTTTTGTCACACAAGTCACACTTTGTCGACTCCCTTAATGTTATACATATGACATAATTTATATATGATTCCTTATGTAATATTATTATAGATTTATACAAGACCTAGATATATTAAGTTGTGGCTAAAGATAAGTACAAAGTATATTATCTTAGTTGTGACTGTTTATTAGTAACAAATCGCTAATAATCCAACTAAGTATAAGTTATCTAACGTCGAGCAGTCATCAAAAACAAGATAAACTATTCGTTATTATTATCTTATCGATATATCGACTTGGAATCGAATTGTTTCCAATTTTCTGTATGCGAAAAACAGACGTTTAGAGTGTTGCACAAATAATAGTAAGGTGCAAAAAAATATTAATTTTAAAAATGGAAAAAAAAATTGTTAGATGTAATTTGTCTTCAGTGAATGTTCAAAAGAAGAATACAGCTACAGATGGTAATTAATATTTTTTTAAATATATTTTTAAGATAATATTTCTTTTATTTATTTTTTTATTTGAAAAAAGTGTATTTAATATTTCATTTAATTAATTTAAAAAAGTGTTTATAAAAACCTGATGCATTAAGAAACGATAAAGAATACTTGGTATTAATAGGGATACTGTTCATTTCTAAATACAGGGATTACCAAGTTCTATCCGATGTTTGCTATTCATATATTGTATATGTATAATTTATATAATACTAGCATAATGATTTTATTAACGGTAATTAATTAAACTTTTAAGGTTAGTAAATTTCGAGGGTGCAATATTTTTGCAAGTAATAAGTGACACATGCATAAAGTGACAAAATATAACTATAATATACAATATCCGCTTGCATGTAATGCTTGTTGTATGTAATTCATATCATATTATGCTAGTTTCACTCAAAATAAAAAAATATCCTTTAAAAATTTCCGATACATAAAGTTTTTTTGTGTATGTAAAAAACCTACATCAAAAAAATTACTATATAAATTTATGATTTTCATTTCCAATAAGATCAATAGAACTATTACAAATGTCAAATTGACAAAGTTACCAATATCTGAAATATAACACTTTGACAGAATGACAGGAGAACACCATACATGTTCATTTTTAGGGTTTCAACTGAAAACAATTTTTGTATATAACTCTAAAAATAAATTCAATTCCAAAATCAAATATTATAAAATTAAATTTTAAATATAAATATAAATTTAAATTATAATAAAATTAAATTCTAAATATAAATTGAATTTCAATGAGGAACTTCTGACGTTTTTAACCAACTTTCATATGAATGTTGGTTCAAAACAAATTAGCAAACCCATAATATAGTAGAGAACACACCTGACCGACATTAATACCCTTATAAACCTTTATACTGAATTTATGTTTGGGATATCGGATTGGCGCCACGTCACGTCACAGTGGAATATTGAATTTCGCTTTGAAGTGTACGTCAAAGGCTTGCTAATATAATTAATGTTCTTTTTAATTAAATCTAAATTATAAATATATTACGTTACTGAATACATGAATGGTATGAAAAACACCTGTATTTTACCCGAATTGACTCATTGTCAGATCACATTAGATCCTAGTAAAATAACAAACTATGCTAGGCAGTTAGTTTAGGTGCTATGTTGATATTCAGTCGTTTCGCCTCAAATCAACTTCGTAGACTTTTCGCCCTAATCGAAGGCGTAGGGGCCTCGGGGTCCCTTTGCCCTGACAGTCTCCTACGGGGCCAACTAGCTCTGTAGTTGACAAGTGCACTCCAATTACCTTATTTTTTTATAGATTAAGAAAATGAAATAATATTTTTAAATTTTCCGGTTTTTCCATGTCTTTCCAATTGTACTAATATTAAATAATACTGAAGTATGATTACAAATTGATATAATTAAGGCAAATTAAGAACATATTTTCGCATTTAGAATATTTGTTAGGATTCTGTGGTATTAATACAAGCTGAACTGAAATTAGGTCGGCGCCGGCGGTTGGACTTAAAGTTTAACAAGAAGTCGTGCGTTCTCAAAACGACCAACTGGGTCGATCAATTGTGTGTGAAATCATGTCAACTATAGAAATATAATACTATATTTAGATGAGTAATAAAAAAAGGAATAATAAAATCATTAATATTTATATAGGCAAATAAAATTGAAGACCTGTTTTTGAATTTCAAATTAATTACAATAATAATAATAATCTATATACGAATAATACTGTAACACTGAAGTAAATACAATCTTTTATACAAGTATATATTTAGACTATTATCTCTATGCACTTGTTTTTGTTAATAATGAAATATGTTTTTAGCGGTACACATATCAAGATTACGTCCATCGCAGTCACCCATAGCTATATCACTACAGAAATGCCCGACATGGACCTCCCTGGACCCACTAAGATTCCGAGGATATTGGGATAACTTGTCTAATGCACTACTAGTCAATACAGGCCAAACAGGTGAGTGTTATATTTAATATAATGTAATATTATATAATTAATAACAATAATCTCATGACAAATCACACAGCGCCATCTAGTTCCAAGTTAAGCTAGCTATAGCTTGAGATATACTGCAACAGACAGACAGCTGAAGCGATTTCATTTTATATTATGTCAAAATATATACATAGATATGATAAATATAACCATTATGTTGCTTCACTATTCTATTATTACAGATACGAAACGCTTAGAGTTTCTAATTATTAGATAATATTGTTTTCAAATTACAATATAGGAATGTTGTTAGATATTTGGATTATGATAAATGAGTAGTTTGATTTATTATTAACACTATGTAGATAATATCCATTCATTATCATTATTATAATAACATATTATAATATTGCTTGACGTCATAACATTTTACTCTACTACTAAAATATTACATCTACATAACGTCAGCCGCTTAATAAACAACCGAATGAATGGACTGGCTTTAGATTACCATTTTCTTAACATTTTTTTTCTTAAATAAGGATTTAAGAAAGAAATATTAAGAAAATGGAATTCCACCAAAGAACTGGCTGTATGGTCTAGAAACCTTTGCCAGTCTATATGACAAATATGAAAAACAACAACTCTTTTCTGCTTTGTATTGTTCTGTACTTAATCTTCATTTAAACGAAAGTGACAAAACATTTCAATCTTCTTTTTCTTTCTAGTCAATAAACCGAAATATGTTTAGACCAGGTTATATCAACTTCAAAGGCACAATCTATCGCGTTGTGTCTTTCGTTCAAGACGCTGGATACATTTCAATAATTAAAATTTATATATAGTAAATCAGTTTTTTCAGATTTTTATATGTATATATTGTATATGTCATATGTTATATTGTTACGAGGTGTAGACTAAAAGTCGTACGTGGGTACTTCAGTCTCACCTATTACAGACGATATTGCTTTATGAGCAGTGCAGTTGTGTAGTCAGATTAGCAGTGATAGTAATGATTAAAAGATCTTAGTCCTCTGCCATGATAATGCATGAGTAGTATTATGGGTGTCGTATACATACACCTGTCTCAGTTCTACATGCACAACGGCTGAAATCGGAGAATAGGTCCATATTTAATATTGGCGACACTTGCTATCAAGTGGGTCGTCAACTTATTTTGTAATTAAAAAAAACTATTTATAGATATCAAACTCCATGCCAAAAGCATTTAAATATAATCTGTAATGCTATTTTTATCAATCGTTTAAACTTTATTCTATATGCATTTTTATAGAAAGTTTCATAACTGCCAATTATAAACTTTTTCTAAATATTTTATACTTCTATTATATTTCATATATAACTTAGTAATAGTCGATTTGATGCCACACTGTAGGCATTTTTGTATTTAGGATTAAAAAAAAATATATAGTTTCGGAATCTACTTTGCATTCCATCATCATTCAGATCATCAGATTATCACGAATCTAAATATATATAACTCAAAGGTGACTGACGTAGTGATCTATCAACGCACAGCCCAAATCACTGGACAGATCGGGCTGAAATTTAGCATGCATAAAGCTACTATAACGTAGAAGAGACTCTAAGAAAGGATTTTGATAAATTCTACCCCTAGGGGATAAATTAAAGCGAGCGAAGCCGCGGGCAAAAGCTAGTTTAATGATAAAGTCTAAAGAGACTTTAGACTTTATCATTGACCGTATTTGACATAGAATTAAATATGTTTTTCCATTTATTTTGAAACAAACTAATTTTATATTTATATGTAAGTATTTTATATTTCTTTACACTTGCCGTATATATTCAAATTCAAATTCAAAATTCAAAAATCATTTATTCATGTAGGACTTTTTACCCGCTTATGAACGCAAATTTTTACATTCTAATTTAATTTTATCCCTACCGTCCAGTTCGGTATATAGATCCAATTGAGAAGAACTGGCAAGAAGCTCAATTGAATTATTAATATAATGTGCATGACATAACATATTGCATTATAAATAAAAAAAAATGTATTACAGAAGTGAACAATAAAGTGGAATATTTTCATTATTTTATTGTACTACTACAATATACTTACTAAAAAATATTTTTTCCGTCTTACATTAAAGCTCTTATAATACATTTAATCGCTTTAGAAATTATTTTAAGACTAGTTATTTCCGCGATACGTAGAATTTACCTTTATTTTTCTAAAATAAAAGTAGCCTAAGTTACTCCTTATTACATCAGCTATCTGCCAAAAAAAGTCCCGTCAAAATCGGTCCAGGTCCCAGTTCCATATCAGAGATTAGCCGGAACAAACATACAGACAGACAAACATTGTAAAAAAAATACATTTTGGTATATGTACCGTATTTATATTCAAATGCAAGTAGTAAAAAATGGTTATAAAAACGGTTGTCAATATTACAAATACACATTCCAATTTTATTTATAAGTATAGATGATATAATAAAACGGCCGACAACCGACAAATCTGATTTATAGTACAAGATTACATACACAAATAATGATCATAAAAATAATGTTGGTACAAAACTATTTAAATTTAGCTTTAGTTTCCTAATCGAAATTTATTATAGACCTAAAAATAAAAATATATGTATTTATTTTTATTTGTATTCTAAACTCTTGAATATTCAATTTAGAGCGATTGTTTAACAAAAATAAATATCACAATCAAAGTAGACTCCACTTATTAAATTTTATGAAGTTGAAATTCGTAGAACACAACAAGATATTTACTATTTATTATCCCCGTAGAATATTAACGAATACAATTCAGTAAAAAAATAAATATAAATAAATATTCCCTCTAGTAATAAAGATGTCTTGTTATGCTATATTATTATATTCACAATGTTTATTTTAAATCGTTTGTATGTATAAATAAATTCATTCATTCGTACATAGGATTTTCTCAATGAAAACTATTTTTATTTCAAAGAGTCTTTTATAAAACCTACGCGGTCATGTGATCGATTTAGTATGATTGAAAAAGTGTTTTCTGATTTCCTATTTCCGTCTTGAGAACGGTTTACTTTAGTTCTATTATTACCGACTTTCAGCGTAATATGTTCGTTACATTTAAACTTTGTATATATTTAACAAATAATTAAAAATACGAACTCTTTATTGTACGGAAGTTGACTTTATACTCGTATAAAACTAGCGAGCCGCTCCGGCTTCAGATGGGTACAATGCTGATACTAAATATACCTAATTACCTAAATTTATCAGTGTTTCTCTATAATATTATGCATGTATACATACAAACCTTGCTCTTGAATCACTCTATCTATTAAAAAATTGCATCAAAATCCAAAAGTTTTAAAGATTTAAGCATAAATATGGAGATAGAAGCAACAGACAGCGACAGCGACTTTATTTTATACTATGTAATAAAGTTTTGTAGGTATCTATGTATCTTAATCTCAACAATTTCAGCCTCCAAACCGCTTTGCTTTGTTTTGGTTTTAGGGTGAGGTTAAACAATGCAATTATTTATTTTATATTTTATGGAATGGCAATGCTGAGTTTAGTTACCAACCGTACTTTATGATCTATAACAGTAGTAGAGTACGCTAAAATACTCTTTTTTTTTACACACTGTTTACTAGTTCCAGTCACGTAATATTAAGAAAACCCTTTATCAGATCAAGAAAGTCGACTATTTAATATTAATATGTGTTGAATTGGGAGATATTCCGAGTGAAAATGATCTAGATTTTAATGGATATTCTTAATAAAATACGAACATGATGTTAAACGTAACTTTTAATCTATCAATATATATTTTTTAACAATGACAGAATTTATTACTCAAATACAATTATGTATATGAACCTCTATGTTCATTCAACATGCCCCCTTAATTGTATTTTAATTTAACATGTATTTAAGAACTAAGTAATTAAGAACACCACTAAACATTTTAAGAAAACTACTTTAAAAAAAAATATTAATATTACTTACTCACTAAACTATAACTATTACAATAAACAAATTAAAAAAAAACTTCTGTCTTAAAATAAAATAAAATTACTTGTATAGTTGCCCCCTTAATTTTGTTTTATAAACTAAGAAATAATATAAGACTTTAAATAAGAAAATTTTACATTTCCAAGAGGCTTCGTCAGAATATCAGCAATTTGATGCTCAGAGGGGCAATATTTTATTTTTAAAAGTCCTTCACTGACTTTTTCGTGTATATAATGATATCTGACATCGATGTGCTTTGATCTTCTGTTCATAATACCGTTGTTAATTAAATGAATTGTACTTTGATTATCTACATAAAGCGTTGCATTAACTTCTTCATTTACTACCTCACTAATTAAGTTTTTTAGGTACATTAACTCCCGGCAACAATCTGCAGCAGCTATATATTCGGATTCCGATGATGACATGGCAACTATGGGCTGTTGTCTTGATGACCATGTAATAGGACCTCCACATAGAAAGATTATATAGCCTGTTGTGCTCTTTCTTGTATGTGGATCATTAGCATAATCAGCATCACAATAAGCTTCTAAATGCAGATTACTGTTATAAAATTTAATACCTGAATTTGATGTCCCTAGCAGGTACCTTAATATTCGTTTTCCATTAATGACATTTTGCTTTGTTGGTTTTTCCACTCGTCTACTACAAAAATTAACCGCAAATGCTATATCAGGACGAGTTTTATTAGCAACATATAATAGCGACCCTATAAGTTCTCTGTAAGGAAAATACGAATTATTAAAATCTATTTCTTCATCTTCTGTCTCTATTTTGTTTGCTCCGATGCATATTGGTATTGGAGTACTTTTAGCAAAATTTATTTATTATTTTGTTAATGTAATTTTCTTGTGTTAATGTAATATGATTATTTTCATTTTTATTAATTTCTATTCCTAGAAATAAACTAGGTTCTGTATTCAACGTCATTTCAAATTCATTTTCCAGCTCTTTTATTAACTTCTCCATTTTTTTTTTTTTATCTTTTCCCATGAGTATTCCATCGTCTACATAAATACCCAATATAAGTGATTCATTTTTAAACAAACATTGATCAGCTTTTATAGGTAACAATCCTTTATTTTTTAAATATGATGTAAATCTCTCGTTCCATTTTAATGGTGCTTGTTTTAAGCCATAGAGTGATTTTTTTAATTTTACATATTTTTCTTCATAACCCTCTGGTAACTTCATGTATATATCTTCCAATAACTCTCCATATAAAAAAGCTGTTTTAATGTCAAATTGCATAATATTGTAATTTTTATATGCAGCAATAGCAAACATTGCTCTTAATGTACTTGTATTTATTACTGGACTGTACGTTTCCATATAGTCGATTCCTTCTTTTTGTTGACAACCTTTTACTACTAATCTAGCCTTATAGCGACCACTTTCCTTAATTGTAAATACCCATTTTGCCGTTAGTATATTTTTATTTTTTACTTCTTCCACATCTATTACATTCCACGTATTATTTTGCTCTAATGATTGCATTTCATCTGCTATAGCTTTTTTCCATTTTAATTTATCATCTCCAGATATTGCTTCTTTGTATGTTAAATATACGAAATCTGGATGTATATTTCGTTTCTTTTCTCTTTTTCCTCTACCTAGTAAAGTATCATCTTCTTCTATAATATTATTATTGTTTGAACAACATGGAGTATTCTGTAAAAAATTTGTTTGTATGTCTTGTGACTGTTCTTTATATTGTTCATACATATCATTCATACGTACCATCTCTACCGTATCATTAAAGTTTTTAATTTCTACATTGTCATTTTGGCAATCCATTAACAAAGGTGTATTATTATGTTTTTCCTTATTTATATTCATATCAAAATCATTGGCTATTTCATTAACATCATTATGAAAAATTACATCTCTCTCTACATAAATTTTTCTTTTCTCTTCCGACCACAATCTATATCCAGTAGGAGCATATCCAACCATTATTAATTTTTTGCTTCTAGGTTCAAGTTTTTTTAAATAACCAAGTTTTTTTACATATGCTGTACTGCCAAAACATTCGACATATTTAAGATTTGGTTTTTTATTTGTCCATTCTTCATATGGTGTAATATCCATTCCAACTGTAGGTAATCTATTAAGTAGGTATGTAGCCACTAAAACGGCCTCACCCCACATTTCATTTTTAAGTCCAGATTGGAATAATAAAGTACGAGCTTTTTCCATAATGCTTCGATTTAACCTTTCAGCTTTTCCATTTAACTGAGGTGTATGGTGAATAGTGTAATCTAGTTTTATCCCTTTTCTCTGACACCAGATTTTAAGATCATTATTGGTGTACTCACCACCATTATCACATCTTATAGTACTGACTTTATTCTCTGTTTCACGTTCAACTTCGTTAATATAATCTTTCAGGAGTTGTGACACTTCATACTTATTTCTCATTAAATAGGTTTTTACGAAATGTGTAAAATCATCAAGTACAGTAATAAAATATTTCTTACCATCCCAAGTTTCATCTTCGATACTACACACATCAGTATGAATAATTTCTAACTTTCTAGTAGCTTTATTTCTAGAATAAAATGGTTTTCGAGTTTGTTTCGCCATAATACAAATTTCACATTTAAAGTTGGTTAAAAATTTTTCATCTATGTTTATACCAGTTGCCAATTTTGATAATTTTAACAAAGATTCATTTGACGGATGTCCCATTTTAAAATGCCACATACTTGTGTTGTCTTTCTTTGTTGTATACAGTGACATATCTTTTCTGTCAATAAATGTTTCTAAATTTATGACATATAATCCTTCTGCTGTTCTTTTACCGTGTAGGATTGTTTCAGAATCTTTAGTAATAATTACAAACTGATCTGAGAAATTCACTTCACCGCCATTATTTGTTATATTGTTTACAGATAGAAGATTTTGAGTTAAACTGGGTACGAACAAAACTTTTTGCAGTATTATATCTCGACCAATTATTATACCTTGACCCTGTGCCATCATAGTTTCATCATGTTTAGCAACACTGATCTCAGATTGAATTTCTTGAAAATCATGTAGTGTATCTCGGTTGTTTATCATGTGAATTGAACAACCCGAATCCACTATAAATTGTATGCTTTTCTGATCATTTGATATTTCTTTAGATAGAAAGGTAACGTGTTTGTTATCCTTTTGATATTTATTTACAAATTGTTTTTTATCTGTACTATAGTTGTTCTTCTTTTGAATGTGGTATTTCCGAAAATAGCAATTAGCTTCTATGTGATTTGTCTTTTTACAAATAGAACATGGTTTTGTTCTACATTGCTTCGCATTATGACCCATGCGATTACAATTTAGACATTTTACAACTTTCAGCGTCTTAAAAGCAGTAGCAGTTGTATTCAGATATTCAGTTTTATTCAGCCTATTTTCTTCCGTTAAAAGTCGACTTTTTAGGTTTTTAAGGGTCTTTTCATCTGTTTGTGTTGATTCCCATGCAGTAATAAAATATGAATAGTTGTCTGGTAATGAACTTAATATTTTTGATGTTACAACTTCGTCATCCAATTTTTGTCCAAGTTTTTTTAGTCTAAAAGTGAGATTTTCTATTTCTGACAGATATTCATTAATGTTATAACTAGGTCGATATTTATAGTTGAAGAATTCTTGTAAGATTTGACATTTATTACGTTCTTCTGAACCATCATATAAACTACAGAGATTGTCGAACATGTCTTTTGCATTTTCACAATTTAATAAATGTTGTACATGTTTTTTATCAATAGATGTAATTATAATAGCCTGAGCTTGAGCATCTTTTCTTTCCCAGTCGCCATCTTTTTTCAATTCATTATTGCTTGCTATTATTTCAAATAATCCTTTGGCTTTTAGTATTATTTTTATCTCGAACTTCCAGATATTATACGATTCATTATCTACTAGTCTTGTTATGTGGTCTTCATTACTATTACCCGATCTCGCCATTTTTAATGTTTTTAATTTTAATTATTATATTTTATGTAAATATTAATATATTTTATATTATTTGTAGTTATTAGCCCATAACCTGTTGAATTGGGAGATATTCCGAGTGAAATGATCTAGATTTTTAATGGATATTCTTAATAAAATACGAACATGATGTTAAACGTAACTTTTAATCTATCAATATATATTTTTTAACAATGACAGAATTTATTACTCAAATACAATTATGTATATGAACCTCTATGTTCATTCAACAATATGTTGGTATTCTCAATTCCTAATGCCATATTCGGACGTTTTTGAACACAGCCAGTAATGTCATATCTGTCAATCAATCATAATATGTTTATTTACTTCATTTAAAACCAGATATACTCTATTTCTTCTAATAAGAGTTGGCAACCCTAACGCTGAGTGGTATCACTGGTGACATGTGATAACGTGATGTCAGTAGTGCTATTCATATATTCAGTCAGTTACTTAGTTTTCCAGCTGTCAGCTTATTTGCCATTCCAATTACATAAAAAATGAGAACTCGTTTTGAAAAAAGATCACAAGTAAACATTGTACGCAATGAACATTCACAATGCATATTAACATTTATTACTCACGCTGTACCGGTCCATGTACGGCCATTTATAATATTGCGTCTTTTTTATTGATGATAATGACATGGTTATTCTGACTGCGAAAATCTCATGGATGAAAGAAAAATGTTGATAGCCCATTGTGACAAATTGGCCACGACTTAATCACGACTTTTCCCCCTGGAAACCCACATACGGGTACAGATTTTGATCTATAATGAAGGTGTGTATTTTACGGGAGAAATCAAAATTACAGTGGTTGAATAGTTTTGTCAGATGGATGACAACCAGTTTCTTTTTTTAAACAATACTAATAATTGAAAACAATAGTCAGCGAAATTTGCAACGTATTATCAAATACAGATAAGATTACAAATGTCAAGAACAAATCACTTAATCATCACAATGTCTGGATAACGTTGACATTATAACATTTCATTTGATTTATTGTCTATACATACTATATCTAACTATATATGTTACATAGATAGAGCAGCTATATTTGCATTATATAATGATAGAATATTATTACATTATTAGGTACATTTAAAACGATGCGAGATTATAAATGAAACAAGGTACCTTATTGCAGATTTTTTTGAAGGCAAGCTTAAGAACAGTAAGTAACAGATGTAATTGTAGGATGTAGTCTAAGTAAACAATAGGTAAAAATAATAATATAAATAAAAAAGAAAATAATGTTCACTATAATAACAATTAAATTAAGCACAGAATAACGGAAATATATAAAATTGGTATAATACACACGTGTGTAAATTATAACATAAACCTTAAAAATTGTCTTTATTTCAATAACAAAAACGGTTATTGTTATTTCTAGCTTCTTTTCAGAGAGACTTTGTATAAAATTCGTCTATATTTGCACCTCTGTCTCACTTACTTTTGTTATCCGCTGATTGCCTGACACGTTGTAATGAGTTGGAAAGTTATTTTTTCAGTATATTATGGCATTATCATTCATATGAATTTCAGATTAAAATAAAAAGAATAAGGTAATAAAATTACAGCGTACTGAGGGGAATTATGTCACAATTATAAACAAAGTAAAAATCCTCCCGATTATTTGCAAAATGATGATCTGGTATGATGATGGCGCTTTGTAAATTGTGTTGTGTGTGTATCTTTACATAAACATCTTTACTTTTTATTTTTCATATTGAACACTTTTTAAGAAATATGTAACATAGTTACGTAATACTTATTATGTACGTAATACATGTATAAAATGAAATCGCTTGCGCTGTGTGGTCGTTTATATTTCTTAAACAACGCATCGGATTTTAATGCAGTTTTTAATACTAGATAGAACGATTCAAAGGAAGGTTTATATGTATAACACATGTACACCCGTAAGAAGCCGGGGCGTGTAGATAGTTTGTTATAATTAAACCTTGTTTTATTTTATTGCAGCATATTTTACATTTGACGCGTCCGCCTCCCGGCCCGTTCTTAATGGCGGACCTTTAATTGGCGAATACATATTTGAACAAATGCATTTCCACTGGTCTGTAGATGAATTTACGGGCTGTGAACACGTATTGGATGGGCGCGGGTGAGTTATTTTTGTTTTTGAATTTTACTACGGACGGTGTTATTTCTGTCTACAATCAAAAATCATATTAAACGATACCAATTTGCTTTTTTTACGTAGATGAAACCTACAAATATGTATGTAGGTACATTTCAATTTCTTCCAATTGTTAAGTGTCTACTGAACAATTATAAGAAATAAGCAGTTTTGTCGGCTTCTATTTTTTAGATAAAAGATCCTATGTGTGTGAGCCTATTACAATCTATTGTATTTAAACAAGCCATTACATGACGCCTTTATATTAAAATTATTTTTTAAACACATTCAGTTTGGTTTAGTCTAGATTATAGATAAAATGTAAAAAATACGTTTGATGGCAGATTCAACTTTCCATCACCTTATAATTTTTAACACTGTTTTTTTTTTGTTTGAAACTTTATAATAAGGTACAATTGATACGCAGTTGAATTACAGAATTGGTATATTAATATCGATACGTCTCATGTATTAGATGAGACGTGTGATCTAGACTAAGCTCTAGATTGTACCATATACCATTGGTGTCACAGTGCATTTTGTGCAGTCCGTTATGTTATTCATTTTCATAGACAACAGTGTCCAATTAACAGTGTAAAATTAATTACAATAACAACAATAAACGAATAGAGCCTTTTCTGTTTATTGTTGTTATTGTAGGCTAAAGAGAAATAGAAATAGATGAGAAATATTATTAATTGGGATTTAAGTTTTGTTTTTATAAAGTTCTATTCTCATAATTCTGTTTGTTACATCACTTCTTAGGATATTCCAAAAAATATTCTTTCTCCTTTCTTTTCTTTCCTTTTATTACCTATAGCACAGATAAGATAATATTACATACATATACCCCATCCAGTACAAGAAAATGGTTCCATATTAAATCGGACTAGTCTTCGGGCTATTATATTTTTTCGCCATAGGCGCTAGATGTCGCTAGATCTGCCGCACTTCGGATTACTAGTGGGAACCATATTAATAAAAAGAAGAATACAACGAGACAACTATCAAAACATCCAATTTAATAATATGTTTGTTTATTAATCTCTTGGTATGTTTAATATTGTAAAATTGGTTTCAGATATGCAGCGGAATGTCACTTCGTTCATTATAATAGTAAATATCAATCTCTGGAGGCAGCTGTAGGCCATCCAGATGGACTCGCAGTTGTAGGCTTTTTCCTAGAAGAAGTAGATGCTCCTAATCCCAGATTCGATAAGCTTGTACACGGTTTGGAGGGTATCTCGAAGAGAGAAAATTCTGTTGTGGTCACTGGAGGTTAGTATTAAGGAATGGTTATTCTAATAAAGTTAAGATCATAACCATGTAATCCAAAAGTTTCACCCTTTTACCAGCTACCCCTATGTTATAAGCAATATTAATGCTTTAATAATTTTCTATTGTGAGCTATAGATAACTGATTAATTTATATGTCATAACAATGTTTGTCGAATAAAGTAAGTAAATATATAAATTCTCTCGATAGAACAAATAGCGGCGCAGGGGTATGTTCACTCCTTGCCAAAAAATAATTAAATACACTCACAAAATGCATGCCAATGTTGCATTGGCACGACTTCCACAGTCGATAATGCGATTGCCATTTGTTACTAAAAAGAAAATTGAAACACGAAATTAACTATGCAGAGCTCGTTAGTTTTTATTTAATACCCATACTGGTTGCTAAACAACTAATAGAATACTTAAATACACACATATAGTAGAGACACGCGCAGAACTCGTCAGTTACGCTCGCGGGCTGCTTGTATAATGCAGTTTTTATTCGAGTTACTATTCATAGGCCGCCATATTGTGCGCCAATACTCTCGAAAAACCGGAAGCGATAATATTTTATTATATTATACATTATATATATATGCCATATATTAACAATATCTACATATATATATATATATATATATAGAAAACACCAGACCAACACGCATTTTATTGTAAAGAGCGAGAAATCGAACCTAGACCATAGAGGCCATCGTAAACCAATAAGAAACTAATTTTACTCTCTCGTTACAGATTCCCTAGCATGGATGTATAGCAATAATCTAAACCAAGGTTCATATGTCACGTACAAAGGTTCACTCACCACGCCGCCTTACACGGAGTGTGTGACCTGGATTTTATATGAAAAGCCGGTACAAATTGGCAGCCAACAGGTACAGTTGACTTCATCTAAACTAGTAAAAATTATAGAAAATCTGTTATTCCTCTCACAGAAAAAAAACTATAGTTCTCAATTTTTCTATATTATTATGTAAGTAGAAAAAAGATTAGATATTAAAACAACTGTTGATGAACAGATAACGCTGTTGACTTGTGGTTTACTACCAGATTTGAAACCTAGACAAAACAAAAAAAACAACATACCAATTACTAATTTATATTCGAGACTAACACTCCGATTATGGAAATACCGATAACAAACTAAATTAGTCAGAGAGACAGTGGTAGTTCGTTATTCTACACAGATAAAAACACTGACAATAAATGAAATTAATTCGAGAGAAATCTAGTGCTAAGCACTGGCTCGCTCTCGCTATTTTACGTAATAAAACAAACATTAGAAATAGAATTTGTTTAATATACCTATATAAAAGTAATCAACAATTATTTCAATTGTATTTTACAATATTCTTTAGGAAAAGTTGGTCAATTTCATATTATTTATCACAATAATTATATAATAATATCAATAATTGACAGACACAGTTTAGAAAATCCAGGTTTGAAATTGCTGCAGTACAATTAAACTAGAGACAGCTTTATTTGATTCAAAGTCATCAATATCACAATGACTTTGTAAGTCCCATAGTTTAATATCATTCGATGGTCTATTATTAATTTTGTTGTATTATATTCGGAACAATGTTGATAAATTGTCACTCACCTGGCCACAAAATGACGGCCATTTTCAATAAAGCGTTCACAGTGTCATTAATAGTAAAGTTCATTGACACAAATCTAAGCCGACGATTCCAAATTTGAATATTAACAACATTTGAGTACATAATTAGTTTTGTCCTTTGCCCTAGTCGGACTTGCGTTGACGTCAATAGGAGTTAAATATTTTTTGTATGAATCTGTGTAACATTTTTTTAAGTTGACATATTTGCAAGTAATTTTTCTGAACATACAAGTTCGTCTTAATCAATACAATATAATTTTGTGTGAATGTGTGTAATGTTTTTGGGTTATTTTTTAACTATTACATATTCAATTTCTCATAATAAAACGTAGAGTGTTTTAATAATATATTAGTCCTAACTCAAGATAAAGTAGTATTAATTGCCCTACTGTTTTAATAATATATGAGAATTGCTGTTTTGATTTTATTTTTCATTACTATTTCTATTTTTAAAAACTAATATTATAAAGAAATCCCTACTGGAGTAGATATCCATCCTCAATTCTAATAAATACATATCTACGTGTGGAACTCTAATTTTGTTTTTAAAACAGTTCATGTTAACTACTAATAATTGATTTTTACGTGTGATTTAAAATTTAAATCTATCAATTAATTTTAAGTTCATACATACTATGAAATAACATGTTTCTTTACAATATTATGTAGTATAGATGAAAAAATCTTTATTTTTTCAATAAGTACTAATTTACAAACACTTTACAATTCCTATTTATTATAACGTACTCGTTGGCATAGAGTAGTTAAAATATAGAAAAAAAAACAGATTATTATCTCGATAAATTGTAAGTTACAAATACTTTGCTATTTCTATTTATTATAGAGTACCTAGGTATTTAATATACAATTTACATCGACCACGACAGACGTAATACAAAACCACAGTTCGAAATAAACACATCAATTACAAACTCGTTTTCAAAGTTTACCAAATTTAATTGCTTTCTGCGTTATTGTGGCGGATATTTACAGCTACCATAAAACACTCTTATACTAACAAAATTGCCGCGTACCTTTTAAATGACTCAATAACATTTAACTTCCATTATTCGAATGATTTGCAGCTGAGCCTTATGAGGAAATTGGAGGGACCTAACAGCGTGCCGATCGAGAGAAACGTCAGACCCACACAGAGGCAACCACCCGGACATTCGGTAATCTACGTAAAGCAATCCAAACTATGACACTATATGTTAAAAATAAATTTATATACGTACATGTGGCTCTCTTTATTTTATACCATTTTAATTAATTTAAATTAGAGGTTTCCAATCATTTCGTCTGCGGAAACTTTCATCCTGTATTAGAAACATTACAGATAAGTACTTGATACATTATACATAATATATTTGATAAATTACAGTTATCAAGAAGATGTATATAGAGTATCTTTTCTGTCATAAAGTATGGTAGAAAAGGTAAGCTATGTATATCTTCTTAAGACGGTCTACCTTCGTGTTAAATTTCATTAAGATCTGTTCAGCTGTTGTGCTGTGAAAAGGTTAATAAAGGCTGTGGAATAGTTTGTCTATTACCCAGTTATACAAACAAAGACATATTAGCATTTATAGTTCTAGTACAGATTAAAAATATGAATATTTGTAACACTTGTACATATACTCATTTATAAATGAAAAAGTTTACCTTTCCAAGATTATTATGTAAATCAGTAGTTAGGTCGTATCACAATCAATATAATCAATATTCTTTTATCATAAAAAGGCAGACAAGTCGCGGGTTAATAGCTAACTTAGTTTACAAGCCTTATCCGACAATAACCGGAAATAGTTTTAACCTGGAATATTTCATAGTAACTGATAGGTTGAATAGTAAATGCCCGAATTAGAAGTTGGATGGATGGAGAGATAGAACTTTTAAACTCCAGTATGCATAACCACAAATTGATTGACAGGAACAAAAGTTAACAAACAGTAGTGTATCTAATTTTTTCTTGATAATAGAATGACTGATTAAAACACGAAAAGTGTAAAAAACCATCAAACATTTGAATAATGTACATCTGTAATATAGTTTAGAATATGGGATGATTACACTTAAAAGCAATTTATATCCCTCAAAGACGTTGAGACTGTAATAATCTAAAGAGATTTTTTTATTGCGACTTGGCTGCCCATTATTACAATGTCAATCTTATTTCTCTGTTATAAACTCTAGGGAATTTTTTTAGTAACATGTAGGAATAAAATTATCGCACTGTCATCAATATTTTAGGTTTAAATCAATTTATAAACACGAATGGAAATGCATGTTCAATTCAGTAAAGAAAAGTTTCCTTTTGCATTAAAAGACCGTCAAATTTATAATTTTATTTGTATTACATTGTACATTGCATATAAGCAACTTCTAGAATGTTAGTAGTTAAAATAAACATTAATAATTATCTTCATTACTGTATAAATAATACATTAATACTATAATAATATCATAGGACAATTCACACAGTGTCATCTAATCCCAATCTAAGTAAAGCTTGTGTTATGGATACTACACAATTGATAAAAATACATGCACATATTTTCTTTGAAATACATATGTACGTAATATACATAGAATCACTAGTACCGATAAAAACAACTACGCATGGGCTGTTTCATTTATGTTTCGACAGTGAAATTAAAGGACATGGAGATATGATACCTTAGTCCTTCGGAACGGCAATGTATGAAAGGTACTACGGGCATCACATGATGGCGTATGGTCAAGATGGTATTCATCTTTAAAGGCGAAGCAGTTGACATTTACCATCAGGTGAGTTTTCGGCCATTTCAGATACATTACCAAAATTTTTACTTTTGCCGCTGTTCTAAGCAATATATATATATATATATATCTAAGAAATATCGAGAACTGGATAAAAATGAATAAAACCTGGTAAAGTCCAGTGTCTTTTTCTAAATGTATGTATAAATAATGAACGCGTCAAATTTAAAACAGTAAAACATAAATAAAGTTTACATAGAGGTATATCTTGAGAAGTCGGTTCTGTGCGTATTCAAATAAAAGATTAAAATAGCTGATGATGAAAATAAAGATTTGAGTAATTTAGAATATTGCTCAAAGTAAGCAAATAGATTACAAATAGGCTACAAATTACTTGCAAAGAAATTTTTTAGCCCAGTCGAATAATGTCGAGCTATGATTTCACAAACAGAATCTCAAAGCCTAACCCCCGTCATCCATTTTTAAGAGTCCTGAGGGTATAAGTTGCTTTTTAGTGTACCCTTAGCGGAAATTGTAGTTAAATCAAATTAACGTAACTTTTAGGGTTTGTACTTAAATTAATTTATCCCTTCTACGTGGCCCTTTTTTAAAAGTAATTTGTTTAACAGGTGTTTCTCTTTTCTCAATTTAATTAAGAAATATTTGACTAACAAAAATACATACACATATCTAGTATGTATTAATAACAAATAAACATGAAAAATTAACACACATTTATATGTGTGTAATATTAGACTCATCAATATATATTGACGTCGTCGGCGGTCTAGCGTCGATGGTTGCGGATTCGATTACTCGCACGGTACAAACATTTATATTCAGGAGTAAGATTATTTGTATATAATATATATACATATATACTATATAAATAAAAGCACCAATATGTTTATATTAGTTATCTAGTTCCAAGGTAAGCAACGCTTGTAACTAGATGGCCCTGTGTTATTTGTTCAGGGATATTATTATTATTATACAAAATTATCTTCTTGATTACCTGTATATTACATATTTTATGATATATAACAATTAAATTACTGGGTACGATACTATATGGTATAAAATATTAGAACTCCTTAGTGCTTCTTGCATGTGGGATTCTTCTGGTAACATGCGAAATTAATGAATGGTTACAGATAAGTAAGTCTAGCTCTGTAAACTAACACAACAACTACTAACACATCCCAATCTAGATCTAGTGCAAGAGAAATGGTAACCTGCTTGTCTAACTCTTTTCTTCTCCAGGCACATCAAAGAGCTATCATTGATATTCTAGTATATATTTATTATGAGTCTGGTTTAGATAAGTAAACTATGAATAAGGGTTTATAAGTTGATTAAAAACCAGAGTCTAAAATAAATCTATATATTAACGACAAAAGTCAAAATCTATCCATTTGTTCAATTCTAAACTACTCAAGATTCCGACTATTGATTCAATAGTTACCGCAACATGTTCATATGCACGTAGATAGAATAAGTTACGAATTGTATTTTGGATCAGAGGCTCTGTAGATAAAGAAACAAGTCTGTGATCACTTTTAGCAAGATCTGGCTGCTTTGTGATTTCGCTTGTATGATTAGTGACATCTATAATACGCATATAGCTGACATCAAAACTATCGGCCATCTTTCCTAGTAACATTTTCGTAGCTCTATATTTATATGTCAAAAGATCCTCGCCTTCGTACCAAGGCTTCAGTAACTCTGCATGAGACTTTCTAAGCAACTCGTAAAATTTCATTCTTTCATCATATTCTTTTTCCATCATTGCCTGCCTCCAATTACTAATTGATAAATCCCATAGTTCACCTGGCACCATTTCCGTATATACATCTTTCATTTTAGTGACCTCTGTTTGGTGATAAAAGCATATCGGATTTTTCATATGAAATATTTCTGCTTCCAATAACATTTTTTTATAAGGATATATCTGTGGGTCTGTTATTGTAGATTTGTGAACAATACCTTCTAATAAACTTTTTACTATATTATTTATGGCTTTTTTGTTTAATTTGTTTTTTAATACTTCTATTTTTCTTTTAATATTGTCCATATTTTCAACAGAGTCTCCCTGTAAGTTTATAATCAACTTATCTGCTAAAGTATCAAAAAAACAAATATTACAAAAGCTAAGTTCCCAAAATTCACTGTATATGCCAGCTTTTTCTGATATAAATGTAAAGTATAGATATTTGCTCTGTCCGGGTGATAAAACATCTTCATTTTTATTGAAAAAGAAAACTTGAGTATTATTATCTTCTGGTGCAAATGGAATTGATTGTTTAATTTTCTTCCAACAATATCTAAGAGTAACAGTTCCAAGATTCTCTAACAGTAATTTACTTCTTCCTGCTCTTTTTAGAGGAACTTTGAAATAATATGTCCATGATGTACAAGACTCATGCCAGCTTTCTTTTTGCATTTTCTTTATATTTTTTAAATTTTGGTCACGATTATCTTTAAATATTACAGTATTATTGATTCTAATAGCACAAATGCCACATGTTGTATATTCCATTGGTATAGATGGAGTTACGCTAATTGTAGGTATGGGAGGCATCTTCCTTGGTGGCAGTATGGGCTTACTGCCTTTTATTATTAATTTTCTCATGTCTGGTCTGCAATTATAATATAATACAATAAATTATATCACTATATATATTAATATAAAACAATCTATAGAATAATAAATTTTATAGAGGGACTTCGTTATATGTTACAGACGTGTAAAGGCAATTTAGATATTTATTATGCGAATGGGTGATAAAATTAGTGAGTTATCGTGAAAAAGCGTTTGAAAAAAATATCTGACCTGAATGGATCTATTTCCTGAATTTTTCCAGTCAATTCATTTTCCCGCTTTTGTCTAAACTTTTCATAATTAGTATTAAGTTGATTACATGGTTTTCGTTTTGGCACACCAGTTAAACCTTTTTCATTTCTTTTAATATATTCTGGTACTCCAACATGTTCAATAACAGTAGGATAACCCATTTCAGCTGGAGTTCTATGCACTTCATATGCTGGCTTGCAGTAACATTTTTGCTTTAGTCTAACAGGTTGTTCCCATAACGTATCTCTTACCGTTGCCTTTTTCTCTATCTGCGCATGTTCTAATACAATTTTACGCTCTTTGTCTTCTCGTACTTTTTCCAATAAATTCATTGTTAAATCAATTGGCGGTCTATTAGTCCTCTCACCAAGTCGCGCTGTCTCTTCTTTACGAATCTTTATCCATTTCTCCCAAACAACTAGTTCATGATTAGGATTTGTTCGATCTTCCATAAAGTTTTCTTGATTTTTTGACATTTCCATGATATGCAATACTAGTATAACTGGCTGTTAAAAATTTAATGTAATGCTAAATTAGAAATAAATATTAGAAATAAACACTGAGAAAAATTAGATATTTATTTTAAAACCATGAAAGAAGATATACGAAAATCAACAAATTTGACATATATTTGACATTAAGCATAGTCAATCCAAATAGCTTTTATTTTATAAATTTTAGACATAGATATTAATCATTATCTGACTCCATCTTACTTTAGTTATACCTATAATAATTATTACTAAAATAGTTCTATATAATTCCATCCCAAAAGAATTCCCTCAAACCAAATTAACACTTTAACTCTAGTAGCATAAGTACATACAGATAGATAGATAGATAGATAAAAATCTTTATTCGTATCCCGATAACAAAGATATACAAACAAAATTCAAATAACACATAAGAACAGTAAATAATTATAAAAAAAAAAAAATACAACACATAATACTTTAACTTCCACATAAAATAAAAAACATAAAATAAACATTAAAATATATATTAGGTGCCACAGGGATACGAAAGGGTTGAGCTACTCAGTGAACAATTTGCTCAGCGAGCAAAACACTGATTTTCATGTCAGTGGTGGTGCGATATAGTATTCACTCAACAATCTTAATGTTACCAAAATTTAAATTAAACTAATTCTTAATAAAAATAATAGAAGAAAAAAATAATAAAATAAATAAATCAAAATGTATCAATATCAATATCAATTCAAATACAAATAACTGTTGACGCATTATTTTAATAATATATATAATTAATTTCTAGTAAAAAGTTTTATCTTTTTCTTAAATACCTGTATTTCTTATAGGTGGAGGGATATTATTCCAGCATTTAGTCGCCTGGTATAAACTTCCCGAAAAGCAACAGTTCGGTGAGAATACATTGCTAAAGGAACCCGTGCTGATCTAGGGACGCCGACATAATGACTTTCAAAAGATGAAAATTTTAATTTATTATATAAGTATTCTGGATTTTTAAATGTCATTATATCAAACATCAGTGCGAATGCAACCGCCTTGATTGCATGTTAAGAATTGATGCATTATTTAGAAATGGAGAGACATGAGTACGTGGAGGTATGTCAAAACAGAAGCGGCCACAAGCATTTTGTACGCGTTGCATTATGTTCCGAGAATTACATACAAGGCGAGGACCATATACTAGATCACCGTAATTGAACTTAGAGAGAATAAGGGACTCACATAATAATATTCTTACTCTCTCTGTGAGATAATTACGTAATAATAATATTTGACTACATTTAATACATGACGCTCGAATCGCAACTGGCTATCAAAAATAATACCCAGATTTTTTGCCTCATCAACACGTACAAGATTAGTTCCAAGTATCTTCACGGAGGGACTTCTACTTAGAATGGCTAGCCAATGACCATGAATTTAGATTTAGATGGGTTAAGGACTAGAGCATTATTAATTGACCAATGAGCAATTCGATCTAGTCTTCATTTAAAGCCTGTACCGCTACGTTAACCTTATCAGGACGTTCAGAAATGTACAACTGAACGTCATCTGCATAACAATGGTATTGGCAATTCCTTATTACGTTTGATAGATCAGCGCTGTATAAAATAAACAAAGCGGACCAAGTATTGATCCCTGTGGAACGCCTCTTTTAACTGATCCAGGATCCGACAATAAATGACACCCATCATCCTTTAAGAGTTTAACAATTTGATAACGATTACTTAAATAACTATGAAACCAATGCACTGTTTGTGATCAAATCCATAATAAGACATTTTCGAGAGATAAAGGAATATTTAAACTTTCAAATGCACGAGAGAAATCCAGAAGGGTCAGTAATGAGCCTCTTCCTCCATCCTGCTCAATTAATAAATTGTCAGTAACATCTAATAATGCTGTTATAGTACCACGTCCCCTCCGGAAACCCGACTGTAAACTTGGAAGTATGTTGCTCGCTTCAACATATTCAAGTAACTGCTCATTTACGGCTTTTTCTAAGATCTTGGACAAAAACGGTAAAATATTTATAGGTCTGAGATCCTTTAAATCATTTGGTTGGGTAACCTTGGATATGGGTGTAATTAGTGCTATCTTCCATTGATTGGGAACTATGCCTTTTAAAATTGATTCATTAACTATGGCAGTAATAATAGGTAGGGTATGTGGGAGAGTAAACAAAATCATGTCTCGAGTTATACCATCACTGCCTATACAATTAGACTTAACTGTGTTTATGTACCTAACCACGTCGTTTTCACTTACAGGGCGCAAAAAAAATGAATTTGACGTGTTTTTTCAAAATATGACAAATTAGATATGGGAACAGAATCAGGACCAGGCACATCTAAAAAGTGGTTATTAATTAAATTAGGGTCCTTAAACTTATTTGATAGGCATTCATTTTTATCTGAATCAGTAATAATTTTCTCTTTTATATTTTTCCAAAATTTTTTACCACTATTAACATTCAAATTAACAAAATGATTGTAATAGGCTCGTTTCTCACTTTCGATACTTTTTGAGACTAATTTCTTCAGTTCTTTGTAATAATTCTTATGCGTTTCAGATCCTGATTTGCGATATTTATTATGAGCTTTATTACGCAGTTGAATCATTAATTTAATCACATCAGTAATCCATGGTAGTGGTGTAGCGTGTTTAAATTTCGTTGTAACCAATGGCGCATGTTGATCAAATAGAGACAACAATAAGAAGTTGAATTTATCTACCATGGAATTAACTGATGACATTTTTGATACTGATTCCCAATTCAGTACTATAAGATCCCTGTTAAATTGATCAATATTTATTTTGTTCATAGGTCTATATGTAACAAAACTTGGCAGTACTTTCGTTTTCTTTAAATTTAAACTAATATTTACCATTGAATGACCCAGGGATCCGGTAATATTGTCCACAGTTACGTCACGAATTTTACAATTAGTACACACAAGATCGATAAGTGTTTCAGAACTCACCGAAGTGTGCGTAGGGTCTTTTACTACCTGTTCCAAATTAAGATACCTCAGAAATTGATCAATTTTCACGAAGCCAATACTAGATTTATCCAGCATATTTACATTGAAATCTCCCAGCAAAACCATGTACTTGAAGTTAGAAAAGTGGGAAACAGATTCAGTTAACGCATCAATGAATGTATCTATTTTCAGCCACTGTGGTCTGTATGCTGTTCCTATGATTATGCGATGACCATTTACTCGTATCGATAGCCACATTTGTTCGATGTTATTTTCGGGATGGTTCAAGAAGCGTACTCGTATATCTCTTTTAAAGTAGAACGCAACACCACCACCTCTACCACCACAAATGTGTCTTGGGCGCGGTTTGTTGCGCAGTCGATAGCCGGGTGCTACTGGCGCACGTGCCTCTTGTCCTTCCGGCAACCACGTTTCATTTATAGCTATTATGTCAGGTTCAAATCGATTCATCGCTATCAGAAAATCATCGTGACCCGTGTTTAGAGATCCAGCATTATAAAGACCTAACTTAAGATATTTTGTTTTAGAATTGAAAGCTAATATAATATAATAAAAATACCAGGCTACATGAATTGATCCCAAGGCTAAATAAAATAATGAATAATATTAGAAAGTACACATTATATAAGTAAACATACATAATCCAAATGTACTGTAGATATAAGACAGTAAATAAATCTATTATGATTAGAGAATTAAAATGTACACTCGATTTGAATTGAAACCCTGGGGCACATAATACACATCTCAAACATTTATGCTCAGAACATATATACATAGAACCACCAAAAACAATTATGAAGCTAAATAAAATATTTAATCTATCAACAATTACTCTAAGAGGATTGGTACTTTTTGTTATAGAGTTTAGATGATAATAAAAATAGTAACTTGGTAATTTAGGTAATATAACATAGAAAAATTCATTAAGGGCAAAAATTAAATCAATGGATTTGATAATTAGACCAAATAAAAGAGTACAAAACTTACTGAAAAAGTACATATACAAAACAGTAAAACATACATATGATTTAGAGGATGTTGACATACAAACAAAATAATAAAGGTTTATCAAAAAGAAAGGTAAAAGAATAAATATTATTGCAAAAAATTCATTAGGTATATAAATTAAAACAATTACTATAATGCTTAGATGAAATAATTTAGAACAAAACTGAAAGAAAAAGTACATACAAAAATATAACTTTAAATATGGTTTATAATCAGTACCATACATAATTACTGGAAAAGAAGCTACATAGATGTTAATAATTATGCTGAGGGACAAACAACATCCTGACCAAAAAACCGTGCAATGTCATCTTCTGTCCTTATGCGAAACCGTGGAGCATCTTTATTTTGGAACTGGCGCACATATATCCTGCCGTCCCTTGTCCACACGTATCTCCAGTTCATCTGGTTGCCCAGATCGCGTGCTCGACGGAACAGCAGTCTATTGTTTTTGGTTAATCTCTCATTAACATAAAACCGCCGGGATGGTTCGGGTATATCCAAGCCCTCAGTAGTGGCACCCCTTCGTACACGCGCAGCTTGCAATAACCGATCTCGAACGATGCGCCGAGACAAACGCACCACTATGGGACGCGGCCTGTGCTCACCTACTTGAGAGGACGATGATACATATCCTACGCGTGTGGCACTTACTACATCTTGATCTGTCAATTGAACTCCCAATTTATTTGCTAGAGTAGTGACAATATGAGGAAGGCTCTCAACTTTCTGTTCCGGAATGCATGCAATCTCTACATCATTTAATAGCAACTCCTGATCTCGGTCGTTCAGTTCCAATCTCAACTCTGTCATAGACGCCTCAAGTGACTTGTTATTGCCCTCCGTTGCACCATTTTCTATACTATGTTCCATACCACTCAGACGCTCCTGGAGCTTATCCATACGCTCTTCACATTTAATGACTCTGCTCGATATTTTAGCCAAAGTTTCATTTAACACCGCCATCTGTGCTCTAGTAGCTCGCATCTCTTCTATCATCTCAGTTCTAAATAGCCGCATTTCTAAGGCCAATGACTGCATGTCTGACATTTCCACAGTTTCATTTTGAGCTGTATCATTATGAATATCCATAATAGATGGTTGCTCCGACATAGAAACATCAAAATGAAGCGGACTCCTCACAGCTCCTCCTCGTTGAGTTGTGACTGCTTGAAAAGCAGCACGAGCTGGTGTATTAGTGTTATCGCTCTTGGGCTTCTTACTTACACATAATACACATCTCCAATTTCTCCTATGTTCATCAACTAATGTATTATAAAAACGCTGTTCGGATACATTTGCACAGTCCAGATCATAAAACTGATTGCATCCCTCACACAATAAATATTTTCGGTCCTTAATTGCCCTCAAACAGCCGGCACACTGCATGTTGTATGATAATATTGCTCAAAATATATTACGTGATCATAAAAAAAAAAAAAAAATGTTGTGGTCAGGGTTTGATCGCACATCCGTCCACAAATAATTACTGAGAATAACCACTAGGCCAACGTTTCATAAAGTCAATTTTTGAAATTAACTACCATATAGCTGCGTAGAACCGGTTAACTGCCACTTTGTTCAATAGTTAATATGATTCACATCCAGTTTACAACTGACCTTTGTACCCATTGAAGACACTCAAACAGTTGCCGTCACTTCTTAGTTACACAATTAAATGTTATTTAAAATGTTTACCGGATTCAAACTGCACTACAAAATGAATATTTAATTGTAGGTTATAATGTCTCGATTAAAGGATCATTCTGATAACTTTAAATTAATAAATCAACGTTTTAAATAATTTTAAAGACAATAGAACCACTAGAACGGGCTAAACGCGTCCGTTGCCGCTGCCGCGTTCGCGTGCATACATATATATTTATACAATTATGGCAGATACTACATAATCATATCAAAATCAAGTAGGTGCCTATCTTATACCATATGTCATGTAATATATAGTTTATTTCTAAACTTGTTGTTTTATTCTAAATTGATCTGTATTATTTTAAATAATTTAATTTATACCATTGTATTTGAACGCATCATAATGAAAGAATTATTTGACCTGTCTAATGGAATTCATATGTATATTTGACAAATTATGTAGTGCATTATTTTTCGCAGCACGAATAATACTTTAAATTCTAATGTTTCCTTTACCGATATAAATAATATGCCTATTATTGTTCCTGTAATTACAACAGGTAATACTAATGTATATATTTGATTTTTGAATGGTGCTGTTTTCTTCTGCGTATTCTTCGATAAAATTGCGTTTACTTCAAGTATCAAGTTTTTGCAAGTATACGCTGATGAATCATAAATAAAAGATGGTAGAATGAGATTATTTGTATTGATTATCTGAGTATTTTTTAAATATTCATAATACATATAGAAATCATCTAGATCAGTGTAATAAGGATATATGAATATCATTATTGCAAATACCCACTTTTACAAGAAACAAGTACCGTACACATTTATATAACTTGTCACGAATGGCAAAAAACTATTAGTTTCACTTTAGGTTTTTAATTTTTAATTACTATTTCTTTATAAAAAGTTTAGTCTAGTACCTATTTTTTTTTTTTGTAAAATAGAAGAAGAAGAAGTGGGAGTGGAAGTTCCTAAAGTAGAGGTCAAAGTAGAACCTCCATACGGAACTGTAGAATGGATATACTACTGCAGCGAAATGGATGGTGATCTACCAACTCCAATAGATATATCCATCACTGGTTCTATACAATATAGATGTCCAGAACTCAAATGGTTCAACTTTGATGTGTTTCCGCATAAAGTCAAATTAACTAATACTGGATATACAGGTAGTTTATACTTCATTGTATACAAAAATTTTATAGAATTTACGTGGAAATCTAAAACCTACAGTCAAACTCGGCCATAGAGAAGTTTGTTCCAGTAAACTTACAAATGTATTAATAACAAAAAGTATATTCACAATAGCCGTATGCGACTTTATATTGTTTAACTTCTAGTTTTACTTGGAGCCAAATGGAAAGCTGAAAGACCTTACTTGGAAGGGGGTCCATTTCTGGAGAAACACGTTTTGTCTCAAATTCATTTCCATTGGGGTCCAAATATGATGGAAGGGAGTGAGCATACCGTGGACAAAAGACGGTATCCTGGTGAAATGCAGGTTTATTTAAGTTAATAGTTTTGATTTTAAACTTGTAATTGCTGAATTTAAATCATCCAAATAATTGTCATGTAAGTACAGTAGTACGGGAGACTGTTAAATTACCATCTGGCTGTCTAAAATGCTTTTTACATCGGAATGAAATCATCTTTCATCTACACGAATCAACACCCTTTCAACTGCAGTTCAGAGTTGATTCGAATTCCTTTAACACTAGCATATTATAAGTGGCAATTTATAAAGATCCGACAGATCGACACGACAAATCTTGTACCAAATAACGTCGCTTTGTGATTTACTATAATAGAGAACGCCTAGTATCAACCCCATCGTAAATCAATCAAGGCATGAATTCAATTATATTAATACAATGATCCGACGTTTTGTATAACAAATTATATAATTTTCTTGTCATATTACACAGCTATTAGTTATTTACTGACAAAACACACACAAATACGTCATATAATGAATGAAATGTAATTTAGAGGTATTTTAGATATACATTATTATAAAATAAGACTGGCAGTAACGTTAACTATCAAACACATATACATACCTGTATATCTATATATGAAAATGATATACATAAATATATGTTTATTACGATAGTTTAATTATACAAATCGGGAATGAATGTGCAATGGAGTAAAGTATACAACTTGCTAAAGAAAGATAAATAATTTTTATTCTCTATTCGCCTTATTGTTGAGTTTATAGGTACTGATTTTCATTTTACATACTCGAGTATATGGGCAGATACTAGAATCCTCTAAAGTATAAATTTATTAATTATAGTCTTGCCTATTACGTCACATATAGTAGCAGTATATTTATAAATCTTTGTACCTGTACAAACGATAAATACATTAAAAAATTGTATAAATTTTGATATATAAAAAGTGCAAGCTGTTTGCACTTTTTAGTCGCCACTATCTAATATAGGTTAATGCGCAACGATGTTTATTTCAGGTAACTTTCTTTAAATTGGACTATATGACTCAAGATGAAGCCTTTCATCACGCTGACGGTGTAGTAATCATATGTTACTTGATCAAGGTACTATTGTTTTCACTTTAAAAATAACAATATACTAGGAACAAAAACCCACGCAGTTTGTTGAAACACTTCAGTCTATTTGTAGTAAAGTAATAAATAAATATACAATTAAGACTGTTATCCAAGGTGAGAGGGCAGAGTTTGTAGAAACATTTCATGGTTTATTTATGATAAAGTAATAAATAAATATACATTTAGAACCCTTATCCAAGATGGAGAGGTAGTCAGAGACAATGTCAAATGTCAACATTGTAGTGAACACAACACTTGACATAGGCCTACATTTCGCTATATTTCAATCAAAAGTAGCAAGGGGATTGTCCCCTTGAGAGATGGCGGTGTACATTGGTACACCGCCATCTCTCGGACTAACCAGAGGACACATTATCAAATTCAGTCAACGAAAAAATGCCATTCGATTACATATTCTGTTACTGTCTTCTTCCACTTCAACCGGAATATCTTACAGTGGAAGCTACTTGGCAGCTAAAATAGATGAGACATGGTAGCTACGCAAAGTCTGCTTCAAACAACGGTTTCTCGACACAAAGTATGGTTGTTTGACAGCGAGTTTTGCCTGTTCTAGACCGACAATTACTTACCAAAGCTGTAATTACATAATCTGGTAATTATAATTCCACTACATAATTACGGAATCATAGACGACTAAACGTAACTACCAAATTATATATAGGTACTATGGAAGAACTAAGAACTGACTACAATGAAAGATTTGGTATCAAATCGTCTGCGTGGGAAATTCTATCTTAGCTAAGTATATTAGCCGGTAAAAAGCTTGCTTTGTAGGCTGCTGTAATATGGCAGTCAAATTATAAGGTATAGAGCCCTAACAGCTTAGTCGATGTCGAAATGAATGACGGTTATCAAAGGCGTCATATAATATCAATATTTGGTGCTGTCTGTATGTATAAGGAATGGTTACGGTTGTCACTTACCATCAGGTCGGTCGCATGGATGTTTTCCATTACATATATATGTACATATATATAGTCATTATATATATACATGTCTCCCATTGGAGTAGATTTGAGATACCTAATATTATCTATACCTATTGTATTACTCAGTGCAAAGATACTCAACTTTCGTGAATAATTTTCTAATTTCTTTATTGGCAATCATTGATTTCTTAATACGTCCCTTATACAACGACCTACGTCGTTCAAGGATCTATTACATAAAATCGTATACTTCTAGTTTCATACTGATTTATATTGTTTTGTGTCAGCTAAATAGATAGGTAGTATCTATCATGTTTCTAGACACACCTGTTCAGGGTTTACCTTCTATATATATCCATCAATCAGTCAGTTGATGATGAATGAGTGCCTTTATTAATTTTATTACACAATTTTTTACATTGTCGTTATTAGACTACAAGTAAAAGCAGTTCTGGTTAAGATAAATTATTTAATTGTACGAGCACACACATTATAATGCATTTATTGCAGATCCATAATGACTATCTTCGGATACCATGGTGTTATCATATAAAAAGTTGCCATATTTAATTCTTGACTTAAACAGTCGTTGTGGCCTAGTCTTAGGTACCTCGACTTACATCCGAATGGTAGTAAGTTCAAATCTAGCTTTCACAATATAAACTCAATTTATATTTCTGACTGTGCGGCGCAGGAATCAGTGCTGCCGCGTTGGATTCAAAATATACCCAAATAAATGTGGGTATGCCAAGTGTAGTGTTTACCATAATATCGATATTCGAGATTCTCCGGATAGAAATCTTTATTCAAATAAATTCGATACAAGCACTTTTGAATAGTAATATATCTTTATTCTACCAGTCATTACAATTGAATGCAGACTCATCACAATATAAATGAGGATGAAACTAGCATGTTACAGCTTTAAATAAATTAGTATTAACAAGAATGAGGCATGCTTCAATCAACATCATTTTCATCATTCATTTTCAATCATCAATCCGATAATATAAATATAATGGGATATATAGGATGTTAATGTGATGTAATAAACTAGCCTGCGCTAACGATATACGCTGGCGGGATAACTGTGGAGGATGATAAGATTAGTATCAGATTAGTTAGTCCATCGTGGCAAATTTATCAGGAATTTAACATGATGATTACCAAGGAGTGGAGGTAAAACTGACATGGTACATTGCTAATGAGGTTGTTAATTCACATTACTAACAAACCCCCTTCCTCCAATGTAATGGGATAGTGAGACCAGCTCCAGGATAATAGTAGGGTATGTTTTTTTTAAATTCTAATAAACAACGGACGTAGGCGTTCTTGGATCTTAATTGGTTAATGGTTATAATTAAGCCAAACTTTCAACATTACCTGCCTACAATTTGGGATCGTTAACTTCTCGAGATTAATGAATATCTCGTAATCAAAAACGTAGATGAGAGCTAATTAATAACAATAATAATTTCTTCATTATTATTATTCATTAGTAGTCGTCCAATAATTGTTTATTTCATTTTTATCTTTAAGTAGCTCAACTTAAAGATAAAAATGAAAACAGCGGGCACAGCTACTGTAGCTGTGGCCGGGGTTTCATCCACGTGAAATTTAGCCTATGTGTTATTCTGATGTTAGCTGTTTCATCATCCATCCATCGATACATCCTTCGCGTTTATAATATTAATAAGATTATAAATTAGTCCATTGGACTTCTATTTAATGTATGATTTTATTATCACCGGATATCGAGTATGTTTCTTTGATATAGAGAACAGGACATACATATACAATGATTGTAACTAACCGAGTAGTTCTAAAAAAGATAATCCCATTTCAGTCGACTGTTAGGATCCAAGCAAAAAGAAAGAAATGTCAGAATTATCGTTAAGCTTAAAAAATAACATGGAAGTTATACTTAGTAAGGTCCGAATTTGCAGTTCACTTACTGATAATACCAAGTCGCTATATTTTTAAGAGTAGATAAAAATAGCGGCCGTCGATTATACCCACAACACAAGCAAAGATCGTACAAGTATTTTCATTTACGCTTTCATATTTTCTCTCCTTGGTTTAAAACCAAGAAGAGAAATAGAAATATGGAAAAGATTAATTTATTTGTATAAAATTTTCACCAAACTTTCAACGGGATACTCGCTTCCCTGTGTTGGCAGGAAAAGTTGCAATTTACTAAACTTGTGTATAATTTAGATATGAATATGGATGAGGCATGAGACATATGCAATAAAGAATACCTTTTATTTTCAGAACTGTCTACCCGGTAATGAACTGGGTATTGCGATATATTTATACTTATATTTTAAATGCAACAAAAAACCATCCGTCAATTTTATTACAAATAAACTTTAATTAAATCTTAATTAAATATCATTTTTCACCTAATTATTTCTACAGGTACATATAATAATATGTAGGTATATTATTCCCTTCTGATAACATACTAGGCATTTATTTTCTCAACTTACCAAAATGGATTATTCTTCACAGTATGGAGTAAACCCTGACGATCGTCTAAGCTGGGTTATCGAAGGATTCCCACGGATTCAGGAGGCGCAAACAAACACGCGTATAGGACCGTATCCCATGTCACGTCTGATGCCGATGTTCTTTGAAGATTATTTCCTGTACTGGGGAACTTTGAAGACTGTTCGGAATGAAAAATATGTCGTTAGGTGGCTCATTCCTAGAATTACGCTATTCGCTTCCTTCGATCAGGTATGTTTTCTTTATCATGCTTGATATTTTGTGCATGTATATGTGAGATATTTGTTTATTTCTTTATTCTGTCTGCATATTACCTACTTGTTTGATACAATAATAATAACAATATTAATAATCTCAGGACAACGCACACAGCGCCATCTAGACCCACGTTAAGCTAGCTAAAGCTTGTGAATGGGTACTAGATATTTTTTGTTCGTAAATACATAGAAAACAACCAGACCGACACAAACAATCACTCATGAATACAAATGTTTGTGCCATACCAGGAATCGAAGCCGGGACCATCGGAAGTAAGGCGGTGTATTAAACCGCTAGCTAGACCATCCAGGCCGTCAAATATTTAAATCCATTTCCTAAGGTTGCCTTGAAAATATTACTTTCAGCAATAAGACTGCCTTGTCTATTATTTATGGTATCATTCATTATTCTATTTTTTATCTATTTTTTTAAATAATAATGTTATGTTGCACAAACTTGCTCTAACAATACCTCTAATACGCTGTCGTGGTTTCAGTGAAGGATGATATAATGAGAATGAAGTCAGGTCAGTTCAGGCCATCGTGGCGAACTCGAGAAATTGATTATGTCTGTTTCCAGTGTCCCTTTCCCTTATCCCAAAAAAATTGTATGTTACGTATAATATTTCTGAATAGTAAATTCGTTAGGACCAAAATCAAATTTTCTTTTAAATACGAACTTTTTTTATTTAATTACAATTTCTCTAAATAATTTTATTTATTTATGAATAGATGAAAGAATTCCGTAAGTTATGGGATCCATGGGATGCACCGAATTTGGGCAATTGCAGACCGCTTGAAGAGACAGCTGGACGCCACATCTTCTTCATCAATCCACATTGGAACCTGTACAACTCCTTACTGCCAATACCAAGATTACCAGAACCTTCCATATCAATATTCTCTCCAGCTTATGAACAAAATCTTTCGTTACTACCGCCACAGAATGCATACATGTTGCCAGCTCCTGAAGTAAATCCGGATGCCAAAGTAGTTTCTCAGGCTGAAGAATAAAAATGAATGAACAAATAAAGTGGTTTATTTTAGAGCGATCTGCTAAAAATCTGTTTGCATGGGTACCTCTAACTGAATTCTGTTGTTAGTAGTTTAGTTTGAAATACGTTTTAAAAAATTATAACGTATATTGGTATATAATCTAACTCAGAATTTGCAAGTATTACCATAGGTAGGCCATCAGATATATGACGAAAAATCTTTTCTTACATTATGGTTGCTACCTATACAAAAAATACCAACGGGGTGTGTATAAAATGAATAGATATATGTCATATATCCGTGTGCGTGTCTTGTGATCAAGTCGGTCGCTTACATTTGGAGTGGAAGCTAAAATAAAGGACGAGTATTTACGAAAGGAGTTAGTTGTAATTTCCGTTAGTCCCAAAGAGGACACAGTTGCTAGTGACAACTGGGTACATAAGTATACATTAAGCCGAATACACTACACGCAATGGCAGGAGCATGTCCCCATAATATATTACTTTGGATAAAAATAAATTAGATTATGTTTATTTTCGAAAGTACTTTACCTATATTCTGAATTAAACATTTCGTTTTAAATTAAATTAATCAGTACACAAATGAATGAGTAGCGACGGCGCGAAATTACGACGAATTTAAAATATCTTTCCAATTTTAAATTATTAGGAATATCTCGCCTAATTCGAAAGCAATTTTAATTTCCTTCGGGTACGTGCTCATTACATAACAAAGGTACTCCAAAGTGTCAGCGTCACGGTCATAAATATTAAAAAATAAAAGTTTTTAAAGTTCCATTGTGCGATTATGGTAAGTAATTAAAAATATTATATTGCAATTCACCCACTAAAGTTTACATTATACTATACATATCGCTCGATGTTTATGATATTTATATAATATTCTAACATCTTTGGATTTAAGTACTTATTACAGTTTCAAAATGAGATTTAAATTTTAAACTTAGCCATCGTCTAAATCACAAAATTACTTATAAATTCTAATCTAATGTCGTAATATATGTCGTAATATTCAAATTTATATACAAGATATAAATTTGACTATTGAAGGATATCCTGTACTATCTTCAAAAACTATTAAGGAACTCACGAATATGTTTTACACTTTACGATTATATTATTTCAACAATTCGATACATAGAAAAATAACCTATAGGAAAATATAGAATATAAAAACAAACAGGTAGACTTGGCTGTATGGGCATAATTCCTTTTGCCCGCTCTAAAACAGTCCTAAAAAATACTTTTGACTGCTCAATGTCAAACTACGTCAGTATCTCCGCCTCATTCAGTCTCCAGTTTGCCAGTTTTACTAACAAATCAGACAGTCAGTTTTAGCTCAGTCAATAAATCACTTTCATCAGTTACAATTACAGTTTCTAATACTGACATGTTTTTGTATTTTATTTTGGTTATAATTTAAAATATAAATATATAATTATTAACAAAATGCTGAAAAATATAGTACGTTCTAGTCGTTGGTTTGTGTGCAAACAAATTTTTAGTCGTCCTCATTTAATAGTTCGTCAATATTCACATGTTACGAAGTTGGAATCTGTGAATAACCATTTTCATCTCCGGCTATTTTCGGCAAGTAATAATAATGCAGATTCCTCAACACCGGTGAATCCCCCAGACTTCGAAGATGTATGCAACGAAACATTAGAATCTCTGTGCGATTATTTCGAAGAATTAGTGGAGAAATCTTCAAAGTTAAATGGGGCTGATGTTACCTATAGTGTAAGTAAACATTAACATTTTAAAAACATATTAGATATATTGTGATATTTTAAGACAAATACCAAATTTTATCAGTACTTCCCTATGTTCATTATTTATTGGCGCTAAAATGAAGTAAGTGCTTATATTAAAATCTAAGATGTGCTATATGGAATTTTGTAATGAACTACTTCATATATAACTATTTAGCAATTATTCCCATTATACCAGTTGTAGTAGAACTGTTACAAAATCATTATGTAACAATTTATATAAGCATACTGTTGTGGGCCTACTGCAACTAGTGTAGTGTGAGTGATTAGCAAATAAGTGTCCTTAATCGCAAAACTTTTCCTGTTGATTATAAACTATTATTATGCAATCTGTCTCTTTCCCATTTTTATTCTAATAATAACATCTTAAGTACACAAGACCTATTATTATTACAATTTTATTGATATTGACTATGTAAAAAGTCATTTGTGTAAAAAAGTCATTTCAATCTTACCTATTTTTACTGTCAAAAGTTGGCTTTATAAGATGTGTTATGGTTGAATGCTTATCATTCAATGATGATGACTTTTTGAGTAAGTGAAATTCAAGATAGGAGGTATGTTAGTCTGAATTACTATTGCTGGCATCACATGATATTTAATCACATGAAAATAAAAAAATAAAAAATTTGGGAATGTTTATATTCTACTTAGTATATTTGAACATACAGCAGTCTCTCATAATTATTTGGTTAGTTATTGTTGTATTCTATAATAATAGGCATTTCATCACTAATGTACACTTAGACACAGTTATTCTTATGATTGATGGACTCAAACTTAAGGATTGTAGGGTTTTGAATTCAAGGTAGTAAACTTCACTACAAATTGGTCTTTAATATATTACGAAATATTCATAACTTATGTGTATATTTTTTTATTCCAGGATGGAGTGCTAACTGTGTTTCTGGGACCAAACTATGGTACTTATGTAATTAATAGGCAAACTCCAAACAAGCAAATTTGGCTGAGCTCCCCCGTGTCGGGGCCCAAAAGATATGATTTAGTATCGGACAATGGAGGCTACTGGGTGTACAAACATGATGGTGTTACTCTACATAAGTTACTTCAAGATGAAATATCGAAAATAGTGGAAAACAAAGTGGAATTCAATAATTGTGCTCATAGCCTAGTTTGATTTATATATGATACCACAGATTCTCATTTACAGTTGAAAACAGAGTTAATTTTTTTCATTATGAATAATCCTATATTGTTAGATGAATCATAATTATGTAAACAGGATACAGTATGATTTATTGATTGCATGATACATTTCAACCCGAAACAAACTACTTACTAGAAAAATATATTCCATTTCTACTATTAACTTTGCATGCCAAAAGAAATGTTTTCGTAAAGGTAGATAAATCTACATAAAAGCAAATGTGGTTGAGTTCCCCTCTATCCCTACATATGATACTTCAGATATGAAATATTTAAAGTACTGAAAAACAAAATTAAATTTAATAATTGTGCACAACCTAATTTGATTTAAGTATTTATGATATTTCAGATTCTCATTTACCAATGAAGACAGACTATATTTTTTGTTATGAAATATCCTATATTTTTAAATGAATCATAATTATGTAAACAGGATATAGTATGACTAATTGATTTCATGATACATTTCAACCCGAAACAAACTACTAGAACAGTAATATTCATTTCTGCTATTAATTTTGTACATGCCAGAGTAAGTATATATATATATATTATATATATATATATATATATAGTAAAACTACATACAAGAAAATCTGGTTGAATTCACCTCTAGAAGTACTGAAAATATATGATTTAGTAACACAATGGAGGCTGCTGAGGGTACACACATTGCCCTATATGGTATTACCCTATACATCTTACTTTATGAATATCTAAAGTAGCGGAAAAGAAAGTGAATTCAATAATTTATGTATATTGTGATATGATACTGCAGTTTATAATGTATAAATACATAACAAAGTAATTCAAGATTAAATATCTTGTCATATCACACACATTCTCTGCCAAATGCTAAAAATAAAAATTGTAGGTTTAAAGTGTAGGTGTAAATATAATAAAAAACCAAGATCGTGAATTGTGATATTTAATGTAATATATTTTGCAGACTATCCATAAAATATAATTTCATTTGTTTAAACATGTTAGTGAAATAATTTACTTCAACCAGACTTATAAATATATTAGAAATCATAAATTTATATTTGGCTACAAAGCCATCTATTGTTATAAAGTGTAAATAATGCCTTACTTACTTAGAATTAAAATTATGTAATTTCTGAAAATTCCTAATGCTATCAATTTAATTGCTATGATTTATGTGGTATAACTAATATATAAAATATATTTAGTAATACTAGTTCTGTTCTTTATATACTGATGTTTTAGTTGTTATCATATTTATTAGTATTAGTGTTATTTATTGTATTAAGTAAATAATTAAAAATATATATTTTTTTATTTTATCTTTATACAAAAAAATAGAACTCAATGATCGTAACTCAAACGATTACAAAAATGAGATTAAAAAATATGTATTTTAGAAATGTATAATATTTCTATACACTTCAATAGGTATATATATAATTGATGGAGTTCTTTAGCATATAACTTTATGGAGAGTTTTAGCATATATGTATACTCTATGGCCTTACTATCTCCGCTACCAGACCCTCCCTTTTGACTACGAATGGCGTTAAAAGAACGGCCTGGCATCGGCCGTGGGAGAGCTTAGAGAGTACTAAGCATATATTTATTAACTACAATATCGGGAATAAATAAATTTACATTTTTTACTATAATGATTATGGCATTACAATTGACATGGTCAATATAAAAATATAGTAATTTGTTTATATATAAAGAAGATAGACAGAGAAATTGAGAAAGAACGCGCTCAGTCCTGTCATATTATATTTGGTAAGCCAAACTCGCCATATCAACCTAGTAAATTTCGTACCAGTCAGATACCTGGTACAAATTTCAATCAATACGTAGCTGCTTTGATGCATAGGTCGAACCTCAGTATAATTCTCTGTACTTTATAACTTATTACTTTTAATATAAAGTGTTGTTTATAATAATAACATTCATTACGTATTTAGTGTTTATTCTTTCAGTTTGTAAACATTGTGGGCGGTTTAATAATATACAATGTATATAATAAATTAGTTTACAGATTTTACATAATTTTAGCTACAGTTTTCTAATAACTGAAATTTATTAATTATTTTTGAAGAGACCTATTATATCTATTATCGTAAGTATATATATAATTATACGTGCCTATAACGTGGGACATTATTTAATGTACTTATATTTAAAGGCAAGATTAATTTTTAAATTGTTCCGGTAATATCCACTAGATAATTTTGAACTAACCAAAATGGAGGTAATTGAAGATGGAAATATTATGGATCGTATCCCTATATTGTTACAAAGAGATTTGGAATATTATCAGGTAAGACTGGTCATTATTTATTCTTATATATAGTTTGTTTTTAGTATAATATCTTACTAATATCTATCTATAATATATCTATTTTAAACGCGAAAGTTTGTGAGTATGGATGGAAATTTGTTACTCTATTACGCAAAAAAACTACTGAACTGATTTTGATGGAATTTTACAATAATATTTGCTTATACATCAGAATAATACATAGGCTATAATTGATAAGAATATTAGATATATAAATTGTACGAAATATAAAGTTAAGTAAATGTGCCGCAGACGAAGTAACGCGCGTCAGCATCATTATTATATTTTATTAGATTATTTAATTGGTAAAACAAAAACCTGACCACCGCTACTTTTTACGTAGGTACGTTATTTTCTCTATTGGTGTAACCGTAAACGGTGGTCGGGCCGTTATTGAGTCTACACCTATGTTGCGACACATGTTTCGGCGAACGAGGCATCATTATGCATTGAATCGGTCAATATTTTTTTCGGCGACGAGTTATTTCATATTATTTTTTAAGGGCTACCTAAAGAGCGTACATTATTTTATTATTCCAGAAAAATCAGACAGTATTATCAGAAACCGTTTGCCCAGGAGTGGTGGGTGGAAGATTGGACTTTCCAAGGAATGCTTCGTTTGCGGCGGTGAAGATAGTCATCTGGCTAGAAGAGGAGTTTTCTATAGCCTTCCAGTAATTATATTTGATACTAGCTGTTCCCGCGACTCCGTCCGCGTGGAATTTAACTTTTATATTTCTAAAATAAAAGTAGCCTAAGTTATTTCTTATTACATCAGCTACCTGCCAAAAAAAGTCCCATCAAAATCGGTCCAGCCATTTCGGAGACTAACCGGAACAAACAGACCGACAGACAGACAGACAAAAATTATAAAAAAATGTTATTTTGGTATATGTACCGTATATACATTCATTTATAGGTATGCATGTAGTAAAAAACGGTTATTTCAATATTACAAACAGACACTCCAAATTTATTTATATGTTTAAATTCAGTTTATGTTGAGGATGTAGAAAAATAGTAATAATATCCCTGGTCAATTGAAGCCATCTAGTCCCAGGCTAACCCAGACTAATTCAAACAATCATAGTAATGTAAGTATACAAATATTCGCACCGTTTGAGAAATCGAATTTTATAAAAAGTCTGTATTATGTGCTTGGTAAGTATTACAGTGTAATACGAATGCAGCCATCATAATTATTATAACTATTACACAGGCATGCATCTGGTATGTTCGTTGTTACCGAGGATGACGAAAAAGGCGAGGGTGGAGTGGCAAAGACATCAGATCCCGACAAGTTTGTTCAGCTCGCCATCAAATCCAGTGACTTATTATTAGGTAAGAGTTTCTCCATCACATATTAAGTTCAGGCACAGATAATACTGTAATCAATTAATTATTAATTTATAGGTATATTATAGACACTTATAATATAGTGACAACCCTGATGGTCTAGCGGTTTAGCACACCACCTTCGCATGACCGCGGGATTGATTCCTCGCATGGTACAAACATTTGTATTGATAGCACCATCATCAGTAAAAGTTGATTAGTACATAAGAAATTCATCAGGAATTAACCACGTTTCTAGGGGGATATCGCGAAAGTACGATGGTGGGACTAAAACGTTGGATTCGTGTTTGGTCTTCCGCTTAGGTCACATGAATTGCAGTTCCTATATGTATAGCTAAGTGTATAAAATATTAAATATTACAAAAATTTCTTTGCTATACTTGTTACTAGCTACTCGCCCCGGCTTCGCCCGGGTGTACATATACCTAAACCTTCCTCTTGAATCACTCTATTTAAAAAAACCGCTTCAAAATCCGTTGCGTACAGACAGCGACTTCGACCTTGTTTTATACTATGTAATGATCTAAGCTTTACTTCTATTTTGATAGAACATCTGCATATGCTGGTGCAAGAGGCGTTAGACCACGCCGACCTTCCTGTACTAACAGCCACATTAGGAGCAGCGGCCTTACTTAAGAATAGTCTGTATTGCTATTTACAACATGTCGAGGATATGGGTAGCGCCGAGCGATTATCTTCTTTACAGGTACATACATTAGGTTTAAATTGCTGCTACGTGAAAAATGCATTGCTGCCTGTTCCGTTATTGTAATTACAACGGATTGTTCACAAGTTTGTTTTTTTCATTTACTAGTTTGCCCCGGCTTCGCACGGATGTACATGTATTATACATATTAACGTACATCCTGAATCACTCTATCTATTTCTTTAATTGCATTAAAATTCGTTACGTAGTTTAAAAGATCTAAGCGACAGCGGAAGCAACTTCATTTTATACTATCCTTGTTAATATTTGTATACCTTAAACAACATTTATTTAAAAAGCAATACGCAATACGCAAGTTTTTCTTGTGATGAGCCTGCATTCCGAATGAGTGGTAGAATAAAAAAATGAAACTATTCAAAAGTGCTTAATAAGTTTATTTGAATGAAGATTATTTCCAATTCTGCTATGAAAAGATTTATTATGCAAAAGCTTGTATAAAAGTGGAGTCTTATGTCGTATGGCATTGTTAATATACATTGTATATATTTTATATGCTACTTCAGGCCTGTTACAAACGCTATGTGACAATGTCTGAAGCGGTGGCCGAGCGAGTACTGGATTTACACAACCGGGTGCTGTCTCTATACATCTTGCAAGACTCTGGCGGGCGGCCTATCGACGGTAACACGAAGACCGTCCACCAAGCTGGCACACCATCTGTTCAGGGCTGGTGGCTTTATATGAATGGTGAGTCTACAATCTCATTTTACTCTGTATAATATAGGAAGTTTCGTTTTTATTTTCAGACTACTCTAATACTGTTTGTCGCAGCTGACCTCTACAGCTTCACCGAACGGTAGGAATCGAGACAGATGGCGCTCCAAACCTGCAGAATTACTAATGGAGCGGCTGAAGGCCTATTCGTTCCGGACGGATACGACTTTAGTCTGAGGGCACCGCTAGGGTTTCGAACCTCGACTTAGACGGTCGTAATTTCGAAGCCCGTTTGAATTTGACGGCGAGATCTATCGGAGAGGTTATTAAATGTGAAAATATTTTAACAGCGCCATTTAACATTTTCTACAACGCCATCTAGTACTAAAGAACGTGAAAGAACTAAAATTACCTCACAGTATAATTTTCCATTTGTTTAGGAAAATTATATTATATTATAATAAAATGCATTGTGACTCTTCTATGTTACTTTAATGGCAATGGCAATAAATGCCATTCATAATTGTCTATTCCATAAGAATTATAAATTATATTACAGGGAGCAGAAAAGATTTATGGGACACAGTGCCGCCAAGGATGGCACAGAGAATTTTCGCAGGCATGCTCAACGAAACACTTACAATACTGACCGTCAGATACTGTCAGGTAAATACTATTATACTACAGTGACGTATAATGTTTTTCTAACTGTATGTCACGAATACACATAGAAAAAATTATATACATATATTATTCAGTTTTTCTCAACATTGTTTTATTTATTTATTTCCTCTTTATGGAACTATATATAAGTTAGTAAAACTTAGATAATAGTAATAATGTACAAAAGCCGGTCTTATCGCAAAAGCAATATCTTCCAGACCACCTTTGGGTAGAGGAATATCAATTACTAGTTGTAGAACACAACGTGACGTGCAGATGTGGAGTCAAAAAATTGATTATTTTTTAAATTTTGTCTTGGCTTGCTAAAATTATAAATCCGAAAGTACCTATATCTACCTATCTGTTTGTTTCCTTTTCACGACGAAACGGTACAATTGATCCTAATGAAATTTGAATTGACAATATCTAAATATATATAACTAAAAGGTGACTGACGTAGTGATCTATCAATGCACAGCCCAAACCACTGGACGGATCAGGCTGAAATTTGGCATGCAGGTAGATGTTATGACGTAGGCATCCGCTAACAAAGGATTTTGATTAATTCTGCCCCCAAAGGGATAAAATTGGGGATGAAAGTTTATATGAAACTTTGTCAATTTTAAACCGATTGGGCTGAGACTTTGCATGCATAATGTTACTATGGCGTAGGCATCCCCTAAGAAAGGATTTTAAAAAATTCCACCTCTAAGGGGATAAATTAACGCAAGTGAAGCCGCGGGTAAAAGCTAGTATGGTATATAAGGTAATTTAGGTACTTATTTGTTATTATTTCAGACAAACACAACAGAATCGACAACACAACTTCTATTAAACGACATTCTAAACATTCTGCTATGTGTTGCCCAACTACTGCCGTCGATATGCACCAACGGTTCGGACTTGGCCGGCTTGGAGGTGAAACAACAGACGAGAGACGTAAGGGATGTCCACGCTAAATGCAATGAGCTATTCAAATGCTTGGTGTACAGAGGAGCTGAACTGCACTTTATACATCAGGTAATAAATTACACATTGCCATCACAAGTTCGTAGATTTCATTTCCAGGATTTAAAAAAATAAAAATAAACTTTCTAGTCAATAACTAATATTGTAAAGAAGACTGAATAGTTGTTAGTTTTAGAAAACCTTTATGCCATGCCTTAATGACTTAACCATATATTATGAAATTATACTTAGCATTTCAGATAGATATAGATGATATAGTTTTTAATCACGGAAAGTCGAAGCTGTATATTTTCCCATCTAAATAATAATATAAATAAAAAAAATATATCCATTTACAAAATAATAAACGTTATGTAATATTGTACATGTAAGTACCATATTACAATGTTCAAGTTAAGACATCATCATCTGCTTCTTACATATTCCATTTATTTGTTTTTCTCTTCCATTCATCCCTGTTCACAATCATCTCGTTATTTACTCGGCCTTCGTCTGCCCTTATCAACCATCCACATTCATATAACACCTTCCTTAAAATATTATCTTCAAGACCCTATTTAGATGTCTTCTTGAGACACTATCGTTTAATATTCTATAGGATTGCTGGAATTTTCTTTTTACTAAAGAAATTTCATTTTAAAGCGCTGTAGTCCTTTTCATTTATACGTTTATCATATTATATTTCTATATGTAACATACACACACACATTTGTAAATTTAATAAAAAAAAACTATAATAAAACTTGTCTACAGGTATTCAAAGATCCGGAAACAAGTGAATCTATAAAAAACAGTCCGTTCCCGTGGTATACATTCGTCAGTCCGAATCTCTTCGAGAATTATCTGGGTGACGTCAGACTATGTACGCCAGAACTTCCAAACAAGTCTGCTATAGGATTGGAACTGTTGGTACTGTTGGCACAACCTCAACCATCGTGGTCTCTAGTGGTCAAGGTATGTAATGTATATTGTTTAACGGATGATAATGGAATGGTGCACAGTCTGCGGTAACGGTTTTTGCTGGCGGGGCACCAGTGGAGGATGATAAAAAGAGCATGATGTCAAGTCAGTCAGCCTATCTTGGCATATGGCAATACACCATGATGGCTTCCAGGGGGAATCGCGTCAACCTGATATGGTACATTGCTGGCAATGGGGTTAGATAACATTTCTAAAAATCTCTGTATGTAATATATTTTATCAATGACAGTCAGGGTGGTATAGCGGTTCAGCACACCGCTTAATATTCGATAGTCGCGGGGTAGCGTGTTCGATTCATCGCACGATACAAATAATTTTATTTTGAGTATAATTGTTTGTATTGGTTTGGGTGTTTACTATGTATATTATGTGTGTTTACAAAAAGAAAAAGTCTATATATCTATCAGTTGTACCTATAACACAAGCTCTGCCTAGCTCTGCCTGCCTAGGGACTTGATGGCGCTGTGTGAATTAATCCTGAGATATTATTATTACTATTCAAGACGTTTTAATCTACTTACTTATTTCAAGCTTTCATCTCTGTCACCAGCTTGTCTATACCTCTCTGTGTTACTCTGTCACACATCATCTGCTTCTTCCTTATCCCATTTATTTGTTATCGGCGTAATATGTTTTTCTCTACCATTCATCCCTGTTCGCAGTCATCTCGTTATTTACTTTCTTTCATACCATATCATCTGTAACACAGTCCATCCATCTCTTTTCTTCCTTCCTTCCTTCTTTTCGGCCTTCCTCTGCCTTTATGACCACGCATATTCCCATGGAACACCTTCCTTAAAATTTCATCTACGTTTCTACAGATTACATGCCCATACCACGACAGACGATTACCCTTCAACCTCTCCGAGACCGGCGCCACTTTCATACGCTTACTCTGTCACTATACAAAGATAAATTCTGCTTTTTTCAGGCACTAATGATGCGTCAATGCTACTTATCCCGCATGTTACTAATATACGCTGTAAGGCATAGTTCGGTTGACAATTCTCGGTGGCCGGCTAGCGGCCTCTGGTACAGCGTTGATGGTAGGCAGAGAAAATGCAAAGGTTTTCTCTGCACAGCCGATGGGTTTTGTAAATTTAAACAGGACAGTAACGGTGAGTATTGGTACTAAAATATTTATTTATTATATTAGTAAAGAAATGAATAAATATGTATTGCTAGAGAAATAAATATTTATGGCGAATTTACTATTATTGCGCGGAAACACCGTTGCCTAGCTACGACAGAGCAATAAAATAACAGGTCTGTCATTCGAGACCGAATCGCCTTCTTGTACATATACTAATTTTAAATACTTCTATATTATAAATATGTAAATAGTCACGACTGGTTTCTCTTCACCTCTTTCTTTCTGATGCTGCTTCTACATGAACACATAATCATAAATAATAGCGGCCCCATCTTAGCCGCTAAATATTTATACTTTTCTTTATCATGTACTTTGTGACAAAATTGATACAATACCTATTTTGTTAGGGTATATTTTATAGCGATTAATACAATATATACGAGTATTTTAACTGCGTGCAAATTGATAATCTAAACGTCGTCGTAGAAATTGTGCTTGTGACAAAAAATATAACACGTGATGCATGTCACGTGATTCTTTTTGCAATAGCAGTGTTTAACGAAGTAATAAACAATTATTATTTGACTAAATGAATACTTAGCAATCTGCTTACATTTGTACTCTTGTTTTACCTATATATGTCTGTGAATCTATCTATATATAGTCTATCTATCTGTATATTAATTTTTATTATTTTTATTTATTTTAAAATTAGATACTTTTGTACAAATTAAAACGCCAGTAGTACACGTCAGTCCCATTGTACCCTAAAACTAATAACATCACTTCACCAGTGAGCATTTTTTTTTATATATAGAGTTGATCGTTATTAATAGAGTTGCTTCTATAATAAGTAGGTGAATCGTCAGCGTTTTTTTAGTTTGTATTATTACTACTCATATATTAAAAATATAGGATATTTATAGTTATTTATGTTTGTAACTTTTTTTAAACTATGTTTTAGCTGGAGAAGAATTTGCAAGAGCCGTTGGAGCATTATCCTATATTTTAGCGTCTGTAGGCAGTAAATCAGAATTGAAGTCCACACTTTGCTACGCACTGGAAATCTCTGGGCGAGATTGGGCCGCATGTTTGGATAAACGACAGGTGTGTATTGGAATATCTATATAAGTTTTACTTGCTTTTATGTCCATACTAGTCTCCGCGGTATAATCCGCGTGATATTTACAGCTTATGTGTTATTCTAAGCTATTATAGTAATGTTTCATTAAAATCCATAAGATGAAATAGTAACATTTCCAGGCTTTTTACTAGTGTTTTGTTTACTGTTTCACATTTACACTACTTTTAACAATCTTACCTAACAATTTTTCTAAGTTGAACTTGTGCTATGGGTCCTAGCAACTGATACAAATATTGTATAATATATAACTTATTTTTTGTAAATAAATACATAATATACATAGAAAACACCCGGACCAAAACTCAGGAATACATTTTTTTTTGTAATGCGCGAGGAATCTAACCCGCGACCATCGGAAGTAAACGGTGTGCTAAATAGCTAGCTATAACACCGAGACAGTCAAACTGTGTCAATCCCTTGAGAGTTAGACAAAAATTTCAATTGTTATGAACGCCTTTTATAAAGGGCTTTTTTTATTTCTATAAATGAGTGGTAAATTGTTCACAGGTGTGGTGCGATAGACGACCGCCATGGCTTGCTGCTATATTGTCATTAGTTGGATCAGTTCTTCGGTTCCTGCCGGGTATATTAGTGAATGCTGTACAGAGCGGGGCCTCTATGTATCAGGTGAGATTACCTTAGCCTTTCTTTATTGGGTTGTTTGAGCTATTGACAGGTCTTTGGACCTGTAGCACTGCGACCTGCATAGATCTATTGTGCTCGCCCTTTTTCAGAGTCCGCTATCTAGTCCCGTTAGGGACAAGAATTGAAGGATATTCTAGGAGCGATGTATTTTATCTGCTCAAGATAGAATGTAAACTTTCCAAAAGAGATATTACGATTATGCATGAGTGGGCTATAACAACATAGGATGTGACATACCCTACCCATTAATGTATGTTAAAAAAATTAAAAATATAATTATTCATTTTGAAGATGGAATGTCAAGCAAAGAACATCGATGTTGTTTTGTTTCTTGTTATACATTTATACACATTATTCTTCTCGAACATTCTGCGGCGTCTTATATATTATATATGTATATAATTAGTGTACAAGAAAATTTAAATATTTTTTTATTATAAATACACATTTCTATTTTCCTTTACCAAATAATGGGATTTAGTTTTGATAAAAAAAAATGTACAGGTTAATGTTAACATGTTATATATTGTATGTTAATATTTAATTTTGATTAAAAAAAATTATAAAATGTCTATTAAAGTACAGGTTTATATTGATATTTGACTATAAAATTGAAGAATTCGTCGATATAATGGTTTTATAGAAAAACTTTAAATCCATAGCACTGACAATGTTATTTGATTACACTAATAATGAGTGCGTAACGATTTCTACGTTTATTATTGAGTAAGAGGCATGCCCTCTTACTTGTTATACGGTAATTATTTATATAAAAAAAACATCTATTAAAAAAGCAACACACAAGTTTCTTGCTCATTCTTCTTGTGATGAATCTGCATTCCGCAATATATGATTATTTAAAAGTATATATTTGAATAAAGATTATTTCTATTTCTATTGAAAAAAAAAAAGTATTCTATCAGTTGTTTTAATATTCTGCTTAGATTGTGACTAGATAGGTTTGTGTGTACAACCAGAAAAAAAAAAGTTTAGTATTTTTCTTATAAAAAAATATAATGATACTGGTACAATATTGATCTTATGTTTGTGTTATTAAAATTCACTGTTATTTAATATATTTCCAGACGATGTCTCTCTGTTTGACGTGCATATTAAGATCCCTAGACTGTGTTCCCCGAACATTTGTGAATGCCTGCTCCATATTAGAAAAGACTTTGCCCTCTTATGTCAACCCAGTGGGAGGGAGTGTGTTGTTACAGATGCTCATAATTGTAACCTACGAGGAAATGCAGAATTGGGCGAAGGCTGAAGGAATTAAAGAAAAGGCTGGTTAGTATTATAGCGTGATGGTTATTGTTTACCCCGAAACGTTATATTATTTAATTTTACCTATACTTTCCTTACGCATCGATAGTTCGACTATTTCACTCACACGCAGTCGCGCATCTCGTTCATGCATTTTTCAACTACCAATATAACAGAAACATAGTCAAAATTGTCTCAAATTAAAAAAAAACATTGGTTTTGATATCTTTATCAAAGGACAAGAAATAGTAAGACATTTTCAGCCGTTTATTAACGGTGCTCAATATCTATCTGCCTGTCCAAAACTATTATATAGTAAAAAACGCATAAAGTGAGAATAAATCAGTACAGTGTTGTGTCTGTTGATCAAGAATTTTTAAGAAAAACAAAATATTGATCTTAGTGAATAGAAAAGAGAACCAGCGCCGAGAATCATCCAAGTTCAAGAAAGAATTCACCGGTGAGCTCCTTTGTCCATCGCTAACGGTTATCAATATCTTGTGTATCTGCCTGTCATAATATAATATAATATTATAGGATAAAAAACGTACATTAGTAAGTTTATTTTGAGAATATTCGAATCAGTACAGTATTGCGTCTGTTGATCAAGAATTTTTAAGAAAAACAAAATATTGATCTTAGTGAATAGAAAAGAGAACCAGCGCCGAGAATCATCGGGAGAAGTCGAAGAAAGAATTCACCGGTGAGCTCCTTTGTCCTTTCTACCTATTCACTCCAGTTATCCTCACCACTGTAGTGTTGTGTATGTGAGGTGTCATAATATAATATAATGTTTATTATAGGATGCAGGTAGTGAGTATACCAGTGAAATAATTGTACTATTTATGTACATTAGTAAGTTTATTTTGGGGCTACATTAGTAGCGCGTATATTCGACTCGTAGTCGGGGCGTAGATTGTTTTACACTGAAATTTAATCTAATAACCGCGTGGAGGTCAGTTAACCTGACATGATACATTGCTAGCAATAAGATCATCAATCCACATTATGCCATTAAATAGGTTTAAAATAGCACTACGTAAAAAATACTGTTACTCTTTAATCGTCTGTATTTGTAATGTCTCCTGTTGTGTGAGCGGCACTGGCACTGACACTGTTGAACTCCTGAGACAGAGCCGCGCCCGCTCCGCACAAGAGTAGAGTCATAGCAGGAGCGGGCCACCAACGTGACGCTTAACGGCCGGGACGGGACTGTCGGCCGACATAGTAGCAATATCCCGAAGAAACGACTACTATCCCGCCCAGGGCGTACCAGAACCAAACCATTGCTCGGTCACCGATCCCCGCGGACGTATCCACGAGGATAGGGAAGCCTCCCAATGGCAGGAACATACGAGGAGGTTGCCCGACCCCAACCCAAACCAAACATAAGTAAATACATGTCCACAAGATCTATACAGTAAATATTCAAGCAAATAAATTATCACTCTATCTATTTCATCAAGATAATAATAATGTATAATTAGTTGTTTGTTTGTGTAATCATTGTTTGTTATAGCTACATCTGCTGCTAATGGACAACCGCATACAATGGGCACTGGATCTAACAAAGTTAAGAAACATGTTAGAATTGTCAGTTTAGGGAATACAAGTGAGTACGCACTTTGCGTTTTACTGTGATTGTTCGTTTAGTTTGTGGCAATACTATCAAATCTGTATTTGATCACTATGATGATATGATAATAATTGACCATTCCAATGATCACTCAGCTCATAATACAGCGTGTTATTTGAGTCCTTTTTTTTAAATTAAGCCGACTTAACATAGCATATCAATCTGGCCATAGACAAGGGAATAACAATATATTCTAACTCTAATTATGTAAAATTAGGGTTAAAATATATTATTGTTCTGACTAACGAAATGACTTTTGTCTGTCTATCAGGAGATGAATATAGGCAGTCGATGCGTGACTGATCAAAGATGCCCAGTTTGATCAGTCACACATCGTCATCGTCATAACCTTGGTCCACAACATATTGATCGCGAGTTTGTTAATGTAAATCTTTAACAAACTCGCGATCAATACGTTGTGGACCAAGGTTCAGGTTAGGAATAGAACGAACATTTTCTAAAGAATGCAACTCCGTACTAAAATTAATATTTATTACCTACATATTTTGTATTTTGAACTGTCAGAAACCAAAAGTATTCGGCTAAATGTGCCATTATTGTATCGTGGGTAAATTAACTTTCCAAATATCATCATCATCATTGCCTTTATTCCATTATTTGTGGTTGGCGCAATATCACCGTATAGCCGTTTAACATACTTTCCAACTATAATAAATAAATAAATAACCCCTGAGTAATTAACACAGCGTCATCTAGTCCCACGGTAAGCAGAGCTTGTATTATGGGTACTAGAGAACTGATATACTTAGATTATATTTGTAAATAATATACATAGAAAACACCCAGATTGATACAAACAACAACTTGTACTCATGAATACAAATATTTGCACCGTGCGAGGAATCGAACCCGCGACCATCGGAAGTAAAACTAAACCGCTAGACCGCCGACGTCGAAAATTGTATTATTTTTAAAATTAATATTACAGCTACATCTAGCTCTGTAAGTTTCGACGGATCTCATAGTTCACCATCGTCGATAGCTCTTGCTGTAGCTGAAGCACTATGCTCCATAGACGAAGATGATAAGCATACGCAAGAGATAGAACAACTAATCGCCCAGTCTAAGAAGACCTTCACAATATCCAATCAGTTCGGTTTAGAGGACTTCCCTGAGTTTGCAGAGCTGTTTGAAGAGGTGATTTTTTTTTCTAGAAGATCAAATCTTTATTCTTTTTTATTTACCATAGATATGAGATATAGAGATAGAGGTCGTGGTTTGAGCCAAGAACTGATACAAAACTATTCTCTAAATCTTCATAAATATAATTGTGTATGCAATCGAATTAGGTGTTATATTGCGGAAGCCAATTTCATTTCTTAATGAATTTCTTTTGTTTTGTTTAATTTCGCTACTTCTATTGTGTGTGAGATCTACATGGGGACGTATTATATATATATGTATTTACAACCTTAGAATCATAATTAAATGTATAATGAATTAGGACTAAAAGAAGATTCATATTTATGAGTTCATTGACACCGAACTTCCTTATCTGAGATTTATATTCCCTGATTTTAAGGAGTATGTATGTACCGGTAATATGTTGACCTTTTTACAGGAATAAATAACAAATACCTAATAATGACAAATATAATATGTTTACGTTGTTTATGATTTATTTTATACAACATATAATTATAGGGTGATGTACCTGGATCGAATGTAGAACGTTCGAGCGATGCAGCAGCACTGACTAGTCAAATACTGATGACGTCGCCTGGTAGAGACAGTCTCAGAGTAAGTTTATTATTAGTATCACTTACTATGAGCCTTATTTCTTTTTTATACCGCAATGGTGGCAAATAATCATACAGCCCATCTGATTGTACACAGTTACAGTAGCCGATGTTCGCCTGAAACATCAAGGGTGCCTTTTTTTATTTAGTGGACGATAATGGAATGGTGCATCCGCCTGCGCTAATGGTTTACGCTGGCGGGGCACCAGTGATGGATGATAAGATGAACATGAAGTCAGGTCGGTTAGCCCAACGTGACAAATTAACCGGGTATTTATCACGATGGTTTCTAGGGGGAACCGCGTGGAGGTCAACCTGACATGGTACATTGTTAGCAATGGAATCATCAGTCCACATTACTAACAATCCCCTTCCCTTGTCGGCTGCGCATTGTCGATTCTATGAATTTAAGATATATATCAGTTGTCCAGTACCGATAACACAAACTCTGAGCTTGGGACTAGATGCTGCTGTGTGAATTATTCAGGATTATTATTAACATACTGACTGTTCCCGCGACTTCGTCGGCGTGGTATTTAACTTTAAAAATAAAACAATTCTAACATAAAATTAGTCTAGGTTACTCCTTATTACATCAGCTACCTGCCAAAAAAAGTCCCGTCAAAATCGGTCCAGGCATTTCTGAGATTAGACGGAATAAACAGACAGCCAAAATTTAAAAAAATGTTATTATGGTGTATGTACCATATTTATATTCATATGCATGTAGTAAAAAACGGTTATTTCAATGTTACAAACAGACACTACAATTTTATTTATATGTATAGATTATATTCTATTTCTTGCTTTGTTTTCATTAAATATTCGTTGCAGGTAATCTACAATCATCTACAATTGCATTGTGAAAGAATATACAAGGAGTTGAGCATACAAGAAGCCAGTGAAGAAGATATTGAAGTGTCAATGAGCAATGCGCCGTTGCTCTACATCATGTTCCATATTGGACGGAGACCATTTGATCAGGTCAGATGAGGATATAATAATAAAGCTCTTTATTATGAAATTATAATAAATGTCTAATATCAGTGTACCTTTTGGCATAGGTCTTCTCCAGCGTCTTTCATTGGTTTTTAACATTCGCAAATCGTCTCTAATTTATGCCCACAGTTAATTTCCATCACTAGTGATTGAATAACGGGTCTTAATTATGTAACACTAACATTTCTTATAGAAAACAGATTATCTTATTATATATAACTATTTTGTACGCGTTTGTTACATATATCCTCCTAAAAGACGCGACCGGATTTTCGAATTCGGATGAAATTTTATGTCCAGATTTTAATGGGTTCCTGGATGGATTGAAAATACAGTTGGGCCGGTAGGTGGTTCTGCTATCGTTATCAAATTAAACCGCATTCAAATATATATACCTACATATATGTTAAAGTATTAAAAATAACTGTAAAAATAAATAATAGTAAATGTATGTTTTTTTGCAGTTTCTTCGCGGAGAGTGGCCGATGCCGTGGAGCAAGCTCGTCGCTGTTGCTAAGTCGTGGTCGGGTATTGAAGGTGCCCGCGTCCACATCAACAGACGAACAGACATACGCAACGTGAAATCTCATGGCAAATCTAATAAGCAGCTTATAGAATTGTATGGTTTATTTAAATCGCCGGTGAAAGGCGTTTTGTAAAGTACCTTTTCATAATAAAGTTAAAGTTATGTGTTATCGCTTGTTTTCTTGACACAGTTTAATACAATATTACTGGTACCTATTTCTGAAGCGTTTTTTATTATGATAGAAATAGAAATACTCTTTATTCAAATAAACTTAATATAAGAACTTTTGAATGGTCATGTTTTTTTATTCTACCGCTTATTCGGAGTGCAGATTCATCACAAGAAGAATAAGCAAGGAACTTGTGTGTTGCTCTTTTAAATAAATATTACTTATATTTAATTAACAACAAGGATTAGGCATGCGACAATCGACATAGAAACCGGTGAAAGAAGATGATGAAATGGTGCTCCCACCTGAATTAAAACTGTCGCGGGCATAGCAGTGAAAAATGACAGAATGAGCAGTCAAATTAATTAGCTCATCGTGAATCTATTAATAATCGAAGTTCATCATCCTTAAACCTTATAACCTAATTAGTCTCGACTACATCGTACAACTACTTGTCGAGTTTTCTCTATAGGGTTTCACGAGAAGGGTACAAGGTTTTCTAAGGGTCATCGATTGAAGCGTGTGCTTGATTGCCTTCTGGCAAATAACCGTTATTAAGTATTCTTTTCACCTCCATTTCATAAGTTTGTGGATGTAAGTACGTAACATGCATTAAACACTCACCTATAGAGGGGGGAAAGGGATTGTTAGTAATGTGGATTGATAACCCAATTGCTAGCAATGTACCATGTCAGGTTGACCTCCACGCGGTTCCCCTGGAAACCATCGTGATAAATTCTTAGTGAATTTGTCACGATGGGCTAACTGATCTAACCTCATGCTCATCTTATCATCCTCCATTGGTGCCCCGCCAGCGTAAACCGTTAGCGCAGGCAAAAAATATTTATCATACCATAAATTATTGATATAACTAGGTATATCATATTACGTTCAAACAACTAGATTCGAATGTAATTATGTCTACCAATCTCAGTTTACCTACCACACAAGATATTTTAAATCAAATTACAGCGTCGCGAGATGCAATTTCATTCTACATTCATTTCAATTCCCTCCGCATTAATAATACAACTTTATTCAGCGAACTTATATTGAACAGAATAAAAACTATACATTTCAACTCCAAACTGTCTATATAATAGAATTATCTGTATCCACAGCGGTCCGATACCGAACTTCTGCGAAATAAGTTAAAGAAAATCCCAACTTTAAACTTGCCTTCAAATGTCAATGCTCGTAACCGGTGCTATAAATTCACTTGAGAAAGTTATGACACCCCACCAACCAAGTCACATTCTATTCTATAAAGCTTGTTGTAAACTTTACCGAGAGCTGCACAGAAATGTTTTTTTAACGTCGCAACTTTGTACTTATTTGGAGAAGTTATATTATTCTGTTTTGTCTTATGGAACGGCGAGTTTGGAATGTAAGCAATAATTTGGACTGCTTTTTTAAGGTTATACTTATTGTAAAGATTCTGTAATTTAGGAAATACTCGCATAAGTTTTATAACTCACTGCGAAATTATATGGGACAATAAATACCTTTGTACGATTGTTATGTTAGATGGGGCTCAGAGGCATTGCCAATTCTCAACGTAATTGTGAACGTAACCCATGATATGCCTCTACTTAATTTTTTTTCGAAGCGGGGCAAAAACATAAAAATGCCGCCTATGACTCACTCCGCTCTCCCCTGTGACCAACATTTACAATTACAACAATATACATATTAACATATGTACGATAACTATTGCTATTAATTATTGTGGCATTTTAACAATTATATCTTCATTTTCAAATACATTAAACACAAACAGTTTACTTGACGTCTCAGTGATCAAGTTACTTAAAGTGCAGTAATGATGATGTATATTCATCTGCCAATTTCGAATTTGCTGCACACAAAACTGCCGCCCGGGGCATGTAGCCCCATGTTTGCTGCCCCCCCCCCCCCCCCCCCCCCCCCCCCTTGATCCGGGCCTGACATGCCAACATTTACTATTTCATCTGTGAGGCAGAAATAAAATATAATAAAGTTTTTTTTTGTGTCGATCATATTTGAACAAACAACTTTTTGAGTGCAAGTTGGAACACTATATTACTAGCCCACGATTCACTCAATCTGCGGCAAGCTGGTATTGTATACACTACATCCTAAGGTTTACTGAAATACTATCCTTCGACACAAATAGATATACAAACAATGTATGTCGTAGCGTTCGACATGTAAATAGAAGGCTACCACGAGACATGTGCAGCGAAAACTCACTCGATTTACGTTGGAATATTGGTAAGTAGCTTATCTATGGAGCTTCATGTAAAGGTAGCGTAATCTGTCTTTTGAGATCTTTGCGTTTTATATTTTCAGTTATGCTATCTTTAACGTATCTAGCAATACTTTGAGGTAATACTTGGATGGTAAGTAAGTAATATCAGTGCTCACTGAATGCACACGTTTGATGCAGATCGGCTCATCATCATCATTTCAGCCCGTAAGACGTCTGCTGCTGAACAAAGGCCTTCCCCCAAAAATCTCCATGGCGATCAGCAACGCTTTTCAGCGATCTTGACCAGATCATCTGTCCATCTTGTTGGAAAGTTTCTCACGCTGCGTCTTCCGGTCCGCGGTCGCCACTCGATGACTTTACTGCCCCAACGGCCTTTTGCCCTAAGAGCTATGTGTGTGTATGAAGATCGGTTACGTGATGGTTAATGGCAACCATCTATTATCACGTTATCACGTATACCCACAGTACAATCTAAAGCATAGCCATTGAACGACTAAGGTACATACCTCTATATTTTACTAGCTGTCCCGGCAAACGTTGTTTTGCCTTAAAATAAAAAATAGAATTTAGGGGTGGACTACCCCTAACATTTAGGGGGATGAAAAATAGATGTTGGCCAATTCTCAGACCTACTCTCACATAATTGCATGAGAATCGGTCAAGCCGTTTGCGAGGAGTATGGGAACGAAAACTGTGACACGAGAATTTTATATATAAGATAAACTCACTTCTCAATCTCATCTTCCAATTTCAACAACTTATCAGAAATAACCAAGAAAGGGGGATGGGGATGATTAGTAGTGTCCCATTGTTAACAATGTGCCAGGTCAGTCCGAGTCCGTCCATCACTGGTATACCGTTAGCGTAGACGAGTGCACTATTTATTATTATTGATTAAAGAATAAGGCAGACAGACCTCTATTTCGCCTACTTTTCATTCTCACGCAATCATTTTTTACAAAGTCTAACTCAGTACCTACAATATATAATAGTAATGGACCAAGTGAATATAAATATAGTGATTGTCTATATGTCATACCTTAGACTACTGATATTGACACGTAGTAAGGACACGAATTTGTCTCGGCTTGCTTATTCAGTGCACATCGTGAACGTCATGAGATTGTTATGCATTCTGCGGCGTCCGAAGCTAAATTTGATTTATTTACGCTAGTTGGTTTCTGACTTCGGTTACATATAGTATTTACAATTTAAATATAAATACAAAATAATTAGGCAGTTGAATCTGGTTAGTTTGTTTGTGTTTCATAATTCTTGTTATTAAATTAATAGACTCAATGTTCTTCTAATTTTATCGTGGTGATAATAGAAAATAATTATTTGGTATTTATTATCCTACGATGGCGGCTAGGTATATTATATTGTCGGTTAATTAAATGGGACGTATAAATAACGAATATATTATATAGTCATATCTCTCCCTAAGTTATGGATATAAATAATTATAACAGAAAAAACCAATACAGTAAACGTTATATACGACAAACGTCAAAAGTATTAACACTGATATGTTTATACAACAATTATTTAATAAATTTCTATATTGTATTAAAGAAACTTATTTCCATTATTTACCGTTTTTCTTTTCTGTGTTTATGGCCTCCCTTTGAATTATATTGCTTTTGCTTTGATTTATATTTTCGTCTGATTTATCTCATCTCTTATTATAGGTATATTATCTCTCTGATACTCATATTACAAAAATTGTAGCTAAGCTAGACATGATATACATGTTTCGTTCGGTGAAGCTGTAAAGGTCTGTCTTACCGCCTACAGAAAAAAGTCGAAAAATGACGTGTATGATTGATTAGACTTCTTGTCGTGCTACAAATTCCTTCCTACTTTCCCTAGATTTCAATAACACCGAGACAAGTTTCACATTCAAGTGCAAGTATTTCGTATAAAATACAATATGGACACGGCTATTTCATTAAATCGGTCGCCCGAGCCGATATCCGAAACACATAAACAATGATTTCCAATTTCCCCTTCTTAGACGATGTCTGGCGCAATCTTAGTTGAAACCAAACTATTGATGTTGGAACTTGTAGTGAGCATAAATTGTCTCCTTGCCAATAGTTCTGGAACTAACGGTACTAATGTCCTGCCTTTGTTAGGTAAGTATTCTGCACCGAAGCGCAGTTGGGGTGTTTATTTAGTAAATTAACAATGCCTTTAGTTTCTGTTTAATATAAGTTTAATAATATGGAATAACAATAATTTGTGTAATGGAGAATGAATGCAGTATGCACAGGTGGGATATAGAATAATAATAACCCTGAAAAATACACACAGCTCCATCTAGTACCAAGCTACGCAGAGCTTTTGTTATCAGTACTAGACAACTGATATAAATACTGAAATACTTCTTTTTTGTAAATACACACTCAGACTAATACAAACAATCATATTCAAGAATACAAAATGTTTATGCCATGCGATGAATCGAACCTGTAACCATCAGAAGTAAGGCGGTACGCTAAACTACCAGACCATGGTAGCCCTCAGATTTATATATTGTATGCCTTTAAGACTGATTGGGATAGTCAGAGATAGTATTAACTGTTGGCAGGTAGCAAATGTAGGTAATGCTGGCTCTAGATTTAATTTGTTTTGTATCGGTTTTCACTACTCTAGAGCAAACCTTATGTATATTCTGACTTATAATTAAATATATATATATATAAACACC